CTCACTGGGATACCACATTCCTCTTCAGCAGCAACACACACTGCAATCTGATTTAAATCACATCTCTCTCCCTCTCTCTCTATCTCTCTCTCCCTCACCTAATATATATCTTTATCTAGTCTATCTCTCTCTTTCTTTCTCCATCTCTCTTTGTTTCTGTCTGTCTCTCTATCTTTTTTATGTCTCTCTGTCTTGTATTCTGTCTATCTCTCTATCTCTTGATGTCCCACTTTGTCCCTTTTTCTGTCTGTCCCTCTGTTTCTGTCTGTCTCTCCATCTCTATGTCTCTCTGTTTTGTCTGCCTCTCTATCTCTCTTTATGTCTCTCTCCCTCCATCTGTTTCTCCCACTCTCCTCCTCCTTTCTGTCTCTGTCTCGCTGTTTCCCTTTTACTTTCATTCTGTTTCTCTCAAGTTAAAATTAGCTTTATTGGCATGACTGTTTAAGTATTGTTTGGTCTCTTTCTCTCTATCTCTGTCCGTCTTCCTTTTTTTCTACCTCTCAGTATCTTGTCTTTCTTTTTCTCACCTTGTAGTCTCTTGTCCTCTTCCCTTTCTCTCTCTTCCTTTTTCTCTCTAATTCTTTCTCTCTTTGTTTGTTTGTTTCTTTCTTTCTTTGTTTCTATCTTACTCTCTTTGTTTTCTTTTCCTCTCTCTCTTTGTCACTCAATCATTGTCCTTCCTGATGTCTTTGTATTTGTACTCTTTCTTTCTTTTCTCCTCTCATTCTATTTCTCTAGTTGTCTTTGTCTTTATCTTTTTCTCTTGTAGTGTCTTCTCTCTCTCTCTCTCTCTCTCTCTCTTTCTCTCTCTCTCTCTCTTTCCTTCTCTGAGTTGACAGCTCTCACACCCTGTTTCACTACTGACTATTTAAAGCTAATGACGTGCTAAACTCTGTAATATCTCCATTGTCTGTGCCAGGCTTGCCTGTAGCTATATGACGAAAGCAGAATAGGGAATTAATCTGTGTATTAAGAAATATGAAGTATGGAAAGACGTGTGGGTGCATGTTGTGATTCCCTCTGTTTGGGTGGCAACTTGTTATTAAGGAAAGATTCAGGTCAAACAGGAGTGCATGGGTGGTGATGAATCACTTTTCGGTGTAGACTGACTCACTGAATTAGCTGGAGTTTGCTGGGTGACACACTCAGAGCTGAGCTGATTGGGGTGACCCTCAGTCACATACATCACCCTTGAATGAGTCCCAGGCCAATCTTGACTGGTTCAGTCAGGAACAAGAGCTCCCACTGGAGGTTCTTTAGGCTTACTGCAGCTTAAATCAATAACAGTCCCCTAAAGAGTGAGCCAAGGAAGACAGAGGCAGGAAAAACTCCCTAACATCTTTTTTTAGATGTTTCAGAAAAAAATTAGATATAAGATTCTCCACTTGCATAAGGAAGGAGAAAGTTAAAGGAAAAGAAGTGACAAAACAGGAGTTTCCAAAATTGGAGTTCAAAAACTTATAGAGAAAATGGGATTCCTAACTGTGCAAGACCTGGTAGACCACCAAAACTGTCCCCATCAGATAAACAGTACTGAAAGCTTTCATCTTTGAGAGGAGAAAACCAAGCTACAGTCTTGCTTCAGATCTGAAAAACTCCACAGGTGTTTCTGTCTATCCTTCCACTGAGAAAAGGCAGCTCAGCACTATGGGTCTAAAAGGATGTGTAGCTGTCAAGAAGCCCTTAATGAGAAAAGAAATAGACAAATATGAAGAAAATCTGCAAATCAAACAAAGAAGCTGCTGGTGTTCTTAGAACAATGGACTGACCACCCCAGAGTCCAGACATCAACATCATTGAATGTGGCATTACTTGAATTATGAGAAGTAGAAAATTTAACCTTAATCTTCTAATCTTCTAAGACTGAACTTTGGATGTGTGGACAAACATCTCTTCAGATTTCTTTAAAAAGCTGTCCACAAAGAGTTATAGCTGTAATATACACACAGTGAATACTGAAATAAATTATAGTTTATAGGGTTCTGTGTAATTTTCCATCAAAATATGTCTTCTGCTTTTTTTCCTCAAAAATGAAAACCTTGTATGTAAAGGCTGTTTTGACAGGATATGAAATAAATAATGAATAAAAGAGTTTTTCCTGACTTCTGATAAAGAAAAAAAATAAACATGTGCTTTTACATGCTTGATGGTGTATAGGCTCTCCAAAAAGATGTAAATGTTTAAACCATGTTCTTACATTAAGACATCAATGTGTCGGCTCATGCTATCGTCAACGGCATACAAATTCACTCACACAAGTGGTATTTAACCCTTTAAATGGACAAGACCCACCAGTGGCCCAAAGTTTTATTACACACTTCTATAACCGAAGAATAGCTCAGCCAGTTTGCATTGAAGTCCCTGTAGTTACTGAACAATAAGCCCTAGTATGTAATAAACCTGGGATTTTAGGGGGTTAACAGGTTCAACACGTGTCACAGAAGTGGCACATGATCATTGTGTCAAAGGTTGCACTGACATAGACAAAGGTGAAAGGTTCTTAAGTATTTAACGCTGCAGTATTTTGATCAGTGTCCTAGGAGACAGCCAATCAGAATCCACATGTAAATGAGGTCATACATATTAAAGACCTATGAAGTGAAGCTGTGCTTGGCTGCCAAAATGGATCTGGTAAACAATAAATAAAGAAACTCGCAGAACTAAAAATCTCAGAAACAGAGCTACAACTTTTAAGGGAAGAAGTGCTGACAAATAATAGTAAACTCTTTGGTAAAAATGCAGCAAAATTAAACAACAGAAAAAGATATTATAGACAATTGCAGAACCACATAAACATGGTAGCAAATGTAACACAAACTGCTGTTGACTGTCAAAAGCAGGGCAGAAAGAAAAAAGAAATGTGAAAGGAAAAGCATCCAGATACAAACCATAACTTTAATCAAGCATCAAAGTTTCCTTATCAGAAAAGGTTGTGGATTGTAGAAACAAATGACATGTACAAAATATAGAATTACAACAACTTAATATTACATTTTAGGAATGACATTTTAGCATGTTTAGCATATGTCATTTCTCATTGGTAAGAATTCAAGCCTTTTACAGTTGTATCAATTATAATGAATATGACAATAAAATATTATATTATAATGAATTAAAGTTTAGCAGAATCTGGCCCAATGTGCTTAACTCTTCATTTTACTCTATGCCAATGCAAGCTTTAGGAAATAATGATGTGAGGCAAGTGACTATTGTGTAACACTGTTCTGTGTGTGAGTGTGTTAGCTTAACCATTCCTAAATCTCTTCTTGAGGAAGTCCAGTATTTACAGTTACCACCCAATACCTGTTTCAGCTTATCAGTCCTTCATTAAATTAATCAGGTGTGTTTGTGATGAAATGTAACAGTTCCATGGCTGGACTATTAAAAGCCTTTTTTCTAACTGTATTTTTCTAAGTAGCATAAATGACAGTTACTGTAAACAAGAAAATTGTGGTACATGCTGCTGTTATAAAGTGTTTGTACAGGCAAAAACACAAAGTAGTTTTAAACAATTTTCTTGGGTGCCTAAGACTTATTATTTAAGCAACAGAACATGAGAGGGAGTGTGTTATCGTGAAATAACATCACAGCTTTGATTTATTCTCGATAACACACGACTTCAAGCGTTCTACTGCGTTTATACAACAGTTAAATAAATAAAGTAAGAAATAAATAAATTGGGCCGTGCCACATTCAGTATGTTTTAATGTGTAGTCTCATCTTCACAGTCTGACCAAATCGGCTGTAGGTCAATAACCTTAAATGTGTCCATTTTCTGTTTGTGCGCAAAGTAATAAGCAAAAACGTTCAAATGGCTTGAGCGTCTCTTACAGCTGTCAAACTCGTTGCTTAGCAATGGCGTCTCAGCGGAGTGATAGTGTTTGTGAAAAAAACATGATGTTATGGCGAAATAACAACACGGTTAGAACCATTTGTCCATTTGATCAGCTCCACTTTGTAGTTCTACGATTACAGACTGCAGTCCATCTGTATCTCTGCATACTTTGTTAGCCCCCTTTTACTCTGTTCTTCAGAGGTCAGAACCCCCACAGGACCACCACAGAGCAGGTATCATTTGGGTAGCAGATCATTCTCAGCACTGCAGTGACACTGACGTCATGGTGGTGGCGTGTTATTGTGTGTTGTGCTGGTACGAGTGGATCTGACACAGCAGTGCTGCTGGAGTTTTTAGACTCTATTTCCACTCACTGTCCACTTTATTAGACACTCCTCCCTTTGGTTGGTCCACCTTGTAGATGTAAAGTCAGAGACAGTAGCTCATCTAATGCTGCACAGTTTGTGTTGGTCATCCTCTAGTTCTTCATCAGTGGTCAGAGGATGCTGACTACAGGACACTGTTGACTAGATATTTTTGGTTGGTGGACTATTCTCAGTCCAGCAGCACTGCTATGTCTGATCCACTTGTAACAGTGCAACACTGTACCAAATGAGTTGTTCTGTCTCATTTAACTTCTGGTACTCTAACAGTAATTGCAATCAGTCTAGACTCTTATCAGACTGAAAACTCGGTCAAAAGGTAGTCAGTGACAAAAATCAACACAGCTTTCTAATTATTCTGGATTGGCTGCAGTCTAAAAGCAGATTTTATCAGTCTTGGACTGTGTCAGGAATTGGATTCATTTGTTAAGTCTGTTCACAATTTCCCAACACAAGAATAGGTTTGAGAGAAAGACTTTCATGCTGTTCCTTGTGTGCATTTCCTTTTTCCCCGCCACTCCCAGCTTTGAATTTGCCAACAAACCTTTATAGCAATATTTAAGTTAAATATTAACCTGAATGGTGTAACGATGAGATGTTAGAGACTTAATCATACTTTATTTATAGTCTATGGTGACCTGTGATCCAATCAATTCCATTTGCTCTGAGGTCTCCAGTTATCAACACAATAACAACATGAATGAATTGACCTTAATGACGTATTCAAGAGAGCACACTGTTTGCGTTCCTAGAGGAGTGAAGGTGTGTGCTCTGTGGTGGAGATATGTACAGTGAGCGTGAGTGTGTGTAGAGAGAGAGGGAGCAAGAGAGAAAGGCAGACAGAGAGAGGCAGGTACCTGTGTAGAGTAAGCTGAACGAAGAGGTAGCTCCAGAGCTCTTTTCTCTTTCTTCTTTCTCAGACTGTGACTCCAAAGACTTTCACAAGGATCATTCTTCCACTTCAGCCTGAGAGATGAGTGGTAAGTGATTGCTGTTCTCAGTTATTTTCCTGTAGAGCTTGCTCCGCTATTATTTGCACTGGATCAGTACAGAGTTTTAATGGCTGTCAACACTTATCTGAAAAGTGTTTATTGAGTGGTAAACTGCCACAAAAGCCTTTTCACTTTCAAAGGCGATACTCGGACAGTACTCTCAAGGTCTGTTCACTCTTTTGTGGGTTAGTTCTACAAGTAATATTCTAAAGGCAGGTGAATATTTGCATTGTGTTTAATCACCTCTCAACTGGGCTAAAAATAACATTATAGGGGTTCATTCACTATTAGCCCTGGATCAGGCTCAGTCTGTCTGTAAAACTGTTTACATTAGTACAGTGTAGAGAGGTGTTTGTGTGTGAGCCACATGACCTGAGAGACACTGAGTGGCAGTGACATACCTATGAGACGCTCAAGCCCAGCAGATTCCAGCATCCTGCCCTGACCTGCCTGGTATCTGTGTACAACACAGAGGGAGAGAGAGAGGTGGGGTGTAGGGTCGAAAAACACCTGAATCATTTACCCTCAGGGCAATTTGCCCTAAAAACATGTAATAGAATGCAAAACGCATTCTAGACAATTTTCAAGAATTTTCTTTGTTCATACTATATGTTGTTGGGGAAGAGCTTTACACATACAAGAAATATCAATGCTATACTTTGATTAACTATGAATATATATATATATATATATGTGTAAAGCTCTTTCCCAACAACATATAGTATGAACAAAAAAGATTTTTGAAAATTGTCTACATGTATATATATTAGAGTTTTGGATATAACAAGATAACCCTTTTTATATTTACATACACACATCTTATAAGCCGCTTATCCTTCTGGCTGGGTCGCCTTTTTATATTCATATATAGATAAACTTAACTTGCTATATCCGAAATTAAAAAGCCAAACTATGCTTTATTTACGTTTTAGTGATTTTTTTATTTACATAGAGGGCATCATACAATGCCATACCATTTTTACAAATAATGTCACATATACTCTTTTCCGTTGCAAGGGCTTAATTGTTACAGATGATTGTTCAGCATTTCAGAATCAACCGAGTCTTTAATTGCAGAATTTTAAAATTCTAGAATTCCTTCCGTCTGTAAAAAAAAAAACTTTAATCATTCCAAAATTCTTGAATCCTAAATAAGATTTCTAAATAAGATTTCTAAGAGGTATCCTTTCGTTTAAGAGTACATATCACTTGATTTGTTTTGCTTGTTTACTTGTTTTACTTACTTCAGAGGTTGACATTTATGATGAGATCACAGTTCATCTTACCTTCTCATAACTCTTCCATGTAGGTGCATCACTACTCCCATGTCAGCCAAATGTTCTAATAGGTTCTTGGCAGTGATGTGGGGGGTTTGCTTTACATACCTCACCAGTCTATGAGCAGGTCTATCACAGATATATCCTGGTCTTTCAGATCTTGTCTTGACTTAACAGTTTTCCTTACTTCTACTTATACTAGTGGATCAAGTGAAAGGGGGTCCAAACTTATGCATGCACATGATATATATATACACGTATATATATATATATATATATATATATATATATATATATAAATATATATATATATACAACAAATAAATAATCATTGCATAAATTTGTCATATTTTTTTTTTCTTTGCAGAGGTTGTGTTAACCTTTTTTCAAAATAAACAAAATGTTTAATTTGACCAGGGTCACCTGAAATTTTGACTACAACTGTATTCTGTGCCTTGCTGTCCTTTCTGTGAGTTCTCAGTTTCTGAGAGATGTGACTGTTGATGGGTCCACTGATTCATGAGCATGATCTGAAAGAGTGTGTTGTTTTGTTCTGGGCAAATCTTGCAGTTTGGCGGCTTTGATGACTGAAGGATGACTAAGATAAAATCAATGGAATTCAACATCGTGTATAGGGTCTCTCATGTCTTAAACATCTGTTAGTTGTGGTTCTTGGAATTAATCAGTGTTATGCTGCATTTACATTATGTCAGTAGTGACATCAAACCAAATATTCAAAGTTTTTTTTTTAATGGAACATAGACAAAAAAAAATATGCTGCTGCTAGCAGCAACAGCAGCATACAGCAATGTATACTCAGCAAAATGTTCCATCACGTGTTTGATTTTCCAAACTTTTGTCATCAGCCACAGTAGTGGAAATATATCAGATTGAACATGATTATTTGGGGGGGAAAGCAGGCGCTGAACACACATAGTTAATGTTTAGGCGTAACTGTTCATTTACAACAAAGCCCCAACTTTCCAAACTTTTTCAAACCGTTTTTCCTATTTTTGGACTGTTTTTACTGCTCCATTCATCATGAAAAGTTCACACAATATAAAGACCAACCCGTACTTTCAAATTATGTTAAAAAAAAAAAAAGATTTGTTTTGACAACAACAATATGCTGCATATCCCTTTAGTATAAAATGGTGCTGTACATTTCAATGGAGATCTGAAACATGTATAACTAGCAGGTGCTTGTGTGCATGCAGCAAGTGTGTGTGTTGGCTGTGCATCAGCTGGGCAAGTAGGGGTATACCACCCACCACCCCAAACCCAGGCTTCCAGTAAGGCAGACAGGCATCGTCATGCAGTTTTTATCAGGCAAGCAGTTCAGGCTTTGCATGCCTAGGCCATGTCACACAGTCTCAGATGTTCGGTCTTGAGCAACATAGACACAAAGCTCTCCACTGTTTCTTACAGCCAGTCTCTCTCTCCCTTCTACTCTCTTTCTTTAACCCTCATCCAACATAAAGTCCCCCTCGTCCACTCTCTCTGATGTGTATCAGGCTGTGTGTAAGGGAGGTTTCGATGGTGCTGTTTGCATTCCTGAGTAGTGAGACAGAAGTCCTCCCTGCATGATGAGCTCCTCATAAATTACAGGCAAAACACAGTGCTCAGCTTTATTCCACATTCTGCCCATCTGAGAAGCTTCCACATCTGCTCAGGATCAGATAATGGGAAGATCCCTCTGGCTAAAAAACCTCCATCAGAACAAACCCTCTACTGATCCCCAAGCCTTACCAAGGAATCCACAATATCTGGTCATCTGTCCTGTATTACTGAACATGCACCAGCACCATGATATCACTGTTGTCAGAAGAAAACCTTGTATCTCCAAAATGATAACTTTACAGAAAAAGGGAAAAACTTACTTTACTTTTAATATAAGTCAATGGAACCAGACATTTTTCCAAGTAATTTTGGGCCGTTTCTTTTGGTCCATTCTTCATGAAATTTACATACAATGTATAGGGCAACAGGCACTTTCAAATTATGCCAAAAACTGAAAAACGACAAAAATGGAGATACAAGGTTTTCTTCTGACAGCAACGATATGCTACACTATCAGAAAAAAGTACCAAACTGTCACTTAGGGGGTGCAATTCATGTGGTACCCTCAAGAGTACTTTTAGATATGGAAAACAATTGAACTATTTTTCATCGCAACTACAGATTTTTTTTTAGGTTACATTGACTCCAGACACCTTTTCTTTAGCTTTTATTTCTGTTTATATTTTAAAAGATTGGGTTATGAAAAGATACACATATACACTATTCCTTTGAGTAAGTGAATGTTGTTTAGCTTTAAAGCATATTTAATTTACATGATTCAACCTGAAGACTATTGTTGTCCCTTTTGAGGGCAGATTTACATTGTTTGTACCTGTACAACACCTTTTTTTCTGACATATTCACAATATATATAGACTTCATAGTTATAGTTATGGTACTCTACCAAACCCTTACCAATTCCTCTATTGTTGGGTGTAATGCTGTACAAAATAGGACATTAATATAATACCTTTTATGGAACAAAGTAGTGTAATGCATTATAGTTACTGCCTTACTCGTAAGAAATGAGTTATTGTGTTACTCGTGTTTTTGAGAGAAACATTAATTACATGAAATGCATTTAAAACACAAATTTCATCTATATAGATTATCTGTACTTTTACGTAATTTGCTTGCTCTCATGTACTACCTGCTAAAGCTGACTACTATGCTAACATAAACCTGTGAAACAGATGAATAAAGAAGGAAGAGTTCTGCCAGCTTTACATTAATACATTTTTTAAAGTACCTTTTTTTACTGACTAATTTCTGAGTTTTCAAATAGCATTAGCCATTCATGACTTGAATCAAGCATAAATCGGTATGTTTTGTTCAGAGCAAAGGCAGAGATGGTGACTTTTTTTAAGTTATATTGACCTTATACACCTTTTCTAGTTATATTGACTCTATACACCTTTTCTAGTTACATTGACTGTATACACCTTTTCTAGTTACATTGACTGTATACACCTTTTCTAGTTACATTGACTGTATACACCTTTTCTAGTTACATTGACTCTATACACCTTTTCTAGTGATTAGCTGTTCTTGCTATTGAAGTGTCAAAGAGACTACTGTGTTTTCTCTTGTACTTTCCAATTGGTGCAATTCGTGTGGGTTTTAGAGAGTAACATACATGCAACATAATAGTGTAGTGAGATTACATTTTCAGGAAGTAATCAGTAAAGTAATCCCATTATAGGTTGAGAGATGTAATGAGTCATTTTTAATGGATTACCTTTTTGTGTAGGTGTCCCAACACTGCTGATCCTCAACTATAGCTCAGCAAGCATGAATCACTTACAACCTCACCAATCATGATCTGTCAAGAGGCAGACAGTGTGTTAATCAGTCAGTGTATTACTTCTTGTTTCTCCTTGCAATCATGATAAGACTGGGATCAAAAATGTGTTTTTATCCAGACCAGCCCATCACAGATGGCTAGATAGATGTACCTCACCTTCATTTGAATGCTGCTTATACTGCTAGGTACAGCCAAGGTGCAAAATGCAGGGGTTTTGGGGGATTCAGGACCCCCTAATTAACCTTGGACCCTCTGAATGTCTCAAAATCAAAATTCTGGAGGGTTCCTGAGGTCTGTTAGGGGAAAAAATACAAATTCAAGGAAAGGTCATTGTCTTTCTGTCTTTGGTGTTCTTATCCACTTAAATGGCAACTGACAGCCCCAAAATTTTATTACACACCTCTATAACCAAAGAATAGCCCAGTTAGTTTGCATTGAAGTCCTTGTAGTTACTAAATAATAAGCCTTAGTATGTAATAAGCCTTGATATGTAATAAGCCTTAGTATATAATTAGCCTTTTAAAGGGTTAACTAACTAGAGATGCAACATTGGTCTACCTCAGGGTGGTACTGTAGCAAATTAGTTCTCCCAGTTGGTCCGTTACAGCCTAGCAAGGCTAACTAAGCCCAGGACACTTCTGAAAAACTTTTTAATATGCCACATATTTGTAAATGTGAAAACTTACCTATTTCCCAAGAGATTGGTGGAAAGATTGAATTGTTCTTCATTTCTCAAACTGAAGATGAAAGAGATGTAAGATCTTCAAGTGTAGAAGACTGACGATTACAGTTCATGTTGATTAGAAAGACTGAAGACTACCAAAGAGAAAAGAGCATTTTCAAAAGAAGAATTGTTAAACCAGACCTTTTGCTAACATTGAAGCTAGCTTCAGCACCTCTGTGGTAAATGAGTTAGCAGCTAGCCAATGCTAGAGTAGTCAACCAACATGGGACTCTCTTAATAGCAGAGGGTACTTCATACACTGGGGACTGCTAACACGTACTTGTTTAACTAAACAATGTTAGAGGTAACTAGCAACCAAGTGACAAGCCAGCTAACCAACTAAAGTTAGCAGACGCATTATAGCAGCACTTTACATAACTAAGACTAAGCTAGCTAGGTAATTAACAAAAATGTAGGTTTTTTTTACTCTTTGCTCTTCATTTTGAGGGAAACAACTAGTTAGTTTCTGTAGTGAGTTACTATGTAACTAGCATCACATAGCTAACTGTAAAAGTCATTGTTACCTCACCTACTAGCTAAGCTCTGAAAAATGATTAAATTAGTTCCTCAGTGTTTGTTTCAATATGCGAACAACTGTAAACAAGCTACTGTGCTTTAGCTCTTCTACACTGTGCTGCAATCTGTGATTTAGTGTTTCAATTCATATTTTTGGACGTGGGTGATGGGAGGGGCTTGTAATCAATTAATGTGATGGAATATGTGTATTGATAACACCGTATATGTGAGCAACTCACACCACATCTTTCACTCTCCTTCTCTCTCTCTTTTTGTGAACCACCAGCAACAACGGTTCACCCTGTTGATGCCAAAATATTGTGGTGACCTTCCCAAAGTGTCACAATAACATGTAACCTACAGTCTGTCCTTATATTCTCTCTCTGTGTAGGTATAAATGAGTGTCCGTTGGTGGATGTGTGTAACTCTGAGGACTCGGCTGTGCCCTCATTGGATGAGGAGCATTGTGAGGAGTTGTGGGAAAGAGTGGAGGGGGTCAGACACAAGCTGACCCGCATCCTGAATCCAGCTAAACTGACCCCGTATCTGCGGCAGTGTAAGGTCATTGATGAACAGGATGAAGACGAAGTGCTGAACTCCACTCAGCTTCCACTGCGGATCAGCAAGGCTGGTCAGAACATGTACACTCTGTTGACCCCTGCTGTTACTGCCTGTTAACCTCACATTTACCCATATTTTACCCCCTACCCCAGCTGCCCTTTTTACCCTAATATTTCTACTCCCTCAGTCCACTTCCCTTTTACCGTTATATCTCCTGTCATGTAACTGACCCTCAACTCTACTGCCCTTTTACCTCCTTAAGATGCTGTTTTCTGTGTGTGAGTGAGAGTGACAGAATGAGAGTGACAGACTGAGTGAAAGAGACTATGTATTGGATGTCTATTCAGTAAGATGACTGGTGGTTGATTGTAATGTAGTAGTTTAAAGTGATTTGATTTGTTGGTGTGGTGTTTTCCAGGTCGTTTATTGGACATCCTGAGGGGCCGTGGTGAACGGGGGCTGCAGGCTTTCATGGAGTCACTGGAGTTCTACCATCCAGAGCAATACACACAGCTCACAGGCAGAAAGGCCACACAACGCTGCTCTATGATGCTTGGTATGTGTTGACATTACTGCTGTGCACATTAAAGGGGAACTCCACTGATTTTTTTCAATATACATATAAACAAAATCATGCAGAGTGATGCTCTATTCTAGATAAACTTACCAACTCATCACATGGTTATGAATACACTGCCTGATGTCTGATAAACTGTTTTATGATAGTTTTGTGATTAAGTTTTGGTCTATAATGTATTTTAATCAATGAATTTTAATCCATTCATGGTGGAAGGATACATGAAAGAGTGTTCTAATGCGAAATCGATCCCAAAGAAAACTTTTTTTCAGATTGACCATTACTTTACTGTAATCAAAATTACATATGTAAATTCAGGAGAAGTGTATAGGCTCACTGGAGGATCTGGATAGTAAAGAAAATGGCTATATTTGTATTGCTGACATTATTTGACCCCTGGTTCCTATCACCACCACTGTAAGGAAGTAGTAGTCAGTAAATGTCTCTACAAATGAACCATTTCACATCAAAACAATCTGAATGACTTTGTTTACAATGCAACCAATAAATTAGGCAGATATTTTGAAAAATCAGTGCAATTTCCCTTTAAGCTAAATTCATTACCAATCACTTGCTGTAATAAATAATACTAAATAAAATATTCCTTTATTTTTTCATTTGGGAAGCAGGGTTGCACATGAAAACCTGTTGTACACAAGTTAAAATGACTTTTTTGTTCAATTAAATAAATAATTAGGGGAATATTTTATCATAAACAAAATGCTAATTGTAATAAGTTTAGTTTTAGGTTAAAGTACAGATCCCTTCACTTTGTACAGAAATACAAAAAACTCCTTGTGTCCTGTCCATGGAAAGCGCCTGTTACTGAACATATTTAGTCTGAATTCAAAATACAAATTTAGGGAATACATTTTCAGAACACAGAAATTAAGAGTCTGTATTTAGTTTTTTGTGGTTTTTTTGGGTTTTTTTTTTTTGAATATACACTACTTGCTCAAAAGTATGTTGACACCCCCATCATTTTTGACTTCAGGTGTTTCAGCCCCATCCATTGCTAACAGGTGTATAAAATCAAGCACATAGCCTTGCAATCTTGATAGACAAACACTTACAGTAGAATTGGTCATACTGGAGTGCAACACTTACTCTATTCTCAGCAGAAGGGCAACTTTATTTGAAATTTCTGCCCTGCTGGATTTTGCCTATTCAGCTGTGCTATTATTTTGAAATGGAAACATCTAGGAGCATCAACAGCTCAACCACAAAGTGGTAGACCACCCAAACTCACGCAGCGGCCTGCCAAGTGCTGAAGTGCGTACTTCTGTTGCATCCCTCACTACAAGTGGTTGGTATAGTGTAGTGGGTAACACCTTTGCCTTCTACGCTGTAGACTGGGGTTCAATCCCCTACTTAGGCCAGCACCCTACACAATACCAATAAAAGTCCTTGAGGAATACTCCTAACACTACCTTCACTTATCTGAACAAATTGTAAGCCACTCTGGATAAAAGTCTGCCAAATGCCATAAATGTAAATGTACAGAGTTCCAAACTGCTTCTGGAGGCCACAACAATGCAAGAACTGTGTGTTGAGAGTGTCATGAAATGGGTTTCCATGGTTGAGCAGCTTCACACAAGATCACTATGCCATGTCTGGTATAAAGCATTGGAAACAAGTTGGAGTGATGAATCACGCTGTATTACTTGGCAGTCTGATGGATGAATCAGAATGACAGTGTGGATGCCAAGAAAATGCTGCCCACCAGAATGCATAGTGCCAACAGTAAAGTCAGGGTGGAGGAGGGATAATGATCTTGGGATGTTTTTCAGGTTTTGGACTCTGCCCCTTTGTTTCAGTGAAGGGTAATGTTAGTAATACAGCATATAAAGACATTTTAGACACTCGTATGCTTCCAACCTTTCCTGTGCCTGTACAACTGTGTCCCTGTGCACAAAGAAAGCTCCATAAAGGCATTGTTTGATGAGTTTGCTGTGGAGGAACTCCAGTAGCCTGCACAGAGCCCTCACCTTAACCCCACTGAACATCTTGGGGATAAATGTTTGTGGCCAGTTTTTGTGTCTTACTATGTTGTAGTACAGAGCCTTACTGTATTGTTCAGTACCTTACTTACACATAATTATTGTTTGAAGCACCAGATGTGAATTTTCTGCTGTAAATTACTCAATTGACACCAAGCCACAAGTGGTAGAAACACAAAATTTGGCTTAGAGGTGCAGTATGTCACCCACTGTTTTCTTTTAAAATGATGAAGTCTTTAAGACTGTGCATATCTGTGTATGGGCAGATGAGGAGGGTCCGGAGGGTCTGACACAATTCCTACTGTTGGAGGTAAAAAAGCTGAGGGAGCAGCTCCGTAATGCTCGGCTGTGTGAACGGAGGCTGTCTCAGCGCTGCAGAGTGGCTGAAGATGAACGCAACCGAGCAGAGAGAAAAACGCAGGATCTCAGACAAGACAGAGTACAGCTGGAGAGGTACACACACACACACACATCACTGGACTATGTCAGTAAACTTGACAAATACCAGGTGCATATGCTTGTCCTTATTTCCATGCAGATTCATCAATTGCACTAAAATCACTGATTGTTGTGTCTTACGACAGTTTCCTGAATCAGATACGGAGTAGTTTGCGTGTTATTCGAGGCAGGGAAATCTCAATGCAATGGGATTTGTGAAAACAGAACTTCTGCTAAGTAATGACAACATACTCAATTAATTTAAGATTTTTCTTAATAACAAATGTATAATTGAAGTCAGTCTTGAAATGAGCAAATACAATAATGTAAATTTAGACAAACGACTACTGTCCGCAGGATTTTCACAATAAATGTTGATATTGTGATCAAATTTCAGTTACAAAGTACCACATGTGAGTGTTTAAGAGCCTTACCCTATAGCTGGCATTTTCACTAATGGTACTTTTCCATGTAATACCATATAATTACCACGTGGCCTGCTAATAATATTACTTAATGCTTTATAATATGCCAGTTTGGCATTTTTTCCCAACCAAAATTAAGCACAGAAAACCACTGGATATTAATAGTGTTGCATACTGTTACAGATTATAAGAGATGTCATTTTACCAGTTTGCAAGCACTTCCCAGGACACATCGCCTGGTTCACTATGCTAAACTGGGTCTGGCCTGTAGAAGAGGAGAGCTTCTGTAAAATCAGTCTACATGTAAAATCAACTGACGCCTATCTTCTTGACAAACTTGACTTTCTATTTCACTCTCTACCGGAGAGCAGATCTCATATCTCAAGTTGCATTGTTTACCAGAAAATCTGCATTAGAATCTTCTGAAATGGCATTCAAAGCACATGTGTATAGTTAATTAGTTAGTGATGTTCTGTTCGTACAGCCTATAATCAAGTGTACTTGAATCTATTATAGACATAGGTTAGAATGATTGTATAACGGAGTTGGTGAAATAAAAGTGATGCAATAAAAAATGTGTGGCATGTGGAAGATAACTAAAGAATGACCATTAGCATAATGTACTTATTTAAATTATCATAATAATTGAAAAAATCTAATATTACTTCAAGATTATTAACCAATAACATCATGTTTCACCTCTACCTCCAACCACCCCCACCTACCACTAAGCGAAGCTTACTCAGAGACCCTCCCCAGTCTTATCATTTTCCCAGTCCCAGCACCAGCACTAAATCATGAGTGGCATCTGAAAACCATGGGGGTGCAGATGGGGCAGAGAGTGGGTTTCTGAAGTGCATCCACCTACCACAAAAAAGGAGCTAAGCAGCTATGGATTATTCAGGAGAGAATCGGCAGGAGATCCACATTTTCAGCAAATCACCAAACGTCTACCCTTTTAGGAAATCTGCTATTTTCCCACAACATAGAGAGATGCATTCAAACCCTATTATGTTAGTCAGACACGTGTCAAGCAGAGGCAGCACAAAGTTTAGTTTGCTTTGAAAGCATTTGCTGCCTGTCACTATAAAAGCATGTACAAAAAGATGTGGGTTTAGTAGGGCATGATGATTGGTTGGTGGGGCATTATCCCACTAAATGACCCTCAAACGCTGGGGAAGAGTGAAAAAGAGAGCTGGTGATATATAGTCACCAGCCTGTCTAGCTATATTAATGTTTAACTCAGTTGGCTGGCTAACGTTAACCACCTACCATAAATTTATTACACAGCCAACTTTAATGTCTGTGGAAAACTACCAAACATTACACTAAGTAATAAATTCCATGCCAGTAAGTTTCTTGAGGATCAAAGCTTGACAATAGAGAATTGCAACATCCTTAAAGAATGCATCGGCCTGTGTGTGTGTCTGTTTGTGTGTGTGTGCCAGGTTGAGACAGGACTGGGAGGCGGGTGCTAGAGAGCTGGGCAAACTGAAGGAAAGGCATTTGGAGCAGGCAGTGAAATACTCCAGAGCTCTAGAGGAACAGCGTAAAGCTTCTGCCCGTGAGAGAGAGCTACTTATGCAGGTAACGTACACAGAATTCATACAGGCATTCACATACTGAGCAAGTGTTATAAAACAGTAAAACTTCACATATCTGAGAAGTAATGTAATTGATGATGTTCCCAAAACCCCAACACAATCCCATCATAAGTGTATTTCCCCATCATAAGCTAAGTAAGAAAAGTGTTTCTCAATGATTCACTAAAAGTAGCAGCTTAAGGAAACAGCTGTTCTGATTTAGTTATTATAACTGAGCATTCTATCACAGTAATCCACACTCTTAGAATAAAGGGGGTAGTTGAGGTCAATTTTTGTCCTCCAAATCACAGACAGTGTAAACGTATCCTCAAAGGTACAGGATGGTCTTTAGGGTTCACTACCTTAAATAGGTTTCAAAGCTACACCACATTCACTTTCCCAGAAGAAAGAGGCTTAATTTTTTCTCTTTTCATAGCTTTGCACTTCTCTGTGATAGATTTACACTACCTGGAACAGGTGAGTGTCAGCATTAGGGAAGTGATCATTACGCAGCATAAACCTCATCATGTCCATTTACTTTATATGCTCACCTGATTCAGCTCAGACAGCACCTGATGAGTCAGATGAGGTGTGTTACAGCAGGGGAAACCCTAAACATACTGGACAGTGGCTGCTCTGTTCCATGACTGGGATAGATTAACAGGAGAGTGCCAGCGGCTAAAGCACTTCAGACTAGGGATTGCACAAGAGGTTATGCACAGTTAAGGGTGACTAAAAATGAAAACTGTAAATGAACACAGACACAACAAAACATAAATAAAACATACTCAATAATGAAGACAGGTTTACTGATAAAGTGAAAACCTTAAATTGCAGCTATCCATTTCTTACTGTTTCATTCATGTTTAGTTCTTGATAAACTGTATAAAGTGTATGAATAATTTTGCACAGGACCAGAAATTCTGTTTAGGTTCAGAACAAACCAAAGAGAAAAATGCTCTGATTGTTTGAAAATTAATCAGAAAAAAAAAATACTGCTAATATAGTAACTCTGGCCCTATTGTTCGGCAATCACAAGTTCAGTCCATGGTGATGCCACAGCCATCTGTAGCCTGGAATCTCTCTCTGGGTGCATAGGATGGCCCTTCCTCCCCCCCATCATCCAGCACAATGCTGACCAATGCAAGCAACTGTTAGTTTGCATTCTCCTCCAAACACATTAAGCTGTCCAATGACATTCCCTTAGCAGCAGTGCTAGTTCTCACCCTCCCAGCTTTAAAACAATAAATAAAAACAATCAAAAATACTAACATTACTTAGCAGTTAACTACATTTAAGTATAGCTGAAGCTTTCACTTGAGTCTAAAAAAATTACTGCTTGTTTTTGTTTTGTTTTTTTTTTTATTTTCATTCCCTGTACTGTTTCTAATTTTAGTTGACAAGTTATTCAAGGAAAAAAGTTAACCAGTCATCATTTACCATAGTTACAGAAAAAAACAAGGACAATGTTATTGAAGGCAATGAGAATGGTACCATAAAATTATGAAGAATCAATTTACAAAGTACTCAATCTACAACTTAAATGCCCTACTTAAATATTTCTTTAGTTCACATTGTTAAACATGAAAATGCCTCTGTATTATAGGTGGAGCAGCTGAAGAACAGACTGACAGAGGTGGAGAAAAGTGCTACTGGAGACTTCACGCCCACCGCCTCCATCAAAAGGGCCAGTGCAGTACATGTGACGGCAGAGAGTTCCCCTGCTGGACAAAACACAATACTGCGGCCCACACATGCACAGAGAGACCACGTTACTGGGACTCAGGTAAAACACACTCATACAGACATATACATACACTCAGTCACATATCAAATAATATCGTCATTGTCATTTTTTTTTACCTTTTTTACATTTGCAAAACATCAGCTTTCATTGTGTGAATTTTTCTTGAAGGGTACACTAACACCAATTATGGAAAGTCAAAAGATTTTTTGTAGTTTATTTATGTTAGCATGTGTGTGGTCTCTGCAGGCTCTGCTGGACATCCTGCAGCAGGACCGCAGAGAGGCAGCGGAGCAGAGACAGGAGCTGTGCAGTACCGTGCTCAGACTGCAGGGGGAGCTTGAGAGCGCTGAGGCAGCCAGAGAGAAGGTCAGTAAGACAGAAAGTCGAGAAGTGTTTTTAGATGGCCCTAGATCAGCATTTTTACGTGTTTACCTGTGTGATGTGTGCTGTGTGTTTGCAGTTGGAGGCTCAGTGTGAGCAGCTGCAGCTCAAGGTGCGGACGCTGCAGCTGGACTGGGAGGCGGAGCAGAAGAGGAGCATGTCCTACTTTAATCAGATTATGGAACTGGAGAGAGAGAGAGACCATGTAACACACACACACACAGATGCACACATGCTAATACACACACAGCATTTATCACACTGTCTTACTAGGGCTGCCAGGTTGTCTGGTTTAGTTTTGAACTCACTCTACATGCATTCCATTTGCTGAAGTAGATTACGTGCTCTTCTAGCCCTGCGTCTCAAATTACAGGTACCATACCAAATATGGTCTTTACTTCTCATCATATCTTCATGATCAATTCTACCAGGTAGATTCGAAGGGCTCTCTCTCTCTGCCCTGCAAGGCATCACCACTGGAGTTCCTCAGGGGTCAGTTCTTGGTCCACTTCTGTTGTATTTGTACACTGGGATCAGTGTTAGGCTCTCATGGCTTCCCTCATCACTGCCACACTGATGACACCCAGCTGTACAACAACAATTGAAATTAAATATGGACAAGATAGAATTTATCTACCTACCAACAAAGCACTCCACTAAACTGGACCTCTCTATCACTATTAACTCCTGTGTCCATCTATTAAGCAGGGCTAAAAACAACCAGCTTCATTTCTCAGATCACATAACATCTGTCACCTGATCCTGTATATTCCTTGTTCATAGCATCAGAGAATATGACCCTTCATGACCACAGAGGCCGCTCAAGTTCTTGTTCAAGCTCTAGACTTGACTGCATATGGACTGTTGTCTGCTGCCACCCCTTGGACAATAAAATACATGCGGTTTTATTTCACAATTTAAATGGTGCACACTTGCTGACGCCCCAACATAGATACACATCACCATACTTATTTATTCACAAACTCTATACACACATGCACACATGTAAACACATGCCATATATAAGACATATGGATATAAATGCTACAAATGTATGTACTCTATATACTAGAGTTTTAATAGGGCCTGCAATTTATGGCTGACCTTGAGTACAGCTTAAGAATTTTCTTTCTGAGTTGGACCCAACCCACCACACAGCATTGCATTTTGAGTCCAAACTCAATGCAAACCCAGGAAAATTCTGTCCAAACCCAACAAGCCAAACCACATCATCAAGTCCAAACCCAGCGCAAGCTTAACAAAATTCTGTCCAAACCCGCCCTGAGCCAAACCACATCATCAAGTTTTGAGTTCATCAAAATTGGTTTGAAACTGACCTGAACCGGCCCATCATCACCAACAGAATTTCTGATGATTAAGCAAACTAAACTGTACTTGTGAGGTCATTTGGCAATAAATGTCATGCACACAGACACACTCTGACCTTGTGTGTTGTGTGTGTGTGTGTTTCAGGCTCTGCGCAGTAGAGACAGTCTGCAGTTAGAGTTTACGGACTGTCTGTTGGATAAGAACCGTCTGCGTAAGCGCATAGCAGAGCTACAGAGCAGTCTGGAGCAGCAGCAGAGGGAGCTGGAGAAAGAGAGAGAGAAAAATGAGAGAAATAGAGAGCAGAATGGCACCCCCTGCAGACATGGAGTGAGTACTGCACTTTACTATGCTGTAACACACACTCAGATCATTAGTGATGGCAACATGAAGCTTTCTAAATCAGCAGAGCTTACACTTAAACTGTAGTGAAAAAGGGAATTCATTACCCATTATACATTAGTATAATGTATATCCATATCTAAAGTGAAGGGGCTGTCCTGTATATATGCAGAATATGTACTGTAATTTAACAGAATTTTCTGTTTAAAGGGTTACGGAATTGTCTGTTAATTTTACGGAAAAGTTTAAAGTATATTTTCTGGGATTTTTTTACAGATGTTTTTTTTCACCGTGTAATGCTTACACGGTTACACGGTGTGCACTAACTCAAACAGCAGTTAGTGCACATAAGAGCTGTACATTAGAAATACAGGGGTGCAGGAATAAAAACTGTACAAGTGCAGTAATCTGCTGCATTTATAAATACAGTAAAATGATATGTTTTTTTACATGACTTCAGTATCACTACACATCACCGCAGAGAGCGTCACTGTGCTTACTTAATCTACTCTCTGCTCTCTTTTTGTCTATGTCTCTTTGTGTGCAGTCTCATTTCTCTCTGCTCAGTGAGGACCAGTGTTTTGGCCCCTGCTGTTCTCTCAGTCTGACCCACCAAGACGGCACACACCAGCTACTGTACAAGGTTAGACATACACAAACACAGTTGTCCAGGAAGTGATGCTGCACATTCCTCAGCAAGTCTGTGCACATTGGAAAAATAAGGTGGCTGCGTCCAAAAACTTTTGCTACTGCTCTTATCCTCCCCCTCCTTTCCTACTGCTCCTCTCATACACCAGAAGAACACTGAGGAACTGATGAGAGGAAGGGAGCAGGTGGAATGGAGAGAACGAGCAAAAATAGGGGAAATGAGGCAGCTGATTCCTTTCAGTGTCATTAAACTTGATGATGATAACTTATGAACTGAGCCTATAACAACGCTCACCTGAAAGCTCTTCCCTCATTCTCCTGTAACCAGTAACAGCTGCTACAAAAAGCCATTAACTTTCAGGGGTTCTGGGTGCAGCCAGTATGTCTTTAACAGTTTCAACCCTTCTTTCCTGTTGTAAGGAAAATTACTGCAATAGTTTGTACTTATTTATTCATGCAATGATTTCATTTATTGTTTGTTCTCTGCATTCACAGTCGCCCTCTAATGGCCAGAACAGTGAACAGTCAGAAGGTAAGAGAGACCTTTTACTTTCTTTCTTCCCTTTTTATATTCTAATCTTACAATTTTCTATTGTATATTCTGTTTTTCATGGCAAAGGACAGTTGTATAAGCACTTCACTACAGGTTATACTGTGTATGGCTGTGTGTGTGACCTATAAAGTTTGATTTGATTTGATTGCTGCACTTGCCTTCAGTGTCAATAGACCATTTATAAAATTCTAAGTCCCACCTCCCTTACTTATTGTCCATCAAACTTTCAGCTTCAGCCACCTCGTAGCATTCGTAGCACTTGTGCTAACAGACTAAGAAGTTTGATAGCACAAAGAAAAAAATCAGAAGTATGCATTTGTGTAAACTGGCTTAACAAGATGTTTGGTACGGAAATGCATGTCTGAAAATCAAAGAATTGACAAAATAGCCAAATGGTTACATTAATCAAACAATGGAAATCTTTTTATCACTGGGCGTTAAAGCAATATTTGTGTCAAATAAGATGTTTGAGTGATGGAAGCTACTCCTTCAGATGAGCCAACACTAGAGCTAACACTAAAGCTTTAGTGAAACATTATAAATAATGGTAAACATATGAATGCATTATTATTTATCTTTACACAGAATCTTTGTAGTCACAAATGCAAGCAAAATACAGTGAAAATAGGTTGAATGAAGTTTTTGCCCAAGGTCTGTAAAGCTTGTTCACCCTCACAACACCAGCTCTGACTGCATTTGTAGACAGAGCATGGACAGGGCAATTAAAGAGAACAGATGTTTACCTGTCTCAGAACAGGTGTGTTCAGGTGACTTAGTGCTTGAAACTCCCAGTCCTGCGTGCTTTAGTGTTTTTCTGCTCTAACACACCTGCTTTAACTTATGAGCTCATTAAAGCCTTCATGAGGGCAAAGTGTGCGTGTTGGAGCAGCACAATAACTTTTAACATGCGGTTTGGGGGGGCTAAGAGTAGAATTAGAAAACTCTTTTCTAAGTCAGTAATTTCTGCCTATGTATATGTGTGTTTGTATCTCACAGGTTCGCGCTCCAACTCTGAGGAGAATCTCTTCAGTCCGGTCAGTAACCAAAGCCACACACACGATCAGGAGTATTTGTTATATTAATATTAAGGGTAATATTTGTTAAAGACTTATTTTGGAAGACTTGTACAATTTGTATTATTAAAACTGAACACTTGTAATCACTTGCAACTTTTGAGGGCACTGGGTCACAGTTTAAAAACAACAGGGATTTTAAGCAAGAATTTTAAGGAACACTACAGCAATCAAACAGTGTTGTTTTCCACATATGCATATTTGGCATACAATAACGCTGGTCTTCTACAGCAGGCAAAAACACGGTTTAGCTGACTTATTGTACCATTTTGTTGAGTTTTAAATTATAACTTTATTTTCACTTCATAATGATATTGTCATTTGAATGGCATCAGAACATAGTTTTTTTAAAGAAGCATGACTAATATTGTCAAGTTACACATTTTCTCACTACATGATCTGCTTATATGGTATCACAACATATAGATGATAATAGTACAAGCGAATAATGTAATCTAGTTTAGCTTACATATAAGCCCTTATTTGTAAATTACAGAAACAAATAAAAGCACCTAAAGTGAAGAAGGCTTAAAGTCATGTTTGTAGCCAAGATGGCAAGTAATGAGGGAGATGAAGTAAAACTGAACTAAACTGTGCTGTTTATTAGAGTGAAGGTGCACAGCATGCAGACGAGTGAAAGCAGGCTATGTGCTGAAGCTGAACCTGAACTGACAAGAATTACTGCCTATTAGTCGCTATAACACACTTGTGGCCAGCACATATAAATATATATATATATATATATATATATATATATATATATATATATATATATAAGGTAAAGCATTTATAAAGATAAAAAGCAATGCCATGCTGCCATGGCGATGTAGCTTGGTAAAAAGTGATACACCATTGTGAAACAGAAAACCCACGGTTAGATTGAACTAAATTTAAAGTTAGCTGGCTAAGCAAGACATCCTGCTTATTGAGACAGGCCCCAGACCAGAGGGCTATTTCACAAAGCAGGATTTCTCAGTTTAGATGGATAGTGTAGAGAGGACTGTCCATTAATTAAATATTCCTGACCTCTTCTCTTATCGAACAGAATTAAGCATAAAACTATTGAAATATTATTGAATTTAATGAGAAAACCATGCTTTCTCATAAATATAATCTCTGTCTACTGTTAACATAATGCTGTCTCTTCTCCAATTTGTGTGGAGTGTAGCTCTGTGACAGTGCAAAGGAGATCAACAGGCTGTCCACATTCCCGTTTCCCCCCTGCATGAACTCCATCAACCGCAGGGTCAATACTGAGTAAGGCACACGGTCACACCCTGCACACCAACACTCTGAACACACACATACAAACACACACTAAATCAGCCCACAGAGATAATAGAGTACATGTGCTAGGCTTGTCGAAATTACTAATTAACAATCACAAATATTTGATATTTGTTTATTTTAGCTGACTGCAATTATTTTGCACAGTTGTTAATGTTAACCATAATAGGTTTATTTTATCAGTTCTGATGAATCTTTTACTTAAATTAATATAAATAAAAGAAAGCAAATCAGCCAATTTGGCCACTTTAGGCTTGTGCTTTAATACTATTTAATTGGTCCAAAAAAGGCCGAAAATTGTTAATCACAATTATTTACATAACAGTTAATTGTCAGCTGAAATGTAATGATTATGACAGACCTTAAATGATCATATAGACAAATATATAAACACCCTGCATACTAACATTCTGCACACACTGTCTAAAGACATACAAAAACATACAAACACTCATACTGTGTACATGCACACTCATAAACAGCCCCTGAGTATGTGACACTGTGTGTTCGCTGTGTTTCAGGTTTGATCTGGATTCGTGGGGCAGTGATGAAACCGACACTGTCACAGGTTTGATACTCACACCCTGCTGTAGCAGTGTGCCACAGTGCAGCACAATGTACACTCTGTAGACTGATGTACAGTACTGTGCAAAACTTTTATGTACCTGATAAAATTAGAGATAAAATCTACTGATCTGGGCATTAAGTGTGTATTTGCTCAGAAAAATACTAATATTAGAATACAAACAACATTAATGTGATATATAGTGATTTTATGTATGTCGGTGTGTTCAAATAACTCTTCACATCCCTTGTCTTGTGGCAGCCCAGTAATATTTATAGTTACCATCCCACACCTGGTTAGACTAATCAGTGCTTTACAATGTTAAAACAAGTGTGCTGTTGATGGAATTGTACAAATCCATGTGATACAACTGGGGTGCCCAAGAGCACCCTGGAACCAAACGTTTTCTTCAAACTAGCTCGCAAGATATCAACTACTTTTCAAAATATATTCTTGTTACTTTTTGCCATGTTTATTTGCATCTATTCTAATGATATATGGTGTTTTAGTGGCGAAAACACACTTACTGCTAAAATAAATGGCTTTAAACAACGTGCTTAGAGCTTTAAGACATTTGCATTGCACTGTAGCTACACAGGTTACAGGCTTGATTTTGTTAATGACTATTAACACATTCACTGCATGTACCTACCTAATCTGTGTGTATGTTTCTGGTTGTAGATGACTCTGAATCGTCTCTATGGGCGTCGTGTGCTTCTCTGCAGTCTCAGCTTTTCCCTCCTGATCTGGTAAACAAGCGTGCATCGAGCAAAACATCACTGCAGTGAGTAAACACACAAACTATACTACTCTATGTACTACTGCTGGTGGGGAACCGTTGGGGTCTTCTAGACCTTCGGAAAAGGCCTAATAATGGGAGCTGAAAAATAAACATCTGTAATCTGTAGTTATTACTTTATTTAATTTTTTTTTAATCATTATGCTTGTTGTATTTATACTCAGCATGTATTGTTGTAATAATCTTATTCCACTATTTAAGTTTTGGTTGAAAACAAAAGGTTAACAGCCCAAAAAAAGATCCAATCATGATTTTTTTCCTCTGTGGCATCTAGGTAGATACAGCCCATTGGTTATGCCTTTAGGAGCTGGACTGAAGGCCTTACACATTAGGCTGGGTTCACGAGACATTTTGATATATGCCAAATAATGCACTGATATGCGTTGTTCGTCTGTTTCGGGTGTATTTGTGGATGGAGATAGATGTGAGCAAGAAATTTATTCAAACATGAGAGCTTGTAAGTGAAAACCACTGACAGTTGTTGATCTTTGTGAACATTTTCCCCTCTATTTTGTTTAAAACTGAAATGACTCTGAAGCACTATGCCATTGCCACCATATCCTAATGGCTGTTGCATACGTCAGAGTAACAGAGCATAATTTTCACGCACTGCATGTGTTGGCGTCTGCTCTCCTTCAATGCATCATTCTCATTGAAATCAATGGCAGGAGGTGTGTTTTTTTTTACCGATACGCAAGTGTGAATGCAATCTTAGGTTAACTACAAACATAATTAGGGAGTGACAGTGGAATTAACCACATTTTGAATTACAGTTTGTGGGACCAATTTTGGAAGAAAGGATGTCACTTTAAGGCTTCTGGAAGTCCTAGTTATGTCCCTGACTGCAAATATGAGCATTAGTCTAATCAGAATTGATTTTGTGATTATGATAATTAAGCCATTCTGTGTCATAGTCATTGTAATTCAGATCATCTAATTAGAATACATAATTTAACACAGAATAATAATATCATCTCTTTCACAGCTCCCTCCCACACTGTTCTTAAAATTACATTTTTTTCTCTCACTATTTCTGTCTCTCTTTCAGTCCAGAGCCCCTGCCAGTAGTCCCCTCGCCCCCCTCTCCACCCAAGAATGTGAGCCTGGCTAACGACATCACTATTGTTGGGGGCAACCGTACGGGAATATTTGTGCAAACAGTGAGGTCGGGGTCAATGGCGGAGAAATGTGGCCTCAAAGAGGGGAGCGAGCTCCTGGAGGTGAGAGAGAGAGAGAGAGATACAGAAAGAATCAAAGTGAGAGAGAGAATGGTGAAAAGCAGTTACTTCTTTATGTTTATTCCACTAAGAAAAGGATGATATACTCACAATATAGTGTAATTTTCACAGTCTAAAAAAGACAATTCACATGGATCAAAAGGCATCAATGTCTATGTTGCACTGGGCTGCGTTACAGCTACATGGTTAAGTTTTAAAAGTATAACTGTAGTTAGAGCAGACACAGAGTGTCATCTTTGCATTGTAGTTAATCACTGTGCTCTATGCTGTGTGTCATAATCCTCTACTGTAATCTCTGTTCTATTTTTTGTGCTGAAATTCTGTGCTATAATCCTGTGCTATAAACACTATGTTGTAGTTCATGTGTTCTATGGCCTATGTACTATGGCCTATGTAGTTAGTCTGTGTTCTGTAGTTAACCTACAATCAGTGTGCTTTACTCTGTGTATCACAGTTAGTCTCTGTGCTGTAATCTCTGTGCTATATAATTTACTGTAACTATTTGCTTTAAACTCTGTGCTGTGCTTTAACCTGAAGGTTGCAGTACTGTGCTGTAATTATGAACTATAGTTAACCTGTGTACTGTAGTTCATCTCTGTGCTTTAATCCTGTGCTATAATCTCTGTGCTATAATGTGTGGTCCTTAATCCTTTATTATTATCCTTAGGCTGTAATCTGTGTGCTGTTTTTCACCTCTGTGTTGTAATCTGTGTGCTGGTGTTAATCTCTGAACTGTAATCTCTGTGCTGGTGTTAATTTGTGTGCTGCAATCTCTGTGCTGGTGTTAATTTGTGTGCTGTAATCTCTGTGCTGGTGTTAATTTGTGTGCTGTAATGTCTGTGCTGTAGTTGGAGCAGGAGCTGTTTGTGGGTGGCCATGTTGACCTGAGTCAGTGTACGGGGGAAGTGGCTCATTTCTCTCTGCAGTGGTGGACAGAACCAGCCTCTCTCAAACACAAGTTTAATGAGGAGGGTCAGTCTCTCTTACATACAAACACAGTGAAAAAAAATGACACTTTGAATTTACATGATTAAAATGTGTCAAGTGGTTGCACATAAACAAAATGTCAAATTAACACACTTATTGTCAAAAAAACTTTAAAATGCCAATTGTGTTGATCTGACATATTTAATTAGTGTTCAACTACTTGACACATTTTAATCATGAACCATTTTTTCAGTGCACACTTTCATCTATACAGACCTTACTTCAAGGTTATCCAGAATATTAATGCATTATGTAAGATGGATTTGTTTTGCCCGGGTAGGTTGTGTGGTGTAATAAGTGGGATTTGACTGGCCTATTAATACAGATGAAGTTTCTGCATAACTTCCCCAGCTTCTCTCAGATAGCCTGCATTCAAAAGCTATAGCCTGCATGCTCACATCAACATTACATTACAGGCACCATACTTAATAACAATAACAACACTCCCCATGTCTAACACCAATTTTGTTTTTTCCATTAAAGTGCAGTCACTTTGAACAGGGCTACCATTACTGAGAGAGCTCTAGGTTCAGCCAATTACAGAAAGCCATTCATGCTGTAATTATTATTTTGTATTTATGTTTATTTATGTTATTACTGTCAGATTGCAGAAACTACACACATTTTAATTGTTGAAATCTAGATTGAAATCTGGATTGAAATCACAGTTATTACTGTTAGAATGAAAAAAACTACGCCTGCTGCAGACTCATACTGGATTAAAGTCACTCCATAACTATTACTGTGAGACTGTAAAAGCAGATTCATACCGGATTAAAATCACTCCACAATTATTATTGTCAGACTGTAAAACCTACACACTCTGCAGGTGCATAATGGATTAAAATCACTCCTGAACTAAAAACCACCTGTACTGCAGAATCATAATAAACTAATATAACTGATCTTATTAGTAATCACTTAAATTAAACTCTCTCCAGGTAAGACTAACGCAGCTCACACAATGCTCTCTCTCCCTCTCTCTCTCTCTCTCTCTCTCTCTCTCTCTCTCTCAGGTTACTCTAGTTTGAGTAGTGAACTCTCCTCTCCCTCCTTCACCGGTGCTGATTCTTTTCACGTTCGCGTGAACCTTGACCTCTGTCCCTATGGCGACCCACCCTGTCTGCGTGTGAGCTGTAATGACATCCTGCATGTGACAGATACACGATACAATGGAAAATACCAATGGCGCTGCACACGCGTGGACACACACTCTGCTAAACCACTACAGCCTGGAGCAGTGCCAAACTACAACAGGTACACACACACACATACACACACACTCTACTACACCACTGAAGACATTAATATGCCATCAAACATACACACCCACACCTTACACACATATCACGCTGTGACAGACACAAAGTGGGCACGCAGCATATTCAACACATGGGGCGCCAGGCAAAAAGGCACGCAAACGCCATGACTTCAAAGACAAAAGTTACTCTAATAAATTTAAATAAATGCAGCCCATAGATAACCCTAAGCACAATTTTGACACTAATTTTGACTAAAGGCAATGAAAAGATAAATAGAATACAGTATGTAGTTTAGATTTCATTTTTTTACTTTTCTGGATCAGTCACCTGTACACCAGAAAATATATCACTGCTGTGGGAACAAATGACATCCTGCACATGGTGGACACATGATATAACCCCATATTTCATGAATTTCATGCAGAATAGCTCAAAAGAAATGGCCCAAAATTACTTGGAAAGTAGTTTGGTTATACTGACTTAGATTAAAAGTAAATTTTCTTCATTCTGTAAAGTTATTAATTTGGAGATATGAAGTTTTGTTCCGACAGCAGTGATATATACCCACACAATTCCATGTTGAAAGTGACTATAATGACACTCAGAAGTAGGAAACACACATGAGAGATTTACTGAACTTGAGTTTTACATTATTTAAGAAAAAAATAAATAAAACTATGAAAAACAGTAAAAGATTCAAATAAGACCACAAATCAAACAGGCTGGAAGCAGAGAGCCTGAGAAGTGGGTCACACACCCAGAGAAATGGCTAGTTGTGCCCCTGGTCACAAACATGATCATACACTCATGCTAATTGTGGTCTGATGGTTGTGTGTGTGTGTGTGTGTTTTGGTGTGTGTTAGGGCACAGCAGTTGATGTTGGTGAAGCTGCGTACCATGGCACTGGAGCATAAAGACAGCAAGAAGAAAGTAAGACTTCACCTCTTTTTCTCTTATTCTACATCTACTATCATTTGCAATCGCTTTTTATATTATGGACAATCAGTAAAGTGTGTGCGTGTGTGTGTTTGTGTGTGTGTATGTAGTTTTGTAAAAAGGGGTCTGATCGTGTGCGGTTGGTGAAAGCAGCGACTAACTGCCGCAGGATTGGTTCCTTCTCCCCAGTCCTCTACACACTTGGCAACCGTAAGCCTCATTTACAATGTTATACAAAGCACAGTCAGTGTCTTCACAAAGCAAAGAAAAAATAATCACAAAACATGAGCAAAAAAATAAGCCCTTAACAATTATTAGTCTTCACATCGACATTCAGTCAACTTGTATAACTGTTCTTAAAGGACATTTACAGATGCAATAGTTCAACAGAAAATCAGATTTACACAGACATCTTTGGTGTCTTAAATGAACAGCTTAAAAAAGAAACTTATTTACACTATTTACTCTAAAGATAGTCAACCAGCCAAGACATGTTTGGTGTCTGAAGTTTCCTTCGTTAGTTTTTCAGTGCAGCTGCAAGGTTAACATAGTAGATTTTGGGTGACATAGATTTCTGTCATTATTTAGCCTCATCAGCCTCATAGCTCCAGTAAATCATCGCTGTCAGAACAAAACCTCGTATCCCCAAAATGGCAACTTTACAGGAGAAGCTTAAAACATTGTTAACTTAACAAGATTTATGTCTAAGTAATTTTAAACCATTTCCATTGGTCTGTTCATCATGAAACAATGAAATGTAAAGGGTAACTGGAGTTTTCAATTGTTTTCAACTGGAGTTTTTAATTGTTTTTTAAATTTACAGTAAGGTTTAGTTTGGCCATATTTTAGTATCTGAAGTTTGTAGATTAGCACTGCAGCTGTGAGGCTAATGTAGCTAACAAGTATTGGAAGTTAAACTGCAGGCTTACAGCTGGCAGTATACTTAACTTTTGAAGAAAAACCACACAGTGGTGAGACCTCCCTCTGACTACATTTGGTCTTAATGCCCACATTGTTCATTCTGTGAAATTCCCTAGACTGTACTTGGTACACTGCCATCTGAAATCATCACACCACTCAAACCATGTTTAGTTAAGTAAACTCATATAGACTTGCTTATGCGATTTTGGACACTTTAGAAGTGACTAAAAACTAAAGAGCCAACCTTCAGACATGTCTTGGCTGATCAGCTATGGAGCTATGAGGCTAATATAGCTAACATGTAACAGAAGCTTATACACTAATAGTTAATGCTGTGATAGATAACATACTGTTATTTGCCACACACTGTATGTCATCTTAAAAGTTTGTTGCATGGCTAAAACAGTAGTAGCACCAGCCAGGAATTTGCCTTTAATTTTGTCTACATTCATAGTTAACAGTCATACAGTATTTTAAATCAAATAAGCAAGTCTATTTGAATTTACTTAACAACGGCTTGCTTGATGTTAATTGGCTTTATACATGTTTCAATTATTAGCTATGCTACCCTTATAGCTTCAGTGAAGAACCTAAAGAAACAAAAAAGGGAAACCAAGTATTTCTAGGCCAATCAGCTATATTTGGGATACATATGATTATTTTGTGCCAGCCAAACTGTTCCTTTAAAGAAAGATTATGTACCCTGCTTGTTTTTGTGTGTTTTGTGTGTGCATAAGCATGCATACATGCATATTTGTGTGTGTAGGTCATGAGGAGCACCTGATCCCCTACAGTATAGTGCAGCCGGTGGAGGTTGAGTGTAAACGGCCTGTGGTGTTCTCCCCCTCTCTGCTATCCCGCCGTCTCATAGAGAGATTACTGCAGCCCGCAGATTCAGGATTACACTTTAACACCTGCCAGCCAGGTACACACACACACACACACATAAATACACACACAGAAGATTTATCAGCTAAAAACGAATTTTCTGAACATGGGAAGGGTAAAGGAAACAATGTATGTTCTATAACATACCATGCAGTCTTAACGCTCATTTATGCTCAATATTAAATACGGATATGGATAGGAATGGAGCCCTCTGTCTGTACTCAGCATTCATTTCATCCGTATTTGTACACATTCTCTGAAATCCTACGGATACAGACGAAACTGTACCACTAGGAGCTGTGGGGGCAGTGCAGCCAATAGGTCACACAAGTCACAATGCCAATTTCTCTCATTTGTAATATAAGTGAAATTAATTCTCCAATTACATGTCACAAAGTATTTAATGGCCTCACAGACCACCACAGTCTACACTGGTGCCTCTTTTGTCTCTTTTGTAGTTGGTACATTATCATGACCTCCTCCACTGTCACCACGTTTGTTGTTGTAAGAAACTTTTACTCTGGACTGCCCTCTAGTGGATGTACTGCTTAACATCCATACCAATGTAAAGGACGCATGGAAGTATGTGGGCATTGACAGTTACCATCGTTTGAAATAGACGTGTTCTTTTTTTTTGTATGTATAGTATAAAGTACGTACGAAGTATAAATGAGCCTTTATGATAGGCTTCATTTCCACTGCATGCGGTACAGAATTCTCCCTCCACTTTCTTTGCCAGTGCATTGTTGCTTGAGGGACATGTCAGTGTACAGCACAGGACATGAATAAAACTGTCAATCAGTAGTAGGTTTCAAATAAATTCTGTTCTCAACTAGGCTACCCTTATAAACTTCTAAACAAGCTCAGTATTGTTCAGAATATGTAGGTTGGCTGCATAGGCTATCAACCAACAAAAAAACAGGTATTAGAAGAGCCGGTTTAAGAGGAGTCTGGCCACTTCCTATTTCTCATTTTATCAAAAACACAACTCCAAAACGAACCAGCTAGCAAGTCCTCAATGTACAAGGTTGGAGATTAATGGTTAAAAACAAAAACATAAACTTGTTTCTAATCATTTGTGTGGGTCCTGGAAAGTAAAACAACGTATACCACTAAAAAACTTACCTGTATCTTTCTGTTTTAATACAGCAAACCGGTTTTGGGCAGTAGGACACTAGCATTATTGCTCCTGAGCGCTGATTGATTGGGGAGCTGATCAGCTCATTGGCTAAATAAAGCGTTTCACGCTCACTGACGTTATGTACACACATATGGACAGTTGCTTTTGCCTGATAGGTCAGCGCTGCTGTAATCTGCATAAAATTGAAGCCAGCACAACTTCTCTCTTGCGCTATCCCACAATCCCTTGCACATTTTTTCGCTACTCCCATTATTAAGCTCAAAATATGACAACAAAGGCTACACAGCTGAATGCTTATATAACAGAAAAATGGCAAAATTCCTCTTTCAAAGCTGGATGAATTGGTGCTGTGGTAAACATGCTCCTGTCCAAACGTTTTTGGAAAATACTTCAAGCATTAAATTTGGAATGAGCTCATACTTACAAAAAACAATAAAGTTCATAAGGTAAAACAAATAAATATCATATTTTGTACCATTTTTAGTTTAATACATGTCAAGCAAAATGTAAAGGTTAGTAGGGCTGTCCATATTGCATATAGCAATAGCATTTTACAGGCCTCAAATGCTCGCTGGTGTTGCCAAATGAGTTTTCAAATACTGGTTCTCAAAAACTGTAGTATTTACATTTTATAATTAATCTCACCGTAAGTATGTTCACTTTATGTAGTTAGTTTTTTTAATCAAAATATTCCAGTTTTCAATTTGTACTAAATTGTTTTAGAAATATATTCCTTTTTACGATGATGATGCACAAAGTAAGTTTGAGATCTTCGTTTAGCAATGAGTTTTATACTAACTTTACATACATTTACAGTCTTATGTCTTATAGAAATCAGCTAAACTGATAAGCTAGCTTGCTCTCACCGTCTCTGTCCCGCAGTTTCAAAGAAAAGTAGAGACCTGTGTAATCTCTAGCAGGTGGGTGTGGCTGTGTTCAGCTTTTGGTTAACATTACCTGGGTATGATATCATGTTTATTAGACTACTATCACATCCATCAGTAAGTAATTGACATTTTCTCCTGGTTTTATAATCAAATGTTTTGTTTAAAACAGTAATAAATAACCTTCTCGTTCTGAAAAGGGAACTAAGAGTGTTCTTCAGTTCTCATGGGATCTAAAGGGTTAACAAAAGACAAAGCTTCTAAAATACATACATACATACATCATCCAAACCGGTCATGGTACAAAGCTTCAAAAATGAAATATTTAATAATATTAATTGTAATATTAGAATTCTAATAAGCTTGTGAATACTAAATAAGGAAACGAAATGTCAACATAATGAACAAATACTCAAACAAACTTTTCAGGCCACACCTAGTAGTTTGTACTCTACTTGGATGTTGTGTAGAGGTGCTGTGTGTGTTGTATTCGTTTCAGTTAGTTGTTATTTGTTTATTATTTTAAGCATGTTTCTTTTCTTGCAGAGCCAATCGCAGTGTGTGAACAGCAGGATAAGAGTGTGTTCCTGTTGGACTCTTCAACATCAGAGCAAACACTGGGAATTAGACTAAAGAGCATTCAGGAGGTTATAAACCAGGTACAACACACACACAAACAACTAATGCTTAATTGACACTACACTACAAATCTGGCACCAAACTATGCAAGATATTGACTTTGATATAGATTTTTTTTAAAAAAGGAAATTTTTGTTACCTTTGTCTGTATCAGTTCTAATCATATATGATGGTTTCACAGCAAAAACGCACTTACTGCCACAGTTAATGTCTATAAGCAATGTGCTGAAGTGCCAAAGACCTTTGAAAAGCACTTTACCAAACAGAGAGAAATAATATCCACACACTTAAAATCACCTTTTCTGTGTTTGTGCGTGTGCGCCAGGACAAGCACTGTCTGCTGGAGTTGGGAGTGAACAGTGTTGAGTCTCTCCTAAAGCAAGGACTGTATCCCATCGTCATCCACATTAAGCCTAAAGACAAAAAGGGCAGGAAGTTCCGGTATGTCGCTTACTGTAAATTTCCACTATCATTACCAACATGACAATTACATTTACAGTAAAGGAATTATTTGGCAAAAAAACATAATTTCCCCCTTAACCCAAATGTATTCAACCAACCTAGATAGGTTTGGTGTCTAAAGTTTGCTTCGTTTTACATTTGTGCTAGGCTAATATAGTTAAATGCTAAAACCTCACCAAGTAGCAAGGTGCTAACCGCATGCTTAACCATCCCACACTTGCCTCAATCCATGTCGACCCTGATAACAAGCGGATAATGGACCACTGTTGGTCCACTGATGACAAAGCTGGCGGTCCACTGCCATTTTGCCAGTTCTACTTATAGTCGCTCATTTTCGACTCATAGTCCAATTTACATATTTTTCCTTCCTTCCTTTCTTTAGTTATACTTTGTATATCAGTTTAGTAAATCATTTTAATCTAGCACAGTGTCAGCATCAACATTTTCTATAAAATCATTATACATTAGGCCTAGTCATAATTTTTTCTCTCTCAGCTGTTTGTAATATCTGTCTCAGTTTATTTTCTGAAACAAAAGGCTGTGTGCATTAAAATATGTTTGAGGAGATTAAAAACTAGGTAGAGTTTGTATGCCGGACAATAATCTAGGCAGTCCAAGGTTGGACCAGAAGTGGCAAACAGTCAGTGGGGTGCTGACCTTATCAAGCTAGTGGACCGCTATATGCTCGCTGCCTGGGGGATTGCAAAGTAATCTCAAATAGACTTGCTTACACTTTATTACACTGTGTAACATAATATTATAAATGAAACAGACTATAACTTTAAACCTCAATAAGTGTAGTGAACTGAACTTCACTTTACTGTATTTTTAGTGAGAGTGAATGAACACTTTACAGGCTCTCACTCTCTCTCTCTGTCTCTCTGTGTCTCTCTCTCTCTCTCTCTGTGCAGTAAGTTGTTATCATGCCGTGGGGAGGATGAGTTGATGTTGGAGCTGAAGGCTGATGAGCTTCAGTTGGAGACTCTGCCGCTGCTGTACTGCACAGTGGAGCCCAGCACATGGAGCTGCACTGAGGAGCTTCTGACCGCTGTCCGCAACACCATCCACAGCCAGCAGGGGGCGGTGGCCTGGGTGGAAATAGACAGACTGTAGTAGAGCAGTAGAGGCGCTTTCAGAAGCGGCTTAGAGGAAATCTGCCCACATCCTATTCATTTAGTTATACCAAAAACATGACTGCTAAATGCTAGAGGGCGCTAGAGAGAATCCTCAAATTTCACATCATACTACTCTAAATGATTCTGTTTACATGTCGGTAATTGAACTCCACAGAAATTTTGAAAATTAGTGTCCCCTTTAAGAAGAGTATCACATAAAGAGTTATGAAGTGTTACTTGGTAATTGAATGTAATGTTCCTTTGCAGTCAAGGATGCATTCTCTCTAGGCACTCCTCTACCATGTGGGATGTTTTGTAGTTTCGGCTGTTTTTGCATGCAGTGAAATATATTCATGCCTTTTTCCCTGTTATTTGTGTTTTGTTATCGAAATATTATCTGTTTTCTATTTATTATTATATACATCGGTTTTGAAATGTTTATCAATCTAGTTCTCAATCAAATGAACCCTCCCCCTAAAGACTGAAATATGTAAATGATCACTGTTCGGACTGGCTGTCTTGTATTGTGCCTATTCAAAAATCAGTCCAGGCTGAAACACATCTTATAACTTCAGTGTGAATAGGCGGAGCTAGCTGTTGTAGACTGAATAGGCAGATGTATGTAAATGTGTTGGTTTTTGTGACATTGCAAAAGCCATGACTTTAAAAGGGGTTGTTTTGCAGCTTAGTCATCATATATGGACTTTATTGGCTTACAGTGTTTACATGCTATATCAGACTCTCTTAGTTCAAAAAGTGAGAAAATTTAGATTTTATAGGCTATGGGCCCTTTAAAAGAGCATTAGATATTTACACAAAAGCGCCACAGACCCCTCCTTCTGCACTTGCTCACAAGGGCCCTCTAGTGTCTGACTAACCCAGATTACTGAGTGGGATCAACCCTGAACTGTAAGGCCTGTATACTCCTCACTCTTCTAACTTCTCACTTTCATAACTACATAACTTATATTTTAGCCTCCAAACTGTTACTGAATAGTTACTGAATGATTTCATAATAAATAATAAAAGTCTTAAGAAGAAGAAGAAGAATAAGCTTGCAGTTTAAGGGGTTAATTAGGGATTTTAATTCATAATCACAGAGAGTCTAAGGACCTAAGATACAGAATATCGGTTCTAGCTGTGGAGTGACAGACAGTGTCTAATAATTATAACACAGGACTCCTCCTGCAACCCACCTGTAATTTATGATGATACTCCCAGCATGTTTTTATATCAGTGTTGTTTAATGTTTATATGAGTTTTATTTTGGTGCTAGAGGCTGAAGTACTTTTTTACTCTTTCTCATTGAGCCATGATTTTATAAACTGCCTGAGTGACAGCAGAAAATAAAAGTAAAATAAAAGCAAATGCTGAGTATGAATAATCAAGCATTACCATGGTAACCACATCTTTCATTTCCATTATTACAGTCATAACCATCCACCTTCATTAAACAAGAGACACTTAAACAGGTCTTTGGTAAAAAGATTTAAAGCAGTGGTTGACAGAAAAATCACTTATTTTACCCATATTCCTCCTCACTCCAAACATAGCTGATGAAACAAGACATGTTTGCCATCTGAAGTTTGCTTCCTTAGTTTTACACTACAACTACAAGACTAATATAATAGAAGTCTATGTCACCAAAACTGATTTTAGGTTAGCTACATTAGCCTCAAAGGTCCAGTGCAAAAAATAAATAAATAATTAAAAAAAAAATTCAGACACCAAAGTCTTGGCTGATTTACTACATTTGGGATAAGTAAGCAAGTAAATCTGATATCTGTAAAATGCATAATAAATAATAACTTAAATCTAATAACTTAGTTTTTAATCATTTAATGACTAAAAATAACAATGAACAACTTTAAGAATATGTTAGATTCCTTAACTAATAATTCATCAACAAACTTCCTAATAATTTTATTTTATGTCAGAACCAAAAGAATAATTGCACATTTAGGAAAAGGAATGAAAAGTGGGATTTCACTTCCTAATCGTTGCAATACAGTGGTCCCAAAAAGTACTTAGGCACCTTAACCATTGGTAAACTGTGATGAAGTACTTTATATTAATATATACAATGTTTAACAAGTTAATATTTGTTTTAGAGAAAAACACTTTCACACAATGCAAAACGAATGGTAGACTCTTTTAGCCTCTTTCTGGAAATGTACTTGATAAAGTTTGGCTGGATTCTATTTACACGTTTCACTAAAACGCATCTTTGAGCAGATCAGATCTGATTATACTTTCTCCGCATAAAAGCACATCAACACATACATCGCGTCCGTTTTACTTCAGTTTTTCCCAACGCGTTTAACACAAGCCACAATACGGCCCCCTTGTGAAAAAAGCCCGTCACTACATCGCCGCCTTGTGGAAAAAGCCCGTCACTACATCGCCGCCTTGTGGAAAAAGGCCGTCACTACATCGCCGCCTTGTGAAAAAAGGCCGTCACTACATCGCCGCCTTGTGGAAAAAGCCCGTCACTACATCGCCGCCTTGTGGAAAAAGCCCGTCACTACATCGCCGCCTTGTGGAAAAAGCCCGTCACTACATCGCCGCCTTGTGGAAGAAGTCCGTCACTACATCGCCGCCTTGTGGAAATAGGAAATATTTTATCATTACTGCGCCCCTTGTGGAAGAAGTCCTTTACTACACCGCTATTTCCTGCACTAAGCCAGGAAGACTTCGGGCTGAAATGGCCGAATAACAATTCAAATGGCTTTAACAGACGCGTTTTAAAACCTAGTCAATTCTTCACCGTCTGGTTTTTTTCTAGTATGCTTTGTTCTTTTTTCTTATCGTGCATTCTCCAATGTGCTTGCTGCCTCAAACCTTGATGCGCCGCGTTGTTTTTCTTGCACCGAAATCTAACGGGGTTTTATCTGGCTGCACTAAGCTGCTGCTGATATGCCATAGGTAACAACTCCCAAGGTAAAGTAGCACTGCTCTTTAATTCATACGCCAACTAAAACGAACAGAGTAATGCACGTATGTTATATAATTAAGTACCAATGTGCTGTCACAGTCAATGTAACGTTAGTAGTTATTACTGAGTTATTAAGCTCAGTTTGCCGTCTACAGCTCAAAGCTAAAGTGGTGCTGAAGTTTTGTTTTGGTTTTGATGTCGAGTGTTTTTTTTTAGCATTTATCATTAGCCTCACACATGACCAGGGTAACTTGTGTTAATGCTACTTACCATGCACGATTCACACGACTTGAACAACCGGACAAATATAGATAAATTCGAGACTTTGGCGGTGCAATAGCAAATCCAGTAAAACGGACTAATTAGCTTACGATAAACACTGCTAATGATAAGCAAGCTAAGCTAAGCTAACGGCCCAACGCGTATTATCGACATTTTCCCAAACATTCAGTTTAAAAGCTTAAGAATAAGCCGTTTTGTCACTAGCTCGGGCGGTATATTGATTGTATATTTAACAAATGCGTTGTAACCATTTAAACACTTTACATAATGACAAGCGAAATGGCTAAGCTAAGCTAGCTAAGTGCGTCATCCCCTCATCAAAACAAACCTCACATTTTGGTTCACGGGCAGTGAAACCTCCCATAGCTCAACTCTTGAATATTTGGGCAAAAAAGTTGTCTATAATCGGCGCCACGTGCTATTAGTTTATTGCATCGTACGTTACCTGCTTATTTTTAGCCCGGTTAGCTTAGCAACCGTTAGCTAGGCTAGCTTGCTAGCACATTAACTACACTTCTACCTGGACAATAACTGCACTTAGACAATGTATTAATGGGGTTAACTTTAATTTAAGATAGTAATATTAGTGCCGACATAATGTGAAGGTTGTTAGCTTGTTTCTTTTTAGTTCCGCAGGAAAAAAAACTACTTGCTAGCGGTTGGTTGCTTGCAGTTATGTCTGTCAGTGCCTTCGTGTTCATTGATAGTACGATTAGATTTGTTAAAGGATATGTTAAAGGAGTCTTTGTTAAAAGCTAACCAACAAATTGATGCTTTAGGTTAGATGCATCTGACAGTTTGCAGGCTCGCTTGCTGAAACGAAGCTGACTTCGTGGTCTAATTTTCCCTTCCACCTTAAATGGTGCAGCAGTTCCGTTAGTAGTTACGTGCCCCCGAATGTAACTGCAGCACCATTTAAGGTGGAGCGGAAAATTCGAATAAGAAGCTCGACTCGCTGGGATTAACTCTCTGTCCACCTACTTGAGCGGCTTAAGCTTCACACTGTGTCCAAGTTAGTTGGGCAGTCAGGGCTTATTTGGATGTGTCCTGAATTAGCCAATTTAAATCATTACCTACGATTCATGCTGTCATAGGTTTCAGTGTAAGCTGAAATGTCTATTTCATGCCTTGCTGTTTTAATTCACTGTGTTAAGGTTTTTCTGTTTATTCTTTTCTATCTTAAACACCGATCTCGTAATTTTAAATCTGTGTCTTTCATAAGTCAATTGTGAGAAAACATTTTTGTTATAATTGTTGTAAATATAACATTAATATTGTTAATCTTGTTGTTGCCATTCGTACACTTTTCTTATGGCATGAAAGTTGATAGTTTTTGTGTACTATTTCTGTTTTAGAGAGGAGTGCTGGGAAAGGGAACAGTGGTTCATGGAAGACCTCAAAAGTACAAGAGAAGAACAAAGTCGTCAGGAGGTTTCTCACACGGTGTGTAATATGATTTTACAGCATGGACAAAATAAATAGAAAAGAAATTAATTGATCACGTCACGGTTTACTGATCATTTCAAGTTATGAACTGAGCTGCAGTTGAATTAAATATTAAAATGCTATTAAAATGATGCTCAGACCATGTTTTGTTTTTTTTGTTACAGGACACTGAACAGACATTTAAAGGTAAGTAGTTATAGAACTGTGACTGATTCTCTTCAGCTGTGCTTGTTTGGTTCATGCTAACCGTTATGGGATGTTCCTATTTTGTGTAGGATTTGTAATGATGCATATTTATTACTCTGTATGTTCAAAAGTACCCCAAAACCCCTTCATAATTAGAGAATTTAGCTGCGTTAAGGTGCACCCAGTACTGAACAGGTTTTCAGTTGCACACGCAGCTTATATAATCTAAAATAATAGAATGTTACACTCTGGAGCAGCCCTCTAGCATTGGGCTGTGCAGCAGTGGAAGGGAAACAGAAGAGGGGCAAAAAACTCCCTATTTACCCCTTAAATGGCCAGGGCCCACCTGCTGGCCCAATTTTTTTTTTACACATTTCTATAATTTAAGAATAAAGCTTAGTCAGTTTGCAATGACGTCCCTGTAGATAATGAATATAATAGGTAATATAAATGTATATAAATCTAATAGGCTTGGCATTTTAAGTGGTTGACACCCTTAATTTCAGAAGAAATATCAAATGAGCATGTGTCTGCAAATTTTGGTCATATAGTGAATGTGTATTTATTGCTCACTGTCTTTGCAATTGTACAGCTCAAATTTTCCCTCAATAAAGTAATTACCTGTATACTTTTTTTTAATATATGTATATATATATATATATATATTTTTTTTATTTATTTATTTATTTTTTTTTTGTCAGAACTGACTTCTCCTCCACTGGCCCAGTCCCCTACCCCCCTCAACTGTGTATCTCAACGCTCCAGTTCCTCTTCAGCCTCGGCCCCTTGTCCTGGTCCTGGGGGTCCTGCAGCACCCCTTGCGGGTGGGAACAATGCAAAGCGGAACACTGTGGCCAACGGACAGCCCCCCTCCGGAGCATCTGCACGGTTCATGCCACGTGAAGTGCCCCCTCGCTTCCGTAACCAGCAGGAGCCCAAAGTTTTGCTGAAGAGGGGTCAGCCACTAGTGGGTGGGGCCACAGGGGATGCTTCGTCACCCGTCCAGACGGGGGAGCTATTAAATGCAAATACAGTGCACTGCTCAGGTGGGCCGGTAAATTAGCACATACAGTTAGTACTAGTGGGCAGCACCCAGCTTCATTTGTTCTAAAAGCAGTTTCTTCAACTGTTTATTCATGCTTAGATATGTTAGCAGCTTTGCACTAATGTGTAATGCAAACTCATTTACAAGCTGCCACAATAGTATTACACTGTTATAACATTTTATTAACAATAATAAAAGAGTTTATCTGAAAAAAAATGGACGAGAGGAAGGGTGAGATGAGGTCACATGTTGCTAGTAACCTGAGTATGCATTTAAGGTCCAGAGGTAGCTCTGGTATTTGATGCCAGAAGTTGATGCAAGTGATATGTTGTAATCTATTTTGACTTTTGACTTATGTTGACTTGGTTTATGAAGTTCTCCCTGGTTAATGTGTAATCTTATGATCCACAACAGGCATTTTAAGTGAACCATCATTTTGAGTGAATCATTGTTATCTGGATAAAACCATGACATTGTTTATGTTCCCCACCAGATCCTGACGTAGATCCTGCTTCTCCTCTCTCGTCTCTGTCCTCTGCCACTTCGACTTATGCAAATTCCACATGGGGGCCGGGCTCAGGAGCCCTGCCCCTCTCTCAGGGAATGGATAAGGCTGTAGTAGTGGACGGCTCTGATTTGGAGGCGTGGCCCAAGATTTCAGAAGGCAGGAGACAGGAAGAGCCTTTAGCCCAGAGCAGCAGTGCCTCGTGGGGTCAGGGCATGCAAGACAGCGAACTAGGGATTAGTGACTTGGGTGGGTCTTTTACCCCTGGTGAATATGCAACAGGCAGCAGGATGTGGGGGCCATCTTCTGAGGCTGATGCAGTAGATCGGTCCTTCAGTTCTGAAGTGCTGTCCCCTGCTGGAGTGGAGGAGGAACCACAAGGTTCCAGCAGTGATTTGAGTCCAGGATGCAGCCCTGCAGACTGGCTTGACAGCAAAGATGTCATGACAGCTGACTCAAAGTCAGTCCATACTGCCTCCCACACTTCCTTAAGTCCAGGCAGTGTGCAGCAGCAAACCCAGGCCCAGGACAGAGTTGGATGTGGAGACAACAGGCTGGAACAAGAGGCAGGACCAAAACAAGCAAATGTTGCTGAAGATTCTGAGGATGTGGACTGCATAGGGACAAATGAGGTGTTACAGCTTCCTGCTTCCAAGGAATCAAATCCAGCAGCCTCAAGGACTGATGGGTGGGGCAGTGTGGCAGATGCAGAGGGGAAGAGTGGAGGCATGTGGAGTGCATCTGGAGAGAGCCGGGAGGGTTGGGGAAGTGGAGGTAATGGTAAAGATGGAGGCATCTGTGGGGTATCTCAGGGAGCATGGGGTGATGAGGCAGGTGAACTAAACAAGCAGGCAGCTACAGCTTGGCCAGCAGGAGGCACCAGCGGGAGCGCAAAAGAAAGCTTTGCAGGTAGTTTACAAGACTCTCAAATGCTTGCAACCAACACAATGGCATTGGATAATCAGAAAGTAGGGGCGGACGAATGGGAGGGTTCTGAGTGCGATTCTGCCGGTCATGAAAGCAGCGAGGATGCACAGAAGCAGCACAGCTCAGACCTCTCCAGAGCACGAGCCACCCACACTGAAGTGGCCTTACAGAGCATGCTTAATCGGAGTGATCTGGATCCCAGGGTGCTTTGCAACAGCGGCTGGGGACAAACCCAGATCAAGCAGAGCGTAGCCTGGGATCTAGAGGCGGACAGTGGGTCAGGCTGGACTGAGCGTGCTAATGCTAACGCTAACACAAACAGCTCTAACCTGCTTCAGAGGTCTGGGCCCTCGGAGGGTAACCAGGTGAGGGGGGGTAGAAGCCAGGGATGGGGAGGTGAAGGGAGTGGATGGGGGGAACCAAGAGAGGAAAGATGGGTTGAAAAAGACGGAGAGTGGCGCAGTCGTCCAGAACAGGGTACTTTATCCAGCAGATGGGGCGAAGCTGTGGAAGACGAACGAGTGGGGAGGTGGGGTGAGAACAGGAGGGAGAGAGGGGGGTGGGAGCAGGGGAGTGGAAGTGGAGGAGATTGGGGACAGGGGGACAACGAGTGGGGTGTGGAAAGGGGGGTTAAGCAAGGCAGTCAGGATGAGGGGTCCTGGGGCAGTTCTGAGGAAGAAAGGCGGAGAGGGTGGGGAGTGAAGGAAGTGGACACTGGAGTTAGACAAAACCAAGCCTGGGGGGGGACACAAATACCAAACAACCAAACAGCACTGAAAGGCCCAAATCAGCAGCAGCCACAACAATCCCAGTCCCAGACTGCACAATCGAGAGGCCAGCAGGACTCCAGGGCTCGACCCGCAGGGCCTCAGGTGAGTGTGGGCAATATTTCAACAATATGACCTCATAATACTTAAAGACGCTTTCACAATACATTTGTATAGGTTCTACTGTAGTAGATAAAATGTCGGAACAGGCTGATGTACAGCTAGCTACCTGTTACTTTGTATATGCTTAAAAGGCTCTCTAAAATGAGTCTAATTCTCTTACCTATTTACATGCGTTTATGCTGCGTTTCAGATGTACTGAAGATGCCCATGACATATGCAGGATAGTACATTGTGATGTAGTTTATGATGTTAACAAAATCATGTCCTATTGCATACCTCCAGCCTCAGACCCAGAACCAAAGCCCAGGATGGACATCCGGCCCCATCCCTCAAGTGTCTGCTGCAGTGGAGCCTAGTGGCTGGGAGGAGCCTTCGCCCCAGTCTATCAGCAGGAAGATGGAAATAGATGATGGCACGGCAGCCTGGGGCGACCCATCCCACTATGACAGCAAGAGTGTCAACATGTGGGACAAGAGCGGCACCCCACAGCAGAGGGGTCAGCCCACCAGGCCAGCTGCCACCACACCAGCCAGCAGAGACAAAAATACAGGTAATGTATGAGCCACACGGTTCATTCTAAACTAATTCTAAACTAGGTAATTTAGAGTGTGCACACTGAAGGTACACACTAGGTGTCATTTTCATGTCTCTGCCAATCAAGATGCTGATACTGATATAATGTGTTTCTTTAAGTAAACGCAAATAATGCCAGGTGAAATTAAAGACAGAACTAAAGTAAACATTGATGCCAATATTATACTTTTCTAATGATATTCATAAATAAATGACCTATGAATTATTTGCATTGTATTACCTCTGCAGCATGGGATTGTGGAGGTCCTCCAGAGCAGGGTGTGGACAACGGCACAGCAGGCTGGGGGAAGACATTTGAGGCCCCATCAGGCTGGAGGGATTCAGAGGATTCTGGAAAAGGGGCAGGATGGGGCAGCTCCCATTCTAATCCAGTCAAGCCTGGTAAGAGTGCCCACGTATCTCTAAATGACCTGGCTCCTGGAGTCTAGTCCCAATACCAATCAAACACACTTGATCCAGCTATTCCCTAGGAGCTTGGTTAAAAACCCTTGTTTAGGTCTGCATTTATCTGAATCTAAAATCTGAATTTGAAATAATAATAATAATAATAATAATAATAATAATAATAATAACATTAATTCGCAGAGGTTTATTTTTCAAGCAAAACATAACCTGTGTTTTGGATTGTCTGAGTAGCCAAGACTGCTACACTGTATTTGTCCTTTCTCCAGGTCCAAAGTCTGTGCAAGATAGCTGGGGTGATGAAGGCTCAAATAGCTCACGCCATGGCAGCTGGGAGGAGGATGACAGTGGTCCTGGCATGTGGGGCAGCAGAGGGTCCCAGGGCGGTTCCTCCTTTACTACTGGAGGCTGGGGCCAAGGCCAGGGGGGCAAGAGAACTGGTGGGAAGGTACATATGAGTCTCAGTGTAACTCTCACATTGTGCCACTAGTATTAGTGTCTTTTGCTCTTTTTATTTACAATAGTATTGTGTAATGTATAAGTTAAATGTACAGGTTTTTTTAGAACAATGTAGATCAGGTGGGATATAATTGTAACTAGTGCCAATGTGCAAGTATTTTATTTAGGAGTACAGTGATAAATACTGTACGTTATGCACACCATAATGCCAGTATATGCAGAATGGGACATATACATCTTTTTCTCAGGGTCCTCTGAAAGGGAATAGCGGGGATTCCTGGACGGGCCCTATGACTAGGCAGTTTTCGAACATGGGGATTGCGGTAAGTTAGAAGCTAATCATGAGAAGGTTAGTTGGAGTGAAAGCTAATGTTGTGTCTGAGCTAATTTTTTGTATGTTTTGACTTAGGATGATGAGGCTGGCAGTGCCCCAGACAGGCCCAGAAGAGGGATGAATGACTTTAATGGCGAGATGAGGAAGGGAGGAAGAGGAGCGGGGTTCCGCTCACAGAGCTCCAAAGACATGGGCCCTGGGGAGACGGGGCCCTATTTTGATAAGGTACTGATAAAACAACAGTAGTAGTTCTTACGGTGAGTGCATGTACATGCACTCATAATCTGATCATAATCGGATTTCTGCAGTTATCCGATTATTCAAATGGTCGTGTAAACACCATACTCCGATCTAGAAATTCGATTAAAAAATCTGATAAAGAGAGCTGGACTTCAGCTCAGTAATCAGATTTCTCAGTGCGTGTATACGCATACTCAGGGGTATACTCATACTTTCTATCAGATTTCTCAGTCTGTGCATGCGCGAGAACACACGGTGGATGTCGCCACATGGCAGCAAAATACTTTGGAAGCGGCGCTGAAACCAAACATGAAATAAAGGATTTAAATATTCTTCATGTTCTACATGATATATGTTCATATTTTCAGGTGGTGCGATGTTTAAAAAAAAAAACAGCGGCGTGAAGTTTTACGTTATGTTTACGTCTTGTCTTCTTCTGTGAGTTTATTGGCTGGTTGCAAAGCAGAAATCTGATTACTGCCCGACACATGTAGAACCGGAGTTTCCCATTATCTGATTACTCAAGTGCATGTAAACGTGTGGATTGGATTACTGCCAAAATCTGATTTTCTGCAGTTATCAGATTATTAAGTACATGTAAACGCACTCTTTGTTAGACAGTCATAATTAATTTGTCTTACATCATTACCTTTGTCTGAGCTGGGTCACCTCGCACTTGGCAGCAGCGTATGCTAGCTGTGCAATCGTAATAGCATACAATTTATCAGTCAAACGTTTGGACACACCTACTCATGAAGAATATTTTAGAATAGGGCTGTCCTAAGTGTGGCCCACAGGCCAGCTGCATGTTTAATCTAACCCACCAGAAAGTTACCCTAACCCCGCTCCCTCACCCAATGAGATAATAACAGGTTTTCATGTAATGTGATGTTATAAGTAATATTTATATCTTATACAAAATAATTTTACAATATATTTTGTTTATAAATTGTATTCTTGAAGTATTTTAGAGACAAAATTAGGAGTGTTGTAGATTTAACACTTATAGGCTGATTAAATACAACTACACTGGCATTAATATAATTCTTACTTACGTTGGTAAACAAGAACAAGATTTATAAGGACTTAATTCAAGTGAAGTATCTGCGCTGTGCAGTATACATGGATGTAAAATAGGTATCTAGATTGCCAGGTAGCTATCCTACTAAATTAAGCTTTTAACTTAGTTTCCTCCTGTATCTGAAGAGCCATTTTTTCTTCTGAGTAACCCATTCTATTCAATGTAAGATAATATAATGTTATGTATGGAAATAACACGTTGCCCTGTTTTACAGATGGGAGGTCACGGTGTATTTGGTGCTGGTGGTGGAATTGCTCAGTTAAGAGGAATGCAGCCTGGTGTTCACCCCATGAATCCCTCTCCTGGAATTCGAGCACAAGTGCCTCATCAGTTCCTGCCGCCTCAGGTGACTTCATGCTGACTCCTATGTGCCATTCAATGAAAACAGCGTATCCTGCCAGTATTTTGCTCTGGCATGCTATTGTCTTCTGCATGATTATGTAAGGATTTTTAGATTTTTTTTTTGTTCAGACTCGGCTCCTACTGAGTCTGAATACATCCACATTGTGTACATTATAGCTAAAAATGGTCAAAAGTGGCACATTTGTTTTTTGGCCGAAAGACAAAAAAAGCACAAGACTAAGTAGGTCTACTATAAACTATAAGTCTGATTACTGAATGGGACGGAATATGCAAATCTGCTCGTTATGCAGTAACCAGTGATTGGTTGTTATTGAAGTCATCTGCAGTTTGTTTTGCACAGTAGTGTCTGTCCATACTGCTGTTAAGCATTTTGTTTTGTCCAGTCCTCAACCATGCGCGTCCTCCATGATTATCTTCCTCATAGACGTGAATCACGTGCCCCGTGACATATTGCAAGGGGAGGAATTTTGGTTGTTAAATGTGGCTTGGAGAGACGGATACATTTACACTGCTATAACATGAGCGATATTTGTATTTGTTTTACATGTGTCTTGGGTGTCTTTACCCTTGCTTTTTTAAGCGGCAGCAGATCAACAGTCAAACACTCAATCACAGTCCACTGCAGCTGTGTTCTGTCAAGTCTTTAGCTTACATGTTTTAAGCATTAGCTGATTAATCACATAAATCATTTTGAGTAGAAATACTTTTGGTAACAAATTTTTTCACCTCTGGTTTTGGAAGTTGTTACTGCAGACACATGCATCTGTTAGGTCCTTCTGGAGTCCGTGGTGTTCTAATAGATGCCCAAACTGGAGAAACTTTAGACTGCTAGACAGGGGTCCACATGCTGTACATATTAAAAATGGGGTGTTTTCTGTCATTACAGCCAAGGTGCTCTGGAATTTAGCTATGGATCCCTTTGGGAAAACATTTCATAATTTTACAATGTTTAACAATAGTATTTAGCAAGCTGTTTAAAATTAAATCAGTTCTCGCTAGTTCTGTGTTACTTCTGTTTCTCAATACTGCAACTTCTTCCTTTGAGGCATTGTTTGCCTTATTACACTAATTCACAAGCATAAGTGAAATAGAAAATTACTTATGTAAAAGAATCATTTCTTTCAGATTTCAGGCTTTGGATGAGTGTGTCCTGAATTCCAGTTTTGGTCAAATAATTTAATTTCGGTGCACCACTAATACAGATAATATCAGTATTTTTTTTACTTTCCCCTCAAGCATTAATAAATTGTATCTGTCTGACTACTAGATAGACTTGATAGACAACAGTTTATCGCACATAAAGTAGCAAATTGGGCATGTTTAGTAGCAGTCCAGAATGAAAATGCTCTGTGGTTGTGCATGTGTTGTGTCTGTAGGTTTCAGGATCCATGCTGAAGCCGATTGCACCCCCCAGTGGAAGCATGTTCCCTCCACAGCTCTCCCCTCAGCACATAGCCATGCTCAGTGGCATTCACCCACAGATGCAGCAGTTTCAGCTGGTAAATATCGTTACAGCAAATACTCAATAAACATATCTTTATTCCAAATTCTTTAAACATCCCTTTGTTTTCTCTCTGTCTCTTTCAGGCGTGTCAGCTGCTCTTGCAGCAGCAGCAACAGCAGCAGCAGCAGCAACATTTCCTGTCTCAAAGGAAGTTCCCTCCACCTCTGCGTCAACAACATGACCCACAGCAGGTATGCCACCCTTTATTATCCATCTCAAACACCTGGCTACTTTGAGCCCAGTGTGTTTAGTCATGTCAGTTAAAGGCCACTGCACACCGGATGCAGTGTGCTGCATCGCAACGGCATCCAGAAATCTGAAACCATTGTTTTTAAAGAAGGTGTACATACTGCATAGATGCATGGCGAGGCCCAGGGACTCTGAACTCTGTCTAGTTCCACACCAGTGTGCCAGTCAGACTTAAACTCAGAACGAGAAAAGGGGTTATTGTGAAGTCCTTTAAGATGAAGAAACTCTAATCGTCTGTCACCTCAGCTAAAATTACTAGCTGAGTGTTTTTCGCATCATTTCTTTTCATTTTGAAACAAACAGTGAGTTTGTGAAGAGTGAGTTGGCTGATACCAAATTTTATTTTGTTAAATTTATAGGTGTAGAGTGTAAAAGTTAACTTTTTCTGTTTATCTGACTGCAACATATTTTATGTAGCGTAGCTGCACATTGTATTCTATCTGCTAGGCAACATAGTGCATCTTTGTGATGGGCCTTACATTTTTTTGGACCTTGAATTGAAAGTAGAAATTAAACTTTTGATGGTTTAGTAGTACTAGTCAAGGTGACAGGACTTTATAATATAAAATTACTATATATATATAAAATATATATTATTATATAATAACTATATATTTTGATCAGTGTTTTAACATAAAAAGACTTTTTGTCACTCACTCAAAGTTCCTCATCAGTTCAAGTCACCTTGACTTGCAACTGCTGGACAGTTTAGTGAACATTTGATATTTTGAGTTTTGACTTGATCATCGTTTGTTGACTTATTAATGAGATTTGTAAAAAGAAAATGTAGACAGAACCAAACTCAACAGGGCTTTCAAAAGGCTGTATTAACCCATGAGCTTCTTATTGTCATTTTCTCTCTCTCTCTCTCTCTATCTCTCTCTCTCTAACTTTCTGTAGTTGGCCCGAATCATGGCTATCCTTCAGCAGCAGAGACAGCAGCAGGGTGTAGGGGGTGCTAAACTCTCCCCTTCCCACCTCGGAGGTCCTGCGCCCAAGCAGCCTGATGGGCCCCTTCTCCACCCAGCAATGGGAGGGTCTTTGGCTGATCTGCACCCTAAAACCCCCACTGCCTTCACTGGTCAGTCACTGTGTAATCATTAATGAAAGTCACAGAAAGGATAGATAATGTAATCTTAGATTGTTATAACAACTCCTTAGTCATTGTCACCTCTTGTTGGAGACCATGGTTAGTAGCTAATTTCTGTGATAGCAACTCTTTAAAAAGAACAATAGCTTTCACCTCATCCAGTATATAGTTCAGCAAAAAAAATCTAGCATTTTCTGGAGGCTGTATCTAAAGTGTCCACTTTCATCTTTTTTGTGGTCATTCTGGTCTATTTTGCTTGGTCTTCATCCACCAGCAGGGTTGTAGCTGCAGCAACAGTGACAAGATAAGCTCTATCAAAGCATAACCAGACTTAGAGCTTCCCTACCAAAATGGTGGCAGGGCATTCTTAATGACATAATCGAATACTATGAATAGACCGTACTAGAGAGAGAGTGCGGCACGTATGTTGTCATTAGCATTATTATGTTGTATGTGCAAAATCATAAGCCTCCCTCTGTCTCTGTCTCAGCAGGCTTTGGCTCAGGGGTGGAGCTAGAGTCAGTGATGGGTGGGTCTGTAGGTGGTCTGAAGGAAGCAGGTGGTTCACAGTCACGCTTTAAATGGATGATGGAGGCTGGACACCCCCTAGCCCCTTCCCCCCCAGATCCCATGCTGCACAAGAACGGTAAAGTCTTTTCTGACAAGTCTTCTCTCGCAGTCTTACTCATTTATTCACACCACACATATACACACACAGATTGCTTAATAGTAGTAAATCACATGTGATGATAATCTGGATGGTGCTTTGATACTCATCGGATGAGCTTTATCAGTTCACTTTTGATTTAGGCCTACTACTGCTACACAGTTTAAAGCCCTGGACCTTAAAAATGTTTCAAGGGTTGTTCACTAAATGCAGTGGTTATATGTAGAGTAGGGAACACTCAGTCACTTAAATGCATGAATGTTTCCTTGCATGGTAAATGGCTCTTGTCTGTGATGGAAAACCTGTTGTATGTGGGTCTTTAAAGAATCTTTTAAAAATGGTTTTATATAGCACCAAAAAGGGTTTTGCTACTGTCAAATAACTCTTTTTGGTAATTTATAGAAGCCATGTTCAAAGCTGTTTGAACATAACCAAAATACACATATGATTGCAGTTGAATTGTCGCAGTGGAATTCTGTATTTATGTGCCAAGTAAGAAAAACTGAATCATTTTATGGATTGTGCCCATTGTGCTGTTTATGGAATAATCTTTGACTGTTATGTGACCTGAAACCCACAGGCAACTGTTAACGAACCATTGTTTTGAGTAAGGATTGTTTACTGCCTCTCTTAACTTATTGCTTTATTACTAGTGTACTGGACAAACATGGCTAGTGATTTTTTTTGTAAAAGTAAACAGTGACATGGCATATCTTTTTCTCTGTCTCGCTGTGTGTGCAGGTCTCATGCCTGGGCCCATGAAGCTGCGGGGCGACTCCCCATATTCTCAGTATGATCTGTTGGGGACAGAGAATCTGGGTATGGCTCAAAGTCTGACTGACAGTTGGCATAGAACGCCTGGGGGCAAACTGGGCACTACACCTGGCACCCCCACCTGGCCACCAGGTAATACCCATATACCTCACCACGAACACATACTCAGATGATGTAACGAAGCAGACAGTGTGGCAGGATGCAAGTGCATGTAGGTTTTAAAGTGATGAGATTCAAAAGTCCAAGAATTGGTTGATTCAGTTGAGGAGTGCAGAGATGTTTGTATTAAAAGTAGCAAAACTATAGAACAAAGCAAACCAGACAACTATAACATAACATAGATCTAAACACTGAAACTAAAATGCTGTGGAAAAGGTACTAGACACAAAAATCCACAAAGGCAAGCAAGATGCGCAAACGAAGGACAGACCATAACATAAAACGATGTAGGACAAAGACACAAAGCAAAAACAGGGGTATAAATGCTTATGAATAAAGACAAGAAGTACCTGAGAGGAATGACAGTGGGGGAAGATCAACAGACTAGACACAGATGAGACAGATAACAAGGAGGCAAGACAAGAGGAAACAGAAACCAAAGCAACAAGAGCACATGGCTGGGTGACAGTGACAAGACCAGGGCAGAAACAGAAAAGGGAATACACAGACAGGGGAAACCATGACATATAGCAGGATCTTGTCAGTTATAATACAGAATAAAGTTTTGTTACTAATGGTATTGCAATGGGAAAAAAATAAATGCTGAACTCATTGAGTTATTTGCATTATTAAACTAAAATATTGTACATTTTAAGACTTTTCTGGGTGGTTCCCACATTTAATATCTGGTAGTATTTCAGGTATTTTGAGTACACTGGGGATATTTAAGATGTTTTGAATTTGTAGTTCCTATTATTAACCCTGTAAACCGTAAGGGTCTGTATGTGGGTTCTAATTTCAGTGTGTCACTCTTATAACTAGATAACTCACATTTTATCTTCATACTAGTTACTGAATAATAGGTTTTCAGTATAGTAACTAACAGCCGTCTATGGTCGGGAGTCCAAGAGAGCACAATTGGCCTCATTCTCTCTGGATGGGTAGAATGGCTCTTCCACTCCACTCATTACTTAGCGTGTAAACCAATGCACGGTTTTTCAGTTGACATATGACAATTGGCAGGTAGAATCCTCCTAGCATAATGAGCTGCACCAGCAGCTCAGCAAGTGGTGCTTCACATCTCTTGGAGGAATCACGTGCTAGCCTTCGCCCTCCCAGCTTTGTAGCATTGTGTAACTGGAGGAGACCTAGCTAACAAGTGGAATCGGATACAGCCAAATTGTAGGAATACTGGGTAAAAATCTCCCCCCTAAAAAAAGATTATTAACTGAACAACAAGTGTAAGGTTCAAGGGGTTATTACTGTGGTTCTGAGTGTTTTGTTTGCATTTGTGGGTGTGACAGAGTTCCAGCCAGGTGTGCCTTGGAAGGGCGTTCAGAGCCCCGACCCTGACCCTGACCCCGACCCATACATGACCCCCAGCGGCATGCTGGCATCACCCGCTCTCAGTGATACTGACCACCAGCTACTGCAGGACAACACAGGTACATACGCACATTCCACCATGATACTAGTCGTGCGGGGCCAGATGTGATCTCATATCAAGTCTGGGGACAGCCATGAGAAATATTGGGCACGTTTTGGGAGTACAGATGAAACCTGTACTATATCATGTTGGCAAACAAGCCATCTCTTTTCCTCTGAGTTAATGTCTTCAAAAGTGGTTCCACTGAATCAATTTTGTGCATCAAGTGACAAAACTAAATCAAAGGGCGTGTCTGAAACATTCATTTTAAAGAATGACTGTGAGCTAACAACAGCGTTTCAGTAGCTAGCTTGTATCCCTAATATCGATTTTACTCTGGATGTTAAAAGAGGATGCACTACAATGATTTGGGGTGGATTTTAGAGGGGGAGCACCCTTATTTGTGGCAGATTTTGCTGCAATCCAGCAACAAAAGTTTAACAGGTTGTCCCTACATGTGTATTCTCGGTACAAGATCACATCTAACCCCACAAGACTACCATGATACTGACGACTGACTGTTGCAGCAAAACACTGGTACAGAAGCACACATTTATCGTCTATTATAGTTTGGTTGTGACTGATAAATGTTTAGCTAGTCACCTGGCTAGCCCTAATGCTAAAGGGGCTTATTTGGGGGACAAAGTGGAACAAAGGCTGATTGCAAAGTTTGAACAGGACTTGTGATAGGAGTAACTGCGACCAACCAGAGACCACTATATTCAGTGGGCCTCTCCATGCCCCAAAGCTAAATGCCTTCTTTTGTAGCTATATTTGCAAAGTAGGAGAGGCTTAATATGACATCCTACATTGATCAAAAACTGCTACAATAGGTCGCGCCACATTGTCGGGTTTCTTTTCTCTACATATCGTCAAGAATTTAAAATGTTACACTACCCATACCAAACCATGTCGCTGAAGCTGTCCAAAACTAGGCAGGCTGAAAAAGACATGAACACAGCCTTTGCTGCCATGCTAAAGTTAACTCTGCACGGCCGTGACTACGCCCACTCTGTTCTAACAGGGTGACTGTGCATGCAAATACATTTTTTAAATTGAAAATGCACTCTGAATTTATTTTTGACAAAAACTTAGTTAGATGCTATATATTCTTATTAGATTGAATGGGATTTGGGATTGTTCTATAATGCTTTCTAACCTCACATCAGTAGCTATGAAGGAATGCATTTGTGGATGGAGCATGGACATGTCATGTCAGGCATTCTCGTGGAATTCAAGGCATTTGGTACAGACTTCCAACCAACTCTCTCTGCCCCTTTTTTAGAGTCAAACCCCACCCTGAACACCTTACTGCCTTCACCTGGTGCCTGGCCCTACAGTGCCTCAGAGAACCCCCTTACCACACACAACTCGGGTAACTATCCCTGTCTGGCCTCAAAAATATTGTTTTTCTGTACAACTTAATGCTTAGTGTAATGTCAATTATAATACTTTTTACAACACTCTCTTTCCATGCTACCAATAAAACAATAATCATTAGATTAAAATGGACAAAACTCAGATTTGTTACTAACAGGTTACAGTATACTAACTATGGTAATTAGGTTACATTAGGTTAAAATTTACTAATTAGAGTTATTAAGCTACTAATTTAATACATTCTAATAACCAAAGTTGGGTGTCTCTGTAGCTCTTCCAGGAATATTTATAGAACATGAATTACTCTTTTTCCTTTTCCACTGTCAGAATTGAAAAATGGTTCTTGTTCTGACTTTTATAGCTAAATTCTCGGAGTTCAAGTCCAGCTGGCCCCCTGAGCCAACTGGACACAGCAAGTCATGGAGGACCAATCGAAACAGCTCCCACCTGCCACGCCCCCCTCCAGGTCTGACCAATCAGAAGCAGCCGTCCTCGTCCCCATGGTCAGGGGCAGGGCCTCGAATGCCAAGAGGGTGGGGCACAGGGGGACGGAGCCAGGACTCACCTTTTGGTACAGACTTTTTTTCCCAGATTGCTTTTTCATCCTTACTGCTTTAGGACGTCTTTGTATTTTGCCAGGCCATGTTGTCCAGTATATCCCCAAACTGTCTTGCTTATGACATTTAAAGCTTTTAATGGTCTTGTTCTGGCATAGCTCACAGATCTGTTTAAACAAGGTAGCCTTGTTTAGCACTAAACTCAGCTGAAGGCAGGTTACTGCAAATGCCTAAGATCAATTACACTTACGCTTACTCAGTTGGTGGAAGATTGTTTTCTACAGTAGCATCCCAGATAATATTAGGAATGCAGGCTTGATAGTTGTTTTAAGTATAGACTTGAAAAAAAAAGGCTAGCATATCACTAGAAGTATTGAGGCTCATTTTCTTTTCTGTTTGTAGTTGTGCAGTTATTTTCATTTATAGCCTAGCATTTTTATCTTTTCAATGTTTTACTTATATTCCTGAGTAAGGCACTTTGAGCTTTTGATTCAAATTTTAAGTGAAAACTACTATATGAATAAATATTTGTTGTAGTTATTATTAATCTCAACTAATGAGATATGGCATGACACCGCTATACAGTAGAATAGAAGTCCATCGACAACCTCAATACACAGTCTTATGCATGAGAATAGATGATCCATAAACAACCTCAATAAATAACATGTAAAAACGTCAAAAAAGTTTGTTTTGTCTTTTTGTCTGTCTTTTTTCTGTCCTGTTTAATCATTCAGAAACTGCATGGAGTGGTGGTTCATCTGCAGGAAGCTCCTGGCTACTACTGAGCAACCTCACCCCCCAGGTATGATGGAAACACTATTTGTCAAAGCAATACATGCATCTGTCAATTCGTTTGGTTGTTTGACAGTTTTAACGAAAGACTTATTTTGTGTCGGTGAAACACCTATGGTTAACTAATTGTGAAGGGGACGGATTCATAACCTGCTTGTCAGATGTGCTCGGCAGTTAAATGGCATAGATAGTGCAGAAAAATGAAAAAGCTTAAATCTTTTGAAAGGCTTGTGATAGCATGTACAATATACCATATGCTGTGTTAAAGATTTAGGGGGATCTATTATCAGAAATAGAATATAGTATGCAAAACTGTTTTGATTAGTGTGTGATCACCTGTAAAGACGAAATGTTTCGCTTTCATTAGCTTAATTATTTAATTAGCCCTTCATGTCTACATAGGTGCAGGTCGCCCTCCAGCACATTGCACTGGCACGTTTCTGCAGTAGCCTAGAAGGGACAAACCAAACACTGGCTCTAGAGAGTACCTGTCATGTATTTATGTTGAAACGGTTGCAGATGCTGGCTAACCATTTTGTGTTGTGAGAAGTTTGAGAACACAAATTTTGAAAAATGAAGGATCATGCTTATTACTTTGCACAAAAAAGCAAAGGAGGGTGAAATAAGCACAAACATGAAAAAACAAAACAAATCAGGACAGGCAACAGCAGAACACCTGACAGCCACCACAGGTTGTACGACACGCTTGGAAAGGGAGTGGTGAGGGAGGGATATTCAGTTGGTTGCAATCTGCAACCTCACTGCTATATGCCATTAAATGTTACACACTGCTCCTTTTAATTGTCTGAATATCACACATTCGCACATTCTCCCTAGTACTCATGTGTTTTTGTGGTGTGTTGTGTGTGTGCACTGTTTCTAGATTGACGGCTCCACTCTGAGGACAATTTGTCTTCAGCACGGTCCATTGATGACCTTTCACCTTGGCCTGACTCAGGGCAGTGCTCTGATTCGCTACTGCAGCCCACACGAGGCAGCCAAGGCCCAGACTGCACTGCACATGTAAGCCAGCTTAAACTTTTCACTTGCTACTGTCCACGTCTGTAGATTTTAAATGTTTATATGTATTCATATATATATATATACATATATATATATATATATATATATATATATATATATATATATATATATATATAAAATGTGTATGTATGTGTACACATCAAGTGTTTGCCTTTTTCTGCAATTGTAAGTGATCAGCCAAGACATGTTTGCGTCTTCAGCTTTTCACTGACCTAAGAGGCTAATGTATCTAACAAGTAATAAAAGCGTACACCCCACCAACAAGCATTGTGCAGACTGCATGTGCAGACCATCACACTTGATTCAAAATATGCCAAGTTGTTAAGTAATCTCAAGTAAATTTGGTCACTTGGTTTCTGACACTAAATGGCTATTATTTATAATAATAAAAGCAGTAAATAGCAGAACATGTTTAAAGCTGGGCTACACTAAGGATTTTTAGCCTGATTTAACTCTGATTTGCCCCTTCTGACCAATTTTCACAATCTGAAGCGATTTTCCAGTTTAGTAGCCCGATCTGAGACATTGACAGTGCAAGTGATCTGGTAGTGTGAAGTGGGAAACGAGTCAATCTTTAGTGTTCCGATCTACCACTGAAATGATCTGAGGCCTTCTATTATTTTCAAACATGTTTTTTTTAATCAGTTAGGATTTTATACATAATGTAGGATATGGCCAGCTTAACATTTATTTCCAGTCAAGGCAGGGGTTACCTCTACCATTTCATTCATGTCCTACAACTGCTGCTTGTCAGCTGTTTAACCACTAGCCCTGGCTGAACTCACTTACTGACAATGAGTGACGAAGTTCTAAGTAGAAGTAGAGAGACAGGATAAATATTTCCATGTGCTCAACTTTTTTTTTTTTTTTTTCATTTTAAAAATATAGTCTTGTAACAAATTACTTTCCATCACAATACCATCACATACCTATTTCCAAATAGAAATGATAAATGTGAAGTACCTGTCTGTTAATTTCTCAGTTCATTATTTTGTGTAGTTAATCGCAATTATTTGCATCTGAGGCAATAATCACATCTGGGGTAAGGAGGAAAATTGTGTAAATGAAATATTTTGCCAAACTGTCACTTTAAGTCTGTAGTACCTGACTGAATCTATCTCACTCTATAGGTGTGTCCTGGGGAACACCACTATCCTGGCTGAGTTTGTGAGTGAGGAGGAAGTTGCGCGTTACTTTACACATTCCCAGAGCTCCGGGGTGGCGGGGTCACCTGAAGGTTCGACTGCCTCTGAGCCAGCCGTGCGAGAGGGAGAGAGAGAGAGGGAGCGGAGTGCAGTAGGAGCAGGAGCAGGAGGAGTAGTGGGAGATGCAGGTGGAGGCGAGGCTGCAGCACCCTGGCAGGGCCTTGACGTTTCAGGCCCTTTGACGGGCAGCCCAGCCATGGAAGGACCCGGACTGGCCCTCTTTAGCCAGTGGAGCAGCAGTGGGGCAGAGGGGCAGGGGGGTGGAGTCTGGGGGGGAGTAACCCCCGGTTATCATGGCAGCAGTCTTTGGGGTGCTCCTCAGATGGAGGACAGCCCATCAGGCCTGTTGCCAGGCGACCTGTTAGGAGGCGGTGCCGACCCTCTGTGATTGACACGGAATGTTGAGAATTGACCTTAAAACACTGGTACATGGACTCAACACACACACAGACACACACACTAGACCATGGACACCTACAAAACTGAAGACACTTAACATGCATATTTAGAACAGACAGGCAGACACACACAGCCACACATATTTAAAGCCAGACATTTCCAGATTAACACTGGGCGTAGTCAAATACACTATTGTTCAGAAGTTTGGAATCGCTGTTCAAAAGTTTGAAATCAATGTTTTTTTAATAATATAAAACCAGTTCGGTTGCAGAAAAGTATATAATTATTATAATATGTTACTCCCGTGCCCCTGAGGATTTCATGTCTGATAGTCCAATAATCATATTGGCAGATACTTGCTTTAAAATAATCAGCATTGGACAGATGTTTGGATTCGACCTATATTGTAAACCGGTATTTCAGTAGCATATTTATTGTATTCTGGAGGAGTACAGTGTTTAGGTGACCCCAGGTTACAGAGCCAGAGTGTTTGCATTTTATTCATGTTATTCATTCTCTGTAATGCTAATCCAGGTAGATGTATTTCTGATTTCTGCATTTTATAAATGTTTATGTAGGCAAATATGTACATGAAAAGTATGCAATATCAGCATAGGCCCATAGGCATGGTGCATTGCTAGTTTCAAATAATTAGTAAGATACTAGAATGCATAAAATAAAAGTGAAGAAATGTAAGATATGTCAGGATGATGGACAGAGCTCTAGAAGATTCTGAAAGGACTGTATAACATTGATAATGAAGTTTTAATAATATTAATATCCAGAATTCATCATATTTAATAATGATATCCCATCTCTGAACAAAACATCCAAACATACCTCTTGCCGAATAGTTTGTAATATTTAAATCCATGTTGTATAAGTTATTGTTATATAGTACTGTGTAAAAGTCAGAGATCGCCTTCATTTAATTCCCAGTCAAAACAGCCATTTAGTACAAGTTATTCATTTTTCACAGCATCAGGAGAAAAAGCAGAAAAAAAATACAGCTTTCAATCTTTTTGGGAGATTTTTAGTCTTTCAAAGTGATCAAAGAGATATTTTTCCACACATCCAAAGTTCAGTCTTAGTAGTTGGTTGCATTTTCTATTTCTCACAAGCCAAGTAATCTCAGACACATTCAGTGATGTTAAGGTCTGGACTCTGGAGCAGCCTGTCCAATGCTTTGAGAACATCAGCAGCTTCTTTGTTTGATTTGTACATTTTCTTCTTTCTTGTCTGTTTCCTTTTTTTCAGTAACGTTTTATTGACAGCAACACAGTCTTTTATACGGAAGTCCGGAGAGGTCATGAGCCGTTGCTATAATTTTCCGGATTGTTATCTTGAGATAACAAAAAAAGTAACTTATTTCAAGATAACAAAATCGTTATCTTGAGAAAAAAAGTTAATTATCTCAAAATAACAACCCAGAAAAATTATAACTATCTCATGGCCTCTCTGGACGTCCTTACTTTTAGGATCATTCATCCTTTAAGTTGTCTTCTCAAAGTGGAAGGATGAACAGGAACACCTGTGCATTTTTTCAGATTTGAAGCAAGAGTGGACCTCATTTCTCTCCGGTCTCTTACTGAAGAAAGCTTTAAGTACTGTTTATCTGATGAGGACAGTTTTGGTGGTCTAAAAGGTCCCATTTTCTCTATATCTGTTACATTTTTTAAACTCTAATTTTGCAAGTGGTTTACTTTGTATATAGACTTTAGACATTTCTTTTGAAAAGTGAATAACTTGCACTTAATGGCTCTTTTAATTGGAAACATAATAAATGAAGGATGGATTTAACACAGTACTGTATTTAACATAACAAAAAATATCAATATGGCGAGTGGCTCCAGACTTTTGAACGGTAGTGTACACAAAAGGAAATTAGCCTGCACATGCTCTCTCACACACACATACACAGTGGCAGCAGTAGGGAAATGCTTACAGACATTCTATTAGCCAGGTTTAAGCTATAGTGGGTTTGAATGCAGGGAGTGTTTGGCCTCCTTTCATGGCGAAACGATTTCATACTGCTGCACTCGTTTACTGGACATCAGGCGCAAGTCCAGGGTTCCACTTCATTTCACCTTTTGCTTCACAAACACATGCACACACTTTAATCCGCCTGACCGATAGTGTTGTGACAGTGATGCTTGCATTGCGATTTGTTTTGCATGAGTATATAGCAAAGGGCAATCTGTATGTCTACCCATTAAGGATACTCAAACACAGACACACACACACAGACACACACATACAAACGCACTGATGCAAGCACACCTCCTGAAGTGAGACTTTTTGTTGTCATTTATGTGTGTGTGTATGTGTGTGTGTGTGTGTGTGTGTGTGTGTGTGTGTATGTGTGTGAGGAGTTGAGTTTAATAGACCTTCCACTGTCCTCTTTTTTAGGCTTCCTGTGTCACCTCCACTATGGGCTGAATGTTGTTCTTTTATGTACGCGTTTGTGACGGACATGTACAGTCTCTTGTTTAAGACACAGTGTGAATGAGTGAGAGTGAGAAGGGCTGAGTCTAATGCGCATGTGTGCACTTTACTGTTTTTGCTATAGTGTGTGTGCGTGTGTGTGCGCGCGAGTGGCTGCTTTTGTTTATTGTGTACTCTACACTGTGCTGGTACTCTGGCATTAGCGGGTTTCTGCGACGTATGTGGTTTTTTTTTAGTATATACACTCATGTAGCCTTTTTTATCGGCTGAACTGCAATAATGATTCTAAAGAGCATTTTTAAGACACGAGCGTGTGAAGGCCAAAACTGATCTGTCCCCAGCAGCCAGGAGGTTTACACACACCGCTAAAAAGAGATATTGTATGTTTCATGTTTGTGCTGTTGTTTTTTTCTGTTTTTGTTTTAATTTAAGACAGACTTTTAACACTCCTTTTCAGTGTTTCCTTTTTGGAGATTTTACAGAGGACAAAAGAAGAGTTATTTAAATGAAAGAAAAAAAGAGAGTTCTATAATAAAGATGAAGAGATTGGCTTGGATATGTGTATTTATTTTTTTTGGGGTCTATAGTAAGAGAACAGTGAGAAAGCGCCCACATGAGTAACATGCTATAATACATACTATAGTAACTACATTAACAATGGTCATTACGATAACTATAGGAACTGTAATAGCTGTTACTCGAATGGCTACAGTAACTGTAATAACAATAGTAACTGACTATAGAAACTGTAATAGCTGCAGTAACACTAATGGCTTTTGTAACTTTAAAAGCTGTAGTAACTCTGACTACAGTAACTAATAGCTACAGTAACTAATGGCTATAGTAACTAATAACTGTAGTAGCTGCAGTAACTCTAGTAGCTATAAGAACCTTAATAGCTACAGTAACTCTAATGGCTAAAGTAACTAATAACTCTAGTAACTCAAGTAGCTATAGTAACTCTAATGGCTATAGTAACTGTAATAGCTGCAGTAACTAATGGCTATAGTAACTAATAGCTGTAGTAACTCTAATGGCTATAGTAACTAATAGCTGCAGTAACTAATGGCTATAGTAACTGTAATAGCTGCAGTAACTCTAATGGTTATAGTAACTGTAATAGCTGCAGTAACTAATGGCTATAATAACTAATAGCTGCAGTAACTCTAATGGTTATAGTAACTGTAATAGCTGCAGTAACTCTAATGGTTATAGTAACTGTAATAGCTGCAGTAACTAATGGCTATAATAACTAATAGCTGCAGTAACTCTAATGGTTATAGTAACTGTAATAGCTGCAGTAACTCTAATGGTTATAGTAACTGTAATAGCTGCAGTAACTAATGGTTATAGTAACTGTAAAAGCTGCAGTAACTCTAATGGCTATAGTAACTGTAATAGCTGCAGTAACTCTAATGGTTATAGTAACTGTAATAGCTGCAGTAACTAATGGTTATAGTAACTGTAAAAGCTGCAGTAACTCTAATGGCTATAGTAACTGTAATAGCTGCAGTAACTAATGGTTATAGTAACTGTAAAAGCTGCAGTAAGTCTAATGGCTATAGTAACTGTAATAGCTGCAGTAACTCTAATGGTTATAGTAACTAATACCTGCTGTAACTCTAATGGTTATAGTAACTGTAATAGCTGCAGTAACTCTAATGGTTATAGTAACTAATACCTGCTGTAACTCTAATGGCTATAGTAACTGTAAAAGCTGCAGTAACTCTAATGGTTATAGTAACTAATACCTGCAGTAACTCTAATGGTTATAGTAACTGTAATAGCTGCAGTAACTCTAATGGTTATAGTAACTAATGCAGGTTTGTCCAAGCCTTTAATCTTCAGGGGCCAAAGTGGAATCAGATGAATATACAAGGTTGGTGGTTTCAAATAGACCTTTTATTTATATGAATATACTATATATTAGTAAAATACTTCAGAAATATCTTTCATTTTAAAAGTGAAATAAGAATTTCATATATAGGAAATATGTTTGTTTTTTCATGGATATGGTGTTAAAGTAACATTTTGGCAAGCCAAATCAAACGTCATCATGGGCCAATTTTGGACAAGCTTGTGCTAATGGCTAGCTATTGTAACTGATAGCTAGTAGCTGCAGTAACTCAAAGCAATAGTAACCTTGAAGGCTATAGTGACTAATAGCAATAGGAACTCCAGGAAGCTATAGTAACGCATAGCTGTAGTAAATCAAAATACGGCGATAGCAGCCTAACTATATTAGATGTAATAGCTGTAATAATTTTAGTAGCTATAGTATGTCAAATGACTTCAGGAATTATAGTAACTGTAATAGCTGTAGTAACTGGTAGCTATAATAACTAATAGCTGTAGTAATTCTAATGGCTATAGTAACTGTAATACACTCTATGGCCAAAAGTAAGGAAGCTTGGAGCTCTGTAAGTTTCCGTGGTCTACCGCTTTGTGGCTGAGCTGCAGGTGCAACCAGATGCCTCCATTTCACAATAATAGCACTTACAGTTGAGCAGGTTGAGCACAGCAGAAATTTCATGAACTGAACTGTGGCAAAGGTGATGTCCTATAACAGAGCCACGTTTAAAGTCACTGAGCTCATCAGTACGATCCATTCTACTACCAGTGTTTGTCTACGGGGATTGCAAGGCTATATGCTTGATTTTATACACCTGTCAGCAATGAGTGTGGCTGAAACACCTGAACTCAATATTTAGGAGTGGTGTCAACATACATTTGGCCACATAGTGTAGCTGTAGTAACTCTAGTAGTTATAACTATAGTAAGTAATAGCTGTACAGCTATTAGTTGCTTAATGTAATTATAACAGTATGCAGTAGACTACTGTGAACAGAACCACGCAGAGACGTGCATTGGAGATCAGAAAGCACTGTGTATAATCTTGTTGGTAGACATTACCCTTTCATTCTGATCTGGGGCCAGTCTTGTGCTTGGCCTTACAATGGTTGAGCGAGAATGACCTACAGAGTTTAGTTCCAACTCCAGTCCCACAAATCTGTCTCTAATATTTAGATGCTCCTGCTGACCTTGATTAGGTGAGATTAGGATTAAGAAGATAGAGCTGGTCCTGGTTCAGTGTAAAAGAGCAGCGTCTGCCTGGAGTCTGAAATGCAGACATTATACAGATGGGGTAACACAATATATTGTTTGTTAATTAATAATGTGATATTGATTTTTTGCAATAACGACATTTGCAAAGGGACGTTTTTTAGTATGTGCTGTGAACATTTTGACCAACTACAGATGATCCAGATAAGAATCTGTGGGCCCATCAAGACATTCACATAATCCAACAAACATAAATCATGTTGGTTAAAAATAATACACGTCTGTCTTTAACCTCATTAAAGAGGAATTCCACCCTTTTTCCCAAATGATTGCATACAGAAACGTTTGATGTGGTCACTTGTAGAGAAACATACTGACTCAGATTACTGACCCAGGAGATGTGATATCTACAATGTAAATATAGCTATTTTATTTACAATCCAAAACCACCAGTGAACCTACATGTGTCTACAGAGTTTTATATGTAATGTTGATGATGGTAAATTGTGGTACATTCAGTAAAAAGTTTTCTTCTGGGACTGTTTTGCTTCACAACAACCTGTATGTACCCTTCTGCCATGAATGTGTTTTGAAAAATAGGTTATAGGCCAAAACCTTCTCAGGACTATCATTTAACAAAGTTGCTGGTATCAGATACTTATTCGTAATCATTTTATATAATAACATGTTTGTGTTTTAGCTTTTAAAGGTATTACACTCTTCAGACATCTGGTTCCTATCACCACCGCTGTGAACAGTTCTGTCTCTGGAATGGAGCATTTCACATCAAACCTATGGAATTCCCCTTAAAGGATTCAAAAATATATTTGTATATAAGTATTTGCATATTGTCACTGTTTGAACAAAACTTTCTATCTAGAAATGGTACATTTTCCGGAGAAGTAAAAAACATTCTTGTACTGGAGGTTAATGTAAAATGATTTTTTACCGATAATTTGAGCCATTTCTTTTAGACTCATTTCCAAAAGCTATGATCAAATTAAACAACAGAAATGTGTGTAAACAGATAACTACATTGTAAAATTAGCTTACAATGTAAAGGGCAGCTGTTGTTTATAATTTATAAAAAGTAACAGTGCTGCTGGAGTTTTAAACACTGTGTCCACTCTATTAGACACTCCTACCTGTAAAGTCAGAAACGATAGCTCATCTGCTGCTGCACAGTTTGTGTTGGTCATCCTCTAGTTCTTCATCATTGGTCACTGGACGCTGCCCACAGGACGCTGCTGGCTGGATCTTTTGGTTGATGGACTGTTCTCAGTCCAGCAGTGACAGTGAGGTGTTTAAAAACTCCATCAGCACTGCTGTGTCTGATCCACTCAGACCAGCGCAACACACACTAACACACCACCACCACATCAGTGTTACTGCAGTGCTGAGAATGATCCACCACCCAAATAGTACCTGCTCTGTGAGGCTCCATGGGGGTCCTGACCACTGAAGAACAGGGTAAAAGGGGGCTAACAAAGTATGCAGAGAAACAGATGGACTACAGTCTGTAATCGTAGAACTACAAAGTGCACCTACATAGTAAGTGGAGCTGATAAAATGGACAATGAGCGTAGAAACAAGGAGGTGGTCATAATGTTATGCCTGATTGATGTACTTTAAAAATATGTTTATTGTTATTATTATAAAAGTTATACATATAAATAAATATCTAAACATATATTTACATATGTAGAAATATATACATGTATAGAAACTGTTGTCAAAGATTGAATAAAAATTTGTGTGAACAGATAATTTCAGTACATTAGTTGTAAATAAAATGTTTATGTGTAAATATTTATTGATGCATATTATGCAAGCACAAATGAGCGGTAGGGTATTTTGGTTAGACAGCTTTTAAAAATATATTATGATTATTATAGGACATTCTCCTTTTGCCATCCTCAGTGCAGGCAGTAGAGGGGGAGGCACACTAAGCCTCATTGCTGCTGAACAGGGAGCTCAGCCGACTCTAGGAGAGGGACAGTGGGATATGACATCCGCCACAATCCGCTCCCATCCTCAGCCGCCCTCGGCTCAGCGAGCCTGACAAACAGCGGATCAGAAACAGCATCGAACCAGCTGTCGGACAAGCCAAGTATCGGGTGAGTTCGGTACCGATGGGCCACCGAAACCAGCGGGGAAAAACGGCTCGGGATTAGGGGGGTTGGTCTCGGCCAAGCTGGAGCAGCGAGTGCAGGGGGAGGGGGCGGATAGAGCTGAAACTCCGTTAGCTTAGCGCTGCTCCACTGTCAGCGAGGGTGCGGCTATGAAAACAACATAAAAATACACACTTTAGTCGTCTGACTGTCGAACGTAACAGTCTGGTAGAAGAAACTGGGGGTAAGTAAAGCGCTTTCTTAAGGAGAGGACTGGCTACTACGGCTGTACACTTACACTGAACACTGTTAGCTAGCATGCCTGCTAGCTACTGTTACTAACAGCTGGCGTTTTAACTGCAGCGTCGAGCTGACAGGCTGCGTAATGTTTCTATCATTGTATAAGCTAGTAAACATAGTAACTACAATAACCATGGTAGCTATAGTAACCACGATATCTGTAGCTGTAGTAACTGTTGTTGATCTAGTAACTATAGTAACGGTAGTACTGTAGTAGCTGTAACTGCTGCGATAACTAGTAAATATAATAGCTAACTATAGAAACTAGGTGCTGTAGTACGTTAAGTGTAGTAACTGTAGTAGCTATAGGAATTGTAACTGTAGTAACTACAGTAGCCATGGTAACTGTAGTAGCTGTTACTGCTACAGTAACTGTAGCAGTTGTACTTAACTACTGCAGCTCTAGCAGCATTAGCCTAACTAGTGCTAGAGAAGGTAGCTTATAGTGTCTCTGCCTGCACTGTTAGCTGTTACATTTGCTTGGTTGTAAGTTGAGATAAATGTGAAGAAATATGTCTCAACATATTAACAGGCTGCAGTATTTAGCTCTTGTTGACACAGTCAAAAATACGTTGAAAATCTGAGCACAACTAAGTTAAACATGACTACAATTAGCTACTGTTCTGGATTATTTTTATTCATGCCTGAAGGTGTTTTTGAATGACACAGCATCCAAATCCTTTCTCCATCAAACATCAGCAACATAATACTGACTGTTAGAAAACTGAAGGATGTTGTTTGGTCAATCAGCACAGAAGGGCGGTAATGAGACTGTGGGGTCAGTAATCTGGACTTCTCTACTCACTCAGTCTCAGACATGGCTGAGGAACATGTGAGTTTTTAGACTCTGAATAAATGATGAAATCTCTCCAGCAGCATCACGTGCAGGCTGGCTTCTGCCAGGGTTTCTCAACAGTCTCACACACACACGCAGCTCTCCTAGCTTGGCACACTGGCGTGTCTGTCTCTGTACTTACACGCTCAGGGTGTGCTGAACAGCTGATGGATAATTCCAAGATTCAGCAGAGTCACTTCAAAAACTGGGGCTGCTCTCCAAGCTAGCTGAATAACTGGCATTTTCTGAGTCAGTTCTCGAGCCGGACATATGATTAAAGTCCTTTCCAAAACTGGAAGTATGGTTTATGTCAGTTCCCTAACTGGGTGTGTGGCTTGTCTCAGATCCCTAGCCGGATGTATAGTTTGAGTCACATGCAGAATTTCACATTTGTGCATATCCGCTTGTCCCGCATACAGCAGTTTAGCCACGTACGCTCACAGAAGTTATAACTAGTGTTTCTGTCTGGTCAGCTATAACAGTGAGGCACAATACAGGACAGCCATATACATACATATATCAGTTTTAAAGGCACAGTAACAAAAATAGCATGTGTTATTCAAAGAACTGGTATTAGAAAATGATTAGAAAATGGTCATATAAAAATGAATTATGATCATTTTTGGTACATAACATCACACAAAAATAAAATGCAAGAAAAAATGTTGGATTTGGCTCTTTAAGATAGTTCTGTAAATGAACATATGGTTTGAGTCAGATCCATAGCAATTTGTAAAAATGACCGAATATTTAGTGGGGATGCACCAAGATATTGGACAAATGTTTAGATTTGACCAATTTTTATTTTTTATTTTTTATGATGTAATTATCTTACTCTAGATGGGGTCGGATTCACAAAAGTTTCTTAAGGAAGAAGATCTTTTTAAATGTGTGTTTTTTTTCTTAACTGAATTTTTAAGAAAAAAAAGATCTTGAAGAAAAACTTTTCTTAACTGTTTTCTTAAGAATAGTTCTAAGAACAAGTAGTATTTTTGAAAATATTATGTTCTTAAATGTTTTCTTAACCTTATAACAGCCTCACACTTGTCTTAGGCTGTAAGAGTTGACAAGGTAAACGTCTAAATTTATCCGCTCCTGCCCATCCTCGTCTCTTGTTTTCCAGTCACCCCACAATTATTGTATTTTCCAAGGAGGATTTTTTCCTGTTGGCTATTTCTTCCACCATATCTTCTAGTTCCTGTTTGATAACTAATTTGGTTCAGTGTATTTCACCCATTTTGCTGTCCTCTGAGCAGATTAAACTTAATAACGGAAATAAAAAGTTAATACAAATTCAAAATGTATATTGCGCCATTTATGATACGGGGTAAAATGCAGTGTAGGCTACATAAGAAAACTATTTTAGAAAAAGAAAATATAAAGAAAATAAGATTATCTTAAGAGGATATTTGAGAACCTCTGAAGTGTTTTTTGAGAATTGCATTAAAGGACATTCTGCATTTTTAACCTACAAATATATGTTGTATTTTTCTATATTGCTATTTCAGGTGAATTTAGTACCAATTCCTCCTCTTTTAAGATGTCTGTGTATTGGCATCAGTACAAATCCCATTGTTGGTGCATCCCTAATATTTAGCTCCATGTAATCAGCATATCTACAGTGTAAATATAAGATTTGTACTGAAATGCATAATTGACGTGTGTGTCTGTGTGTGTCTGTGTGTGTTGCAGTTGACAAGGAGCATGGATCTGCGAGTGGGAAGTAAGTACCGGCTCGGCCGCAAGATCGGCAGTGGCTCTTTTGGGGACATTTACCTCGGTAAGACATATTCTTGTAGTAAAAAACTCTGCTTTGTACTTCTGTTGTCATGCACACACATCAACCATCCTTTCATCATTGGTCAGTTTGTGACTGCAAGACCACTGTTGACCAGATATTATTTGGGTGGTGGATCATTTTCTTAGAACAGCAGTGACGTTGACATGGTAGTATGTATGAGTGTATCAAACGCAACAGCGTTGCTGGAGTTTACACACACAGAGTGTCATTACTACCACCACCCAAAAATATCCGGCAAACAAACAGGGCTAGAGGATGACTAACACAAACTGTACCACAACAGACGGGCTACAGTCTCTTAAGTGTACACCAGCAAGGTAGAGCTGCTAGGTTGAGGTTCCTATTTAAGTGCATGCACACACAGTACATCGTTTTCAAATACATGCTGGTTTGTTGGTTCTCAGGTTCTAACATCGCCACGGGGGAGGAGGTGGCCATCAAACTAGAGTGTGTGAAGACCAAACACCCACAGCTACACATCGAGAGCAAGTTCTACAAGATGATGCAGGGAGGAGGTAAAGAAGGAGAAAGATGTAGAAGGAAAGTGAGGTTATGTTGTGAGTTCATGGGGCTGCTGATCTAGAAGTATCTTTTAAATTTAGAAATAATTAAACTATTAAGATCTAAAGAGTCATTCAGAGTTGTTTGATGTAAAATGCTAAGTTCTGGAGAAACTTAGTCAGGGTCATTCACAGCAGTGGTGATGGGAATCAGACATAGGAAGTTGTCCCCTCTTTTGTGGCTGTGACAGCCTCCACTCATCTGGGAAGGCTTTGGAGTGTGTCTGTGGGAATTTGTGCCCATTTAATCAAAAAAAGCATTTGTGAGGTCAGGCACTAATGTTGGTCAAGAAGGCCTGGCTCACAATAAACATTCCAAGCTATCCCAGCGGTGTTCAGTGGGATTGAAGTCAGGGCTCAGTGCACTGGACTTCACTCTTCAAACTCTTTAGGGCATTTCTTTTGGACCTCGCTTTGTGCACAAGGACACAGTCATACTGGAACAGGAAAGGACTTTCCCCAAAGCCATAAATTTTGAAGCATGTATTTCTCTGAAATGTCTTTGTATGCTGTAGCATTAACACTACCCATCGCTGGAACTAAGGGGCCTAGCCTAAACCCTGAAAACAATTATCAATAATCCTTTCTCCAACAAAGGAGGAATATTCCAGTAGGTGGTTATCTAGCATTGGCCAAAGCTAAGTTTGTCCACCGGACTGCCAGATAGTGAGATGTGATTCATCTCTTAAGACAACGCGTTACCACTGCAACAGAGTCCAGTGGTGGTGTGCTTTACACCACTCCCACTGACACTTAGCATTGCACATTATTATCTTAGGCTTTTGTGCTGCTGCTCTGTCATGGAAACCTATTTCATGAAGCTCCTGATGCACAGTTCATGTGCTGATGTTGCTTCCAGAGGCAGACTGGAACTCTGTAGCGAGTGATGCAGCAGAGGATATACTATTCAGCACGCTGCAATTCAGCACTTGCTGGCCCTGCGCTGTGAATTTGCACGATCTATCGCTTTGTGGCCGAGCTGTTGTTCCTAGATGCTTCCATTTGACAATAATAGCCTAATACAGTTGACTGGGGCAGATCTAGCATGGTAGAAATTTAAAGATCTGACTCATAGTGAAAGGTGGCATCCTATGACCATTTCAAGTCTAAGGTCTTTGAGCTCTTCAGTACAACTGATTCTACTGCCATGGAAATTGCATGGCTATGTGCTTAATTTTATGCACCTGTTAGCAATGTATGTGGCTGAAACTCTTGAACTCAATACTTAGGAGGGGTCTCCACATACTTTTGGCCATATAGTGTAGTTTAATGTCTCTAAAAGCTACCTCACAAAAACAAATACAAGAAATTGTTATGCATATGCTGCCTGATGCCCGAGACATTGTTTTACGGTAGTGAAGTTTCTGTTAATGAACGGATATCCTTAGGGCTGGATCTGGATTCTTAGTCTTTTAGGTGATAGCACTCTATCAGGCCCAAAATCAGTAGCACAAAAATGTAGTAGCAAGCCAAGGAATAGATACAAAAACATGTTTTATTATTACAATTACTTTTTTTTTATATTGTTATTGATTGAAACAAAGGGTGGCTCTTTAGATATGAGCTAAAACTACAGTTGTCTGGTACAGCACAACTTACACAAGGTAATTTCTCCTCAATGGACGATATGCCAACATGTTTTTTCAGAGTGATATAGTTCCACTTTTTTTGGACTAGTTAGCCTAGTTAGCAGTAAAACTGCACTACGTTTGCCTTCTCGGTCACATCTTTAACAAAGCATCTTTGGCAGTGCACTCATTCAGGCCCTTGTGTTTGGAGTGGCAGAGTATACATACTTATGAATACCAGCAAAACCATCATATTTTTCAATCTTGGTCAAACATAAAAGCGCAGTCTCGTTGAGTTGTTAGTCTATATTTTCTTCCATCTTCCTGTGCTGAAACCTTGAGGCCCGAGTACCCCAATAGTGATTTTAGTATTCGAATACTGGCACCTCAAACAGTGAATGGAGTATTCAAGTACCTGTGAATGTCCCTAGTATTAAGTACAATAGTCTTGTGGCTTAAATTAAACTTCAGACATCAAATATGCCTGACTGACTATAAGGGAAGAATTGGGTAAATTAGATTTTTTTAAACATTACAGTGTATGTGTAATATTCTACTGTTTACTAATTTCTGTGTATGTGTGTGTGTGTCTCAGTGGGAATCCCCTCTATAAAGTGGTGTGGAGCTGAGGGAGATTATAATGTGATGGTGATGGAGTTGCTGGGTCCCAGTCTGGAGGATCTCTTCAACTTCTGCTCCAGAAAGTTCAGCCTGAAGACTGTCCTGCTGCTCGCTGACCAGATGGTAACACAGACACACACATCATTCTGTATCATTTTGTCTATGCGATATCTAACATGTTCAGCTGTTCTGGAAATGGTAACACATCAGTAAATAGCATAATAATATATTATGTATGCTAAATGCTTTCACTGCAGAGCTACTGGTTTTCCTGCTTCTGGTTCCACATCCAACACCTTATTCATCAGTTGCTTTAAACCTCACAAAGTTGTTGAGTAATCTCAAATAGCCTGGCTTAGGTGGTTTCTGACTATGTACGACATACTGGTATCTATGAAAATGGACAAATCTAAAGCACTGTTTCTTTGTGCTCCTCAGATCAGCAGAATAGAGTACATCCACTCCAAAAACTTCATCCACCGGGACGTGAAGCCTGATAATTTTTTAATGGGCCTGGGAAAGAAGGGCAATCTTGTTTACATCATCGACTTTGGCTTGGCGAAAAAATACAGAGACGCCCGCACGCACCAGCACATCCCCTACCGTGAGAACAAGAACCTGACTGGCACGGCCCGCTACGCCTCCATCAACACGCACTTGGGAATAGGTACTAACACATGCACACACAGCTCAGTATTGCCAACACATTTTCAGACAGAGGCATCATTTTAGCATATACAGGTTTAGGAGTAGTAGCATGCCAACTGCCACATGTCAATTCCAATATATAGTTAAGTGTTTCTAAATCTAACTGTAGAGGGGGTGAGGGGTGTTTAGTGGGGGTACAGAGGGCTCGAAACGTTCCCAGAAATCATCAAAATTATCATATCTTCAGCTATATGACAGTTTTTTGTTTTTTTTTTATATATACACTAGTTTTTTTTAATTGCTACATTCAGTAGTACTTTGAAAGTTGTTTACTTTTTATTTGATGTGTGGTTGTGCTCTTCTTTCATAGTATTCTAAAGCAGCAAAGGCAAATAACAATGTTTATTTAATAAACATAATAACTACCATGTACTACTAACATGCAAATATTAAAAAGCCTGCAGTACTGTTAAAATCATGTTTGGTGATCAGTGTACAGGACTTGAAGGACATTTACAGGACTTTAGGATTAGGGACTTGACTTGCAACTCATTGACTAAATCCCCACCTCTGGGGTCTGGTAAGAGCTGCAATTCAGATGTTTGTTTACAAGGAGATACATTTATTCAGTTTCAGTTGATAACATAAATAAAAATTAGTACTATTACTATTAATATTAGTAGAATAATAATTTTGTACGTAGTTTGACCAGAGGAGGATGGGTCCCCCCATGTGAGCCTTGGTTCCTCCCAAGGTTTCTTCCTCAACTGAGGGAGTTTTTCCTTGCCACTGTCGCCCCTGGCTTGCTCACCTGGAGGATTTACATTTCATGTTGAAACTTTGTTCTAAACGGATTTCTGTGAAGCTGCTTTGTGACAACATCAGTTGTAAAAAGCGCTATACAAATAAATTTGATTTGATTTGATAAAGGCACAGAACTGATGTTGGTTAAATTGCTGGTAAATGTACACCTGACAACCACAAACCTATTGACAGTGTAGCCAGTAAAGGTAATACTGACGCTAGCAAACACACAGACATGAATCATGATGTTAACACTAATCAGCAGTGATAAATTAGCCTGGTACCTTATCACCTTGAACTATAGAAAACTAACTCAAGCCCATCAGAGTCCAAGCAAAGCTGCATGGTTGCTATTGTATGTAAAGTCTTAGGCTTCAGACTACAAGCTGTTTGACCACAGCATCCAATCATTGCATTAATTTACATCCCAGGAAAATTACAGTGAATCACTGTGACCATCAATCGCCTAATAATAACAGGGCCTAATTTGTATAAATATTTTTTGAATGCCAACCCCTCCCTTTCTTAATATCACAGGTGTTGATATCACACATTGAGATGGTAAGACAGTCATTTGCATTTGATGAAAATTTGTTGAACATTTGCCAGTGCAGCATGCCTACACATATATACAGTATCACTAGAGATAGCACACACATTATTACACACACATTGATCAGTAATGAACACTGTGTACATTTAAATTAAAGCTTGCCACACATAGTCACTTTGAGGCCAGACTTTAACTATATTCATCTCAGTAAAATCAAGATATTAAAATGATAGTCTGGCAAACAATCAAATTTACACATACATCCCTTTGCCTGAAAAATGGACAGAGGAATGGATAAATTTTGTTTATTAATGAACTGTTCCTTTATATAGCCTTATATCAGTAAATGTGTGTTGACACGACACGACCCGACCTGACGATAAATTGCCAAAGAAATAATTGCAGTCAGCAAGTTAATTGTCTTTATTTGAAAGACAATTAAATTGTGTTAAAGTACAAAATAGATGATTAGCTGTCTTATTGGCTGAACAAGCTGTCAGTAGCTTCAAACTGATGACAGAAACAGCTCAAATAAAAATTATTCACTACTGGCCTAGGTGTTGTAGAACAGGTTAGACGTTAGAACACGCTCTTTTTCTCTTTTTTTTTATTTATTTCTCTCTTTCTCTCTATCTCTGTATACTTAGTCGCACATACAGGTGACCTTTTTGCATTTTACTGTACTGTAACAATCAGCTTTTCACTGAATTGTTTGTCTCTATATTTTCTCTGCTTTTCTGTGATAAATTGTATCAAATACCCAAATAGTAATTTCAGTATTCAAATACTACCACCTCGAATGGTTAACTGTGTACTCAAGTACCAGTACACATCCTTATATAACACGGGTCAGAATTTAGAACTTTTAATTCTATTTATGTGATGTAAACAAAGGAGCGTGAAAGCTAACAGCTGTGGAAAATACTCAGCTTAAATAATTACGTTTAGAAGATTATATATGCCTGTTCAGAACATGCTTGTCCATACAGCCATTTGTTTTAATATTCTCTTTTATTTTTTGTATATAGAGCAGTCTCGGCGGGATGATTTGGAGTCTCTGGGCTACGTGCTGATGTATTTTAACCTGGGCTCATTGCCCTGGCAGGGTCTGAAGGCTGCCACCAAGAGGCAGAAGTATGAACGCATCAGTGAGAAGAAAATGTCCACACCTATCGAGGTGTTGTGTAAGGGCTACCCCTGTAAGTAGCCTGTAAGAATCTATTAAAAAGATAAAAGCATGCAGTAGTTTTATATAAATTCTCACTCATAGCTCATTGAAATAAGCAGAGAAATTCTGTAGAAAGTGCAGATACTTAACTTTCAAGCCACACTACATTAGTGTTTGTAAGTAGAAAAGGAGATATTTTATTATGAATTGAATTTGAAAAGGTTATTGTTGAGTGTTTTGCAAAAACATTTTTGCCATGTTTTAATTTTGACATAAAAAAAGAAAGGGAATGCAAATTAAATGGTCATGCCGTTACTTAATTACATAATTATGAGCAAAACAACAGTAAGTAAACATCTAAAGGTTAAAAAAAGCATCCACTGTAGCTGTTCTGTTTGATTGGAACATTATGTCTGTAAGTCATACATCAGTTATTCTCAAAATGTAAAGATTGAAACAAAGATTAGAGTTTCATGCATAACAGTTTCTATCTGATATTTGTTATATTCTTTGATTTTGTTGTGCATTTGTTTATTTTTTTTACTCGACAGCTGAGTTCTCCACATATTTGAATTTCTGCCGTTCGTTGCGTTTTGATGATAAGCCGGACTACTCTTACCTGCGGCAGCTTTTCCGGAACCTCTTCCACCGTCAAGGTTTCTCCTACGACTACGTGTTCGACTGGAACATGCTCAAATTTGTGAGTACCAAACCGCTTTTGATTCTGCGAAAAAAACAAATTTACACAATTTTTGAATTACCCCACATGTAGTAGGACAAAAATTACAGGCACATACTGTATTTATATCTATATTATACTTGTAGATTTTTTTTTACAGATAACAGTCTGTAATATAGGTTGAGAAACCATATAAATATGAAAATGCGATTAAATTAACTAGTCCTTTAAAATGTGTTTAGGCTAAACACCCTATGGACTGTACTGTAAACTGTAGTGCTGAAGAGCCACGGCTGATCCAGCTCAGCCAGCACTTCATAATCAACTAATCTGCTATATCTGGTACAAGGATTCCCTTTATTATTATTAGCAGAGATGCTGGTTCTAACTGAACTGAGCTTCAGCTTGTCTTTCAACATTACTTGGTGGCCCTTGCAGGAGAGAAGTGCTTGAAAGGGGGTGAGAAGCTCAACGTGGACCACAAGTGCTAACCGCGCTGCTTCTATACCACTCCACACTGCACTATACTGCACCATTTGTAATATGCTCCTGTGTTGATCAATGTAACGGTCATGAATACATGAAATGCCATTTTATGGTTTGAGGATGTTTTTTGATGATTGCCATAGTATCCTAAACCCATACTCGAGTATTCTGTGGTTTTTTAGACTCTATTATCCTCTTTTTGGATCTTAAAATAACATGTCTCTTTTGGTCTAAAATAAAATGATGAACTTCTAAAGTGAGAGTTGTGATCAGTAGGAAAGCAGTCCGGGAGTTGAACCAAAACAACAGAATGAAAATAAACCCAAGAAAGGAATTAACAAGTAAATGTTGATGCAATCTAAAATAGAACTGAGTAAAAATATATTACTCACTAAAGTGCTTTGATAGATAATAAAGGTCTTATCATTTAAAAATACTCAGAAAACTTTCCTCTCTATTTCTCTCTCTCTTTCTCTCCCCCCATCTGTCTCTGTCTCTGTCTCACTCAGGGAGCAAGTCGGGCGGTGGATGAGGGTGATCGGGAGCGGAGGGGTGAAGAGAGAGAAGGCGGAGGGGTGCGGGGGTCAGGGGTCAGAGGTCATGCTCCCCCTGGACCGAACCGAGTCAGAAATGGGCCCGAACAGCCATCCTCCAACCCTGCCTCCCGCATACAGCAATCAGGTAAAAAATGTATGAATGAAAAGAGAAAAATGTATGTGTTTCCCTATTTTTTTGTTTCTCAATTTGCAAATCAAACACACACAGAACAAAGGACTGGTCATCCCATAGTTCAGACCTCAGCATCGCTGAATGTGTTTGGGATTAATGGGATCATTAGAAGTAGAAAATATAATCAGCTTCTAAGACTGAACTTTGGAAGTGTGGAAAAATATCAGATTTCTTTCACATATCAGATTTCTTTATAAAAAAAAAAAAACTAAAAGCAAGTGTCCTGAAAAGAACGGAAGCTGTAAGAAAGGCAGAGACTGGACACATTAATCGCTGAAGAATTTGATATTATATCTAGTTGTTGAGGTTTCTTTGACTTTTGCATGGTACTGAATACTTTCTACAGAGTTATGTACTTTATACCTTGGTTGGAGTGTGCATAGTCCTGGTTTGTATGTCTCTACCTGTGTGCTTCTAGGTAACACATCACCACGGGCAATCTCCAGAGGAGAGCGGGACAGGAAGGTGAGCATGAGACTGCACCGAGGAGCCAACGTCTCATCATCACAGGTACACACACACACATTATTTCATCCTCACAAATACACACACTTCCAAACCCTGCAGGGAGTGTTCATATCCTCCACACCCTTCTCTTTTCTTCTGTTCATTCATTGCTCACTCTCTCTGCAGGTTAGCATGCCATATGAGCACCTTGGAAAGTGAGCTGTCCAACCACACACACAATGACAGGTGAGTAACACACACATCTGAATATTCAGACTATCTGTGTAGCCTTTGGAGCATTGAATACTCTTACAGTTAACAGGGATCTCAGTAAATAGCTTTACAGTGCACTGTGTTGAAGTCTGTGTGTGCAGTACAGCAGTCATGTCTATACCTTCTCTTACAGCGATAGTTTGGCAACAAATTAAAAAAATGCCCAGTTTCCCCGCTTACACTAAATGTAGTTAATCAGCCGAGACATGATTAGAGTCTGAAGTTTGCTTCTTCATTTTAGCACTGGATTTATGAGGCCACTGTTGCTATCAAGTTTGCTTATACCTCACCACATAGCATGGTGCTAAATGCATGCATATATCTTCACATACTTGCAACAAACCATGTCAAGTAGTTGATTCTTCACAATGTAAGTTTGGGGGATTTGGAGACATCTTTGGTGGAAATGTGTAAATGCACATAACCTGGAAGAGATTGTTTTATAACATGGGTTGTGCTTTAGGTTCTTCCTAGGCATGGAACTACTTAATGATGTATAAGTCTCCATTACTTGTTAGATACGTTATATTGGTAAGTGTCCAGTATATTTTAAAACTGACCCCCTGTTATATGTTTGTTGTTTCTACAGGGCTGCAAAACTCACTCACCTTCTTCAGATATTCTCAGAGGTTTCTTTTGTTTCATTTTTTAAAACATATTGCCAATGAACCTGAAAGTTTGGTTGGAGAAAAGTGTGGTGGGAGATGAACTGTGTAACACTCACCTCACCGCTATCCTCAAGGCTGAAGACTCCACTTCTTTACCCCATTGTTTCTGCCAACACCTCACTTTTCACCCATCATCCCTCACTCCTAAACCATGCTTGTATTATGAAGGCTCAGAGAGAAGCTGAACGTTGCTTTTAGTTGGGGTTTTGTATGTAAGGATACGACATTTGAGGTGGTTTTGTTATCAAGAATGATGATTATACACTCCTGTTTAGAATCTCTGTGTGTGCAAACGTCTTAGACAGTAATGAAATGAATCTGAGTGAGAAAGGCAAAAAGGGTTTGGAAGGTCTAATGTTAGTATAGGGCTGCAAAATATGTCGTTCTTTGATTGTTTTGGCCTTTGCAGTACTGAAGGCTGCAATGTGGATATGAGCCTGTAACCAATCACAGTCTTTTAACTGTGCTGTGAGTATCCTGACCAATCGCAGTTCCAGTTGAGTTTCTGTGGGTGCTTTGATGAATCAAGGTATTCATGTAGTCCAACAAAAGTAAAAGTGTTTTGAGTGGAATAATTCAGGCCAATCTTAATCAAGCCACATTCTTGACTCACAAATATGGTTTTAGTATATTGCAAGGCATATCACATTTGCAATATGTTGCAATATGAAAAAAAAAAATAGCTGTATATGGTGTTTCGTCCGTAGTGTGCAGTCTTAAGTCAGACTGCTGCAGCTTTGAAGCTGGTATAGAGGAACTTTAAAGGAAAATACCAGTGATTCTTCAGATTTTCTGCATTCAGTTGTTGAGTTGTTGAAATGGTGCATTGTAGAGAAACTTACCGAATCTGACAGTGGTGGGACAGGAACCAGGGGTTGCAATGTCTACACTACAAGTAGAACTATTTTATTTACTTTACAAAACAACTAGTGACCGTATTCTGTTTTTTATGTGTAATATTGATAACGGTAAATCTAAAAGGGAAAAAAAGTGGTACATCTGAAAAATAGTTATGTAGGGCCTTATTAGGCCTTATAGTATTTGGCCTTACAATACCCTGCATGTACCCCTTCGCCATAAGCTTATTTAAAAAAAAATGTTTTAGACCAAAATCTTCTCAAAACTATTAAACAAACAACGTCTCTGATTCAGGCATCAGGTGGCGTATTCGTAACTGTTTTACATAACTAGCTTTTGGAGGCATTAAACTCTTCAGACGTCTGGTTCCTCTTACCACCACTGTGAACATTTCCAAGTTGGTAAATTTTTCTAGATTGGAGCATTTCACATCACAGACCACTCTGAATGACTTTACATCTTAACCACTTAATTATGCATGAATATTTAGGAATCGGTGAAACGAACATCTGAAAGGAAAGAAGGATTGTAAGTGAAGAGTAGATGGAAAATGTCTTATATGTAAGAAAGGTGGTGACCAGTCTTGGAGTCAATGTCTTAATCAATTTGTGCTGTTTGCTCTGTTATGGTAGTGATTTGGAAGGAAGAAGCTAACATTAAAGCCAGAAAACTTGAAAAGCAGAAATGAGAGAGAAATAGAGGAAGAAATGTAGAACTCTTTCATTCCCCTTTTCACTTTTCTTCCCTCCTCCTCCTTCCAAAGATCTGTTTTTTTGTTGACTGTCCTGGTCTGCGTGGGTCTTTGCCTGACTTTACAGTGATTTTACGTTCAACGTGCCACGTTGCTACATCACCCTTTTATGACATCACTGTCCTGGTCACATGACCAGCCAGCATTCTTCACAACAGCTGATGATTTTATGATCATATTTTTTTTTTTTTTTGCGACGTTTTTCATATTGGATATCTGGTGGGAAGGGAGTGGGGCTATTTAAAAATGGGCAGGGCATAAGATTTCACTTTTTTCACTTTTTTTTTTTTTAACCTTCACTGTAAATATTTTTTAATTTTGGATTCCTGTGTAAAGCCAAATTGTTGTCAGGTATTTAAGATGTAATGTTGAAAAGATGCAAACAAAACTGAGGGGGTTAAAAAAAAACAAAATAATACTGATACTAAACTACGGGAGGGCGGAGACAATACACTACTGGCTGGGTCACAGTGTTGTATGTGTGAGAGAGAGAGACTTATTTCTTCAAAATGTCACTTTTTTCTATTAAATGTGTAGCTGCAGTGTGTGTCTGTGTAGTGGCAGTGTGCCTCTGATGTGTGTGCGTGTATGGATGATGGTACGGTTTGTTTCTGTCCTTTATGCACTCTCCATCACACTGCGGTCAGACTTCTCTCTTAATGTTTAATGATGTCATTGAATCACACTTACTGATTCATATACATGAATATAGAGTCCAATTTCAGGTGTATGTATGAGAGAGACCCAGTAGGAGTGGGGGGGTGGGTTGTAGGGGTGGGCTATTGTATTGTGTACTGATATCTTGTACAGTTCTTTAACACACTCACTTTATTTACAACAGTATTTGTGTATATTTTATGAAGTAATAAAAAATAAAAAAAAAACCTCACACTAATGATTCTAATAGTGTTGTCATTTCACTCGACAAAACAAAAGCAAATGAATGACTAATGATAATGGAAAATTTTAAGAAGTCCATCTAAAGGAAAACACATTTTCCTTACTTTTTTTTAATATAAAAACTTAGATGTAATTTGTAAACATTGTTAAAATAGCAAAATAGGTTAAAGTCGAAATAGGTTATGTCATATATATACATCTTCTAAATATGGCATTTTAGTTTGCAAATTTTAGTGCACAATTTCTGTTTATCTGCCTAGTTTAATGTTGAAAAAAATAAAACACAAAATATGCCATAATGTTTTATTTTTTCCCCCCACTATGTTGAATTCAGCCAGTAAACAGTGGATGTGTATTAAAGTGTGCAGAAGTGTATTCTCTGTAGAGGATGTGTTAACTTATTTGCACTTAGAAAATCAACTAAATGGAATTTGAGGAACGGTGCCCAAACTTTATATACAACTATATGCAACTAAGCTGCAAAAACAGCCTATTTTGAATTTGTTGTTTTTGGGATACTATAAAACCCATGCAATAATGTACAGTACTGTTCAGTGTTTATTTTAGCAGTAAAAGTGTTTTAACTCGTAAATACAATTCTTTACGAATGGATGCAAATAAACAAAAACTGTAAAAGCAATTTCTCACCTTTGACCAAGCTGGAAGAACAAAGTTTGGTTTTTTGCTGCTGGATGCTCCAGTTACATCGCATGGATTTGTAAAATTCCATTACCAACACGCTTGTTTTAACATTATGAAGCATTGATTAGCCAGACTTAGTGTTGGATGATAACAACAAATAATACTGGGCTGCCACAAGGAGAAGTTTGGAACAAGGTTAAATGAACACATTGACATATAATCACTATGTATTAATATTATTTGTATTCATCGTAACATTGGTGTCTTTCTGAGCAAATAAATGCTTACAGCCCCGATGAACAGCATTTAATTCTAATTTTCTCAGCTGTGTAAAACTTGTGCATAGTACTATATATTCATCTGTTCTACCTATGGTCTATTCATGCTGAGGTTACATGGAGCGTTTCAGCCCAGACTGCATTTTGAATGAGGTCAGGGTCGCCAATCAGAACAGTGGTCATTTACATATAAAGGCAAAACATAAAAGTGATTAAAAACAGCTTGTTTTCTTAACTCAAGGGGAAAGGAGAAGTTAGAAAAAAGGTAATTTAAAATTAACTAGGACTGTTTTTGTCACATAAAACCACACATATGTTACAAAAGAAGCCAAGAAATCCTGGTACAGAAATCCATGAAGAGTATAAGATGTGGGATATTTAACCCATGAGAGATTAAAGTAGGTTTTTTAATATAAAAGACGTTTACATTGCCGAGATAAACTGAGATACATCATCAGTAAATCATCAAAATGTCTTTTTCTGTATGTTCCACTATTCTGTGTTTGTCTAGATAGTCTTATATTGACTATTCAGGTGAACACGATAGACTGCAGTGAGCTGTACAACAAGAATATGGGACAGAATAATCACGAAAGAACACAGATGCCTTTCATTCAACGTCATTTCATTTTATTGCAACACAGTACAATTTATTATGAAGTAGATTTATTGAACAATATATCCTAATATTTTATTAAATATTACCTTTTAGCAGACGTAGTCAGACCTAGTTTAGTCCTTTCGTGTGAAATTTGTAATTATGAATGGACCAATAGAAATGCTCCAAAATTACTTGGAATAAAATCTCTTTACGTTAATTTTTTTTTAAAGAATGTGTTTGACTTCTTGTGTAAAGTTACTATTTTGAAGATACATGTTTTTGGAAAGCGACTATTATTATTATTATTATTATTATTATTATTATTGTTATTATTATTTGTAATGCAAGTACAAATACAGCGACGTGGAACACTGAGGGCTGTTACGTCATTTCTCCTCCACTGTAGTGACCAGTGCGCATGCGCAGAATAATAAAGCGGAGAAGCAGCTGCAGTTAACGGAGAGAAGAAAAACTGAATAAATCGCCAATGTCGGCTCTACAGCCTAATTACAGATTTATTTTCATAGTTTCAGTGGTTTTATAAACGCGATTTTTGTGTCAGTTCTGGTTTTGGATTTTGTTTACGTGAAATAGAGTTTAAATTTAACTCCACAAACGGCGGCGCTCGGCAGAGGCTGGTCTGGTTTAGAGACTCAGCTGGAGAGAAATCTGCCGTTCAGCCGGATTACGATCTGTTTTTACTGGGTATATTTACTTACCATGAAGCTCTAAAAGCCCCGCGGTTCTGGAGAGGAATATGGATGAAACGTTTAGCCTGTAGAGCTGGTGAGGAGTTAGCTTAGCTAAATAAATCTTCACGTTTGGATTAGTCTAACGTTAGTGTGGATTTGTATGTAGGCTAACTGCTCTGCTGCCCTACAGTTCAAATAATAATCAGTGGGATTCTCCAGATAAATGAGTGAACAGAGGACTGCAGCAATCACTGGCACTGACTGACTGACTGGAGCGCTTTTGGTGCAGAGGTAAGAGAGAGAGAACGAGAGAGATGGCTGTGGTTTAGCTAGTGGTTCAGGATCATTAGACACGCACTACGAGCACTGGTGTATACTGGTGTGCGTATGGAGAGGGTGTTTCAGTGTTTTTTCTGTATGTGAATGCTGCTGTGCTCCTGCTAGTGTGGCCCTAACCTTAACCTCCGCATCCAAGAGATCAGCTTGGCCTCGTTTACCTTTTCTAAAAAGTTGTGAACAGCCAGAAATCCACACAATGATAACCGCATTTTATCAGCCTAGGGACATTTAGTCCCCGCAAAGAGATGAACACACTATCAAAGAGGTGAAACAGCAGAGAAACCACAGCGCTAAACATGGCTGTGCTTTGAGTAGAATAAATGGGGGCTCACTCTTCCAAGCTAAACCCCTCAGTGTCTTGAAATGTCTTGCTGCAGATGTGATACTCTTATTTGGTTTTGCTGTTTCTTTCTTTTGCTTTTGCCAGCAGCATTTTGATGACAGACTAGATGTCTGTTTTGCAATTTAGAGGCAGGCCAACTCCGTTTTGTTGTTCGGAGATGAAGTAGGTCCATGTTTTGCAGTTTAGTGACAGTGCAGGTCCATATTTTGTAGTGTAGTGACAGGGCAGGTCCATATTTTGTAGTTTAGTGACAGAGCTAGCCCATATTTTGTAGTTTGGAGATAGAGCAGGTCCATGTTTTGTAGTTTGGTGACAGGGTAGGTTCATATTTTGTAGTTCAGTGACAGGGTAGGTTCATATTTTGTAGTTTAGTGACAGGGCAGGTACATATTTTGTAGTGTAGTGACAGGGTAGGTTCATATTTTGTAGTTTAGTGACAGGGCAGGTCCATATTTTGTAGTTTAGTGAAAGGGCAGGTCCATAATTTGTAGTTTAGTGACAGAGCAGGTCCATATTTTGTAGTGTAGTGACAGGGTAGGTTCATATTTTGTAGTTTAGTGACAGGGCAGGTTCATATTTTGTAGTTTAGTGACAGGGCAGGTCCATATTTTGTAGTTTAGTGACAGGGTAGGTTCATATTTTGTAGTTCAGTGACAGGGCAGGTCCATATTTTGTAGTTTGGAGACAGCAGGTCTTTCTTTTCTAGTTTTGAGGGAGAGTAGGTGGTTACTTTGTAGTTTGTAAACAACAGATTCTTCTTTTATAGTTCAGAGACAGAGCAGGTCCATATTCTGTAGTTTAGACACAGAGCCGTTCCATATTTTGTATTTTGGAGACGCAGCAGGTCCATTTTTTGTCGTTTTGAGTAAGAGTAGGTGGTTATTTTGTAGTTTGAGGCATCAGGTCCCTTATAACAGAGTATGTCCATATTTTTTGTAGTTTAGAGACAGAGTATGTGGTTATTTTGTAGTTTAGAGACATAGCAGGTCATTATGGTGTACTTTTGTGACAGAACAGGTCCTTATTTATAGTTTAGAGACAGAATATATCATTATTTTGTAGTGTGGAAACCATATACGTCCTTATTTTATTATTTTTTTTTTTTTAGAACTTAAAAAAGGCCTTATTTTGTAGTTTAGAAACAGTGTAGGTTCTTATTTTACACAGTAGTTTAGACACCGAGATTGTCCTTATTTTGTAGTTTAGAGAGAGAGCAGGTCCATGTTTGAGTTGGGTAGTATAACATATTTTCTTCACCTTTTTTAAACTCACAAACATCCGATTCTTATTCATGTATGCTTCCACTGGAAATGTGCCAGAATGAAAAAGACAGTGAGTTAAACAAACTGCTTTTGGGTTACACAGACTGTTTGTTTTTGTCTGGGTGGATTAGGGTCAAAGTACAGAGCCAGAAATGGTTGGTTTTGTTTCATGACTGCGCAAGTAGGTTGATGTATAGAGAGATAAACTGTATGAATGTGAATTTGAAATGGCTGAAATAGCTGATATGGCTGTGCTATGTGGACAAAATGTCTTGTTGTTGTGATGTGTTTAGAGCACACATTACAGGAATAGAATAAAATGACTCGTAATGCCTGATTGTTATCTTTCGACGTGTGCTGTGCTTGCAAAGGACAATTACTGCAGTCATGATTAACATACAACAAATTTTGCAGTCCCCATAACTGAAATGCCATTTATATAAGCTCATTCACATCATCAGTCACAGCAAACCGTGCTTTTATTATTGTACTGACCATTTTGATGCTTGAAAACGTTCTCCATATCCTGGCTTGTGTAGGTGTGAAATGCTCTGGCTTTGATGTGTTTTGCTCTTGTTCAGGCCTAATCATGTCAGGCCTATCTGGTGATGCGGTTTGCTTCGTCTGGGCTGTGGTTGTTATGGCAACAAAGGGCTTGATCCTTCCTCTCTCCCATTCCAGGAAATGTGAAATGAGTCACAGGCATGTGGTTTCGTAATAGAGAGGATGCTGTAATGTCACTGTATCTGCGCGTGCACATAGACACACAAACACTGCGCACAGGTGAGGTCACTCCTGAAGATTCAGCCCTGTGTGTGTAGGTGTGTTGTTGACTGAGCCATAACTGGTGTGTAAAACATAGAGATTGACCTGATTCATGTGATTTAAATGAGAGCAGTAGACCTTTGAACTAAGCATGTGAACAACACGGTGCTGATGAGGACGTCGTCTTCTACAGGTGATGTTTTTCTTCCTCCTCAGTGGACGATGTATACATAGTTTCATAGTTTCACTGTTTCTGGACCTAGCTAACATCAGCTAGGGTAGTTAGCCTAGTTTGTGATAAAGCCACACTCCGTGGCAGCGTGCTTACATTAAGGCATAAAATCATAAAATCAGTATTTCACTGATTGTTAACCTCGATATTTTCTTCATTTTCACGTCATGAAACATAATGAAAAGCCAAGCAGTGACTTCATTATTCAAATACTGGCACAAATGGTTAACCAAGTACTCAAGTACCCATTCACATTCCTACTCTAAACTAGACACTGAAAACTAGGGCCACCCAAGCATCTGCATATATAGACCCCATGGGGGGCCTCTGTCTCTTGGCTGTTAGACTGTAGAAGTGCCTGCTTGGTCAGTTTATGTAATAAACATAAACAAACCCTAACCCTAAACATCCTAAAACATTAGCATTAGCTATGTAGCTAACAAATAAACATTACTTGCGCTGCCCTCATAACTTGTTAGAGCACCAGCTTTTTTGTTTTATTATTATTTTTTGTTTGTCTTAATGAATGCATTCACTGTTTTCTTTTATATTTGTTTGTTTCTCTCAACCCAACACAACTGAAATCTGTATACGTTTGTTGCAGTCAGATTTTGTTGCAGTCAGCTTAAATAATTGCGATCAATAAAAAAACATGCGATTAGACAATTATGTAATAATTGTTGATAGGCCTAGTGTTGTATGTAAAATGCATAGATGGTACAGTAAAATGTGTGAAGCAGTAATGGCTGCTGTCATAACAAATATGCATCATCAAAATATATAATTATTGTTTATTTGTAGGCCTATACTGAAGATAGAAATATACTTATTTATTTGCCATTGTATTCTGACTTCATGAATAGGAAAAGCTATTCAAGAAGTCCTGACTCATAAGATCAGTGCTGAATTCACAGTAGGGAATGAGGTTTTTGTTATTTTGCCTTTCTTGTTATTTGGTAGAGGATAGTTAGATTTATGTTTACAGAACAAAGAAAAGTCTGTACTTGTGTCACATCTATTCAGAGGCACACCATTTTAATGATAGTTTATCATTTCTCATGTCATAGTGATATCCAAAGGCTTTATCAAACATCATGCGGCCATATTTTATGCTGCCAATAGTGATCTTTGACTCCAAACACTTCATTTTCCTTCCACTGAAACATTAGACCGTCCTTGTCCCCACAATGCCTGTGCACGGGTCTGGTGACACTTCTAGTACTTTAAACTGACTCACGTGTTTGTAGTATGTGTCATTTATTACTGTGCAGGGCGATGATGTCACTGCATGACTGTTTGACTTTCATTGTATTACATCACAATAGATCACCTGCTGTAGATCCCCCATTAAAATAAGATGGGTGTGTTGTTTTTTATACTCCAGATATATTTACCTTCCTTTTTATATCAAAATGAGTGAGAATGCAGATTAATGACAAAAGTCAGGACTGTTAACAGTGACAGCAGTGACAAATGTGCCCTTACAACAAGTATTCACCCCTGCTTAAACATATCCCCATTTTATAGGGTTCAATCTGGAATTTAGGAGGTGGGAGTTTTTAAAAATGGGATTTCATGCCATGAATCTGCATAGAATGCAAAAATATAAGAGTATTATATTATAATAAGAGAAAATAAGAGCAATGTACACAAACGCTCAACCCCGCTGCTGTATAACCACTACATTTTTTCTGGTGCAAGCGGTTGCCATCAGAAGTCACATAATTAGTTAAGGAGGTGCAAATAAAGTGTCATGTGATATCATTATAAATACACCTTTTTCTGCAGGCTCTTTTACTGTTATATCTAGAACCTCCAGTAAGCAAACATGAATAACAATAAACAGTCACAGACAACCAACAAAGTATGGTCAACTAAGTGAACAGTAAGAACAAAGACATACAGCAGAGGCTGGATTAAAATGCTCCTGAAATGGTGGATGGTGGAATTTAAGGTTTGTTTTGGACCACTGTCCTGTGTAGAAGCCACACTTTTTAGAGCTTCATTCTCCCGTTTACCTGTGCAGTGTTTCCTGTTTTGCAAACAGCTGTATGTATGTTCTAGTCTCACTCTGTTTTGTCTTTCTTATTTATATTAGTATGTTGGTTTTACAGGTCGTATGAATGATCTCTCTGTGTCAGTAGGTGCTCTGCCTGTGTAAATATTAAACACAAAAAGAGAAACAGAAACAGACTGAGCAGATGGCTTATTACATCACCCATTACAGAAGTTCACCCACGCTACTGTGTGTTATTCTAATAGTGTTGTGCACTGCCTTCCACTGAGTTTGTTTGGGTTTTAGGTCAACTTCTGATAGTTGGGTAAAAATGTTGCTTTCTAAAGATATGAGTCCCTGGCTTGCTTGCTCCCTCTTTCTCTCACTCTCTTTCTCTCTCTCTCTCTCTCTCTCTCTCTCTCTCTCTCTCTCTCTCTCTCTCTCTCTCTGTCTCTCTCTCTCTCTCTCTCTCTCTCTGTCTCTCTCTGATTGTGCTGGTTAGGAGAGCAGTATTTGGGTCAGTGAGAGCATTTAGTCTGTATAAAGTACATGTTTCAGCTCGGATTAATATATTAAACATGAAGCACTTGACGCACACAGTAGGAGTGGGCAATATGAACTCGGCTATATTACAGTATTTTCCAATTTTTTTATATCGCAAAGTAGAAAAAATAATGATAATATTTCTCAGTGAATTACATCAAGAACAATAAGATTCTTTTTAAAATTATTATTATTAGTAGTAGTAATACTCTGGTCTTTATCAATTAATATCATGAGACAGAATCATATTGGTATTCATTTTTATACCAGTATAGCTCCCACCCCACAGCACCTGAAACCTCATTGATGTAGTACTTCATGCTCTGTGGTTAGTGCGGGGTCATATGACCCACTTACAGGGGTCACTGGGTCTCTGGTTCATGTGACAGCTGATCTGTGCAAGAAGTCAGAGGTCACAGCTTAACTCTCAGCTAACAGGACCATCGGCACACCACTGACCTCACACACCGTAAAGCTGCCACTCAGTATGGTCGTACACTGTTTCCCAATAAAGGATTGCTTAACTGGACAGCTAAAATTAATAAGCAGTAGAACTGGATCTTAAAATTATTTTAGAGTAGGAAGACCAGTGTGTGCTTGCTTTAGAGTGGAGTTTGTATTTTTAAGTGTTATTTATATATTGTCAAAATCTGAGGTAGCTGTTCAGTTTTTATGTTATTGGTGTATTTTCATTACAAGTCAAATCACTTCCCTCAGCAACTGTTGGATGCTTAACATTTAAACACAATTTTTTAGCCATTTTATCTCCTGCTTGATGTGTGTTTGAGGGTTGAATCTCAGCTTGTTGCTTAACTACAAGCGTGACACAGCCGGTTACAATGCCACAGCTCAACAATTTGATAGGGCAGCACTCAGTTCATTTGCATGAATTTTGTCCAGCACAAAAGAGCAGGATGTGCATTAGTTAGAGCTGGGCGATATGGCCAAAAACGTTATCACGATAAACAAAATTCATATCGTTCGATATCGATACATATCGCGATAAATGTCAATCATGATTTCTTTCACATTTGAAGGCTGATTTTGCTCCTGGGTGGTTAACTGTGGTTCACTTATGGTCCGATCATGACAAACACTCGGCAAACAGTGGAACATTTCACAAATCTGTCTTGGGACAGTGGGAGAAAGTTTCTGAGCTGTTTTTATCAGCTGGAAATGCACAGCTGCAATTTTTGTAATAGTCATGATTTAAGAAAGAAAACAGATTAATTTTAGCTGTCTGGTGACGAGCGCTCGGCTACCCCGTTACAAATGCTAAACAAGTGGCCAACAACAGCGCTAAACTCTTTAGTTTCTCAACAACGTCAGCTTAGTTCGGTAGGTCACTGCTGTCACTCCTACCACATCCATGTCAGAGCATATCACAGTATTCAGACACCAGCTAGCAACAACTGGATTTCTCTATGCTATCGTAGTAGTTTAAGGGGTGAACCGCAGTATATCTGATGTTCGCTGTGTAAAAGCATTATCTGCAGTGTGAATCTCTCACACCAGTCACAGAGTCCTCCTTTTAGGTATGTTTAAACTGAAAGCGGTGCTTTTGTGTTGCGTTTCATCTACCGTATCATCAATTCACCGTGTTTTGCCGGAGCGCTGCTTCAAGTTAGCCAGCTACTAAAAACAGCTAGCCTGGAAAGACAGCGCTCTCCCGCTCTCCAATGCCTCACAGCTTCCTCAGTTTACTTTCGAACATGAACCCACTTCTTTCTTTCACTTTCGTTGCTCGAGAATGCACTAATACTAAAATATGATGGTTTTGCACTGTAACACGGCGCTGCAGACGTGATTTAACACCGCTAAAGTTGTTAGGATGCATGGAAAGAGGTGAGTTCACCGTAGGACAGTACAGTTACACCACTGACCTCGCCACTCACGCTCGGTCACAGGAGAACAGATCGCCGATAACATCCACTCAGACAGGGAATGTACAACTCCGCGTTTCAGCCGTTGCTAAAGTATATTTGGCGACCCTTTTTTTTACTCGTGGCCCCCTCCCTCTCTAATCAAGTCAAAAAATTCGGAAGTGCGCCCTCTCCTGGCGACAGCAGAGTAGTGTCGCTTTCCTTGCAGTAGAAAGCGCCACCAGGGCTTTCGCTAAAACGTGGAAGTGTGAGAATGGTGTATTATATCGAACGCTTATCGAACCTGTCTTATCGCTCTATCGAGGAAAAGTTATATCGTGATACTTATCATTATCGTTTTATCGCCCAGCCCTAGCATCAGTGGTTCGATTCGGCAGTAGTGTGTCTATATTACCATCTCTTTCCACATTATAGCGTGTTATGCTTGACGTAAATTATCCAAAAAATTCAAATGAAGAATATATTTACTGTTTTGTTTTGCATGACATCGCTGCACATATGAGAGGTTGAATTAACAAAAAGAACTAATCAAAATGTCATTGATGATAATGCATGTGAGTTTCAAATAGTCAATCACAGTAGTTTAATGCTAAATGAACAAAAATGACTAAAGGTAAACAGTGAATGAAGCAAATAACAAGGAATGGAGTTTAATTGTAAATGCTGCATGTTGCCAAAAATTACTCAAATGATCCATACCACTGTATTTCCTCGTCTTTCTTTCTATCTAAGAATTATTTATTTCTACTCTCATACAAAAACACCTTGGTAATGGTTGATAGAATGTGTTCATATTTGATCAAATCAACACATTTTGAATCACATAACAGTTGACGTTATCAAATGAAATAACTGTATCACTCAGACTTTCAATTTGTGCATTTTTACTGACACTATTTTATTAATTCACATGCGTTTTCATTACTCTTAAAGGTACCTCTTTACAATAAGACTGCCCTAGTAAATGTTTATGAATGGTTAATTTGTTTTAATTAATAGCTACTAATAAGATCATAAACACTGTAAAAACCATTTAAAGCTATTATAACATGAATAAAAATGGCAACAGTGACTTGTTGCTTGCCAAATAGTGAGCCCACTTTATCTATACTGTTAAATCTCAGATCTTGCTGGCTACCTACCTTACTTTGTCTTTATCAGTCAGCATTACAACTATTAACTTGTCAGATATTCGTACTTATCAGATATGAACAAAAAAGGCAGTAGTGCCCTGTTATAACTGCTTATTAATGATTTAAAGGTGTTTCTGACCTTATTAATAACCACTTATACACTACTTTTATTCATAAACCCTTTTATAAGGGAAGTTGTATTGTAATGTTTATTGGTGCAAAAATTATTTGCTGTGATTAAGTAATAAACTGCATTTGTAGAACTGTGTCTTATCACATTGTATATTGTCACCTTTTTAAAACAGGTTGTGTGTTACAGTGATTTTACTATGACTAAGCTTCCACTTTGTGATGTGCCTAAAACCACCCTCCACTGGTTGCTCAGTGGGTTCTTAACCAGCTGTTTGTCAATGTTTTATTGGTTCATGCACAAAACAGCTAACAAATACGTCAAAAAAGCCTGACATTGTGTCCTGATAATGTATTCTCATCACGAGATCATGTCTGGCCCTGAGAGACTGGGTGAATGGAATCAGGGGCGGATCTCATAGCTCTAATTAATGTCTCCTCAGTTCCCCTCTCCTACTTCATAAAGAACTGTAATCGGAATCAAAACACATTGATGTCACAGATTTACACCCCTAACAACACACATTATGGACCACACACTCACACACATTCTAAAGCCTACTCTCACAGCAGCTTACAGTCCTGTTTAAAGAGGGTGACCTTGTGCAGCTTTGGTAGTTTGGATAAGCTGTACTGAAATGTGAAGAATGACACTGACATTCTGTTCTTCTCTCTGATCCTGATTGGCTTTTTTCTTCAGATGAGGCCACTGTGGAGGCGGGACTTGGGGAATAGTTCTGTGGTTGGCATGGTGCCAGGCCCAGCTACGGTGGCCCCGAAGGGTCAGAACAGGTCATGGGTTCCCGAAACCCCACTGGTGAGCCCAGAGGAGCCTATATTTCTGATGACCCCAGCAGCGCAGACCATCTCTGGACTGTTCGTGTGGACTGCACTGCTGCTCACCTGCCACCAGGTACAGCACACACATATATACACCTTACAATAAAAAAAATACTAAATTTAAAAACTAATAAATGTGTCAAACAGAATATGCCGTCTTGAATAGATGGCATAGATTTGAAGTAAATGTGTCCCAGTGTCTGAAAATCAGTATGTAGCATGGTCACTACTGAAACACACAGCCTATTCGGTAGAATATATGTTTTTTAGATTAATGCAGTAAGAAATACACAGGTTGATTACCTGACTTCTCAGTGCACTCCTGCTTTTGCGTGGATGTGTTGAACTCCATCAGCCACATACGTAATTTATTGAAACGTTTATGAATTGAATGAATGAATTGAATTTTTTATTTCACGCTCATTTTGCAGTTCGCAGAAAGCAAAACTGAATTACATGAGTATTTGAAATGCTCACTTACACATTTATAAAAGAAAAGAAAAAATAATAAATAAATAAGTTAATGTACGCCTCACAAAGATGCAATATAATCTATAAATCTTCATTTAATATTCTTGTAAAAAAAGGAATGGGTGACTCTCAGAACCATCAGTTCTCATTTTTGGAATGTGTAGTTTGTTAGTGTCTCTGGTTTTCCAGCCTGATATCTGGGCTCTAGAAGGTGGTAGCCACTCTCTGAAAGAGGAGTTAGGAGATTAAAGGCAAACCGTCTACACAATATGTCTCTTCTCTCTTTAAGGGTTGGTAATGCGAGAGCCTGAAGGGCTTCTTGATACGTAGAATAAACCCTGCTGATGATGATTTGGCATGCACGTTTCTGGACAGTCTCAGTCTGGTTCGGCAGATACTGTGTCAGGTTTTCATGCCATACTGGGCAGGCGTACTCTAAAACGGGGCGAATATAACCAGTGTCTATCAAAGTTAGGTCAGAGATTGCCACTCTGGTTCTTCTTAATCTTCTCAAGAAATTAAGTCTGGTACTTGCTTTCTTTACAATAGCATGTGTGTGATGGTCCCGTTGTAATTCTGACTGAATCAAAAGTACCTCCAAGTACCTTGATAATTTTGCAAGATGGTAGCTGTTGTACGGACAGGTAAAGGGGTATACGGGGAGGTGGGTTCTTCTTCAAAACCTCTTAAAAGTTTACTAGCCAAACTTAGTATTGGGTGCTTTAGATACCATTAAATAAACGTTACTCATAGCTTTCATCTTAGATGTAAGAGAAAATCCTGGGATGGCCATGGCAAAACCTTCATTCTGTGATCAGTGATCCATTTTCATTAATTTATCGTACTTTATGGAGTCTGTGATACCATGTATCTGTATAAATTGTCCACCATACTTCACACTGGGGTTGAGGTGCTTTTCTGCATGGCTATCTTTGTAACTACACTCTGGCGTTTGCTGCCAAAACATCTATTTTGATCTCATCTGACCATAAAACACAGTCCCACTGAAAGTTCCAGTTTGTTTGTTGGTCCTTGACAGCAGAGATTTTCTTCTAGAATCTCCCCCAAACAGCTTGTGGTTCTGTAGGTGACATCTGATTGTAGTTCTGACTGGGAGATGTTCTGACCCGAAGACCTAACCAATTCCCCATCTGTGATCTTTGGAGATTGTTTGGCCAATCGAACCATCGTCCTCACTGTGCGTGGGGTCAGTACACATACACCCTCTTCCCTGCTGATTCTTAACATCTCCAGTTGCTTTGAACTTCTTAATTATTGCCCTGATAGTGGAAATGGGCATCTTCTTGACGCCATTTCCTGGTTTGTGCAGTTGAACAACCTTTTGTCGCACATCATTGCTGTATTATCTGGTCTTTCTTTTAGTGATGGATAGTAAAGGCCATTTTTGTACACATAAATTTGAGAAAATAGTTATTTCATGATGCGAGAAAATGCTCACTATGGTCATTTCATTTGCAAGTTGTACATGTTATGTTATGAATATATTTGCATTTCCTGTCATGAAAAACTGACATCTGATTTTACAGTGATTAGTAGAACTTAAAAATCAGTTACCTGACATATGAAAGAGTATTTAACAGCAAGTCAAATGAGCTGAAGAAGGCATTCCTAAGAATTTTGTTAGTCAATCTCATGTATTTTATATATTTATATATTTTCTTAAGTAGAAATGGCCTGTTTGTATGATCTGTATGTTGGTTAAAGGAAGAGCTTACGAATAGTTAGAAATAGCCTGTAAATATTAAAATACATTTTAATTAAAATACATTTTAAAAGTTACAAAAGTTACATTTTAAATTTTTTTTAAATTTTAAAATACATTTTAAAAGATTTTTATTGATGAATTTGCAACAACCTAACTAAAGTGAAGCTCAGTTCATCTTAATAACTACTGCCTTACATTTATTATGTTCTTACATATAATATTTCAACATGGACATTCCCAGACCTTTTAGCAAAATACGGTGCAATACTTTAATTAAAGGGCTCATTATATTATTGTAAATCTATTGTAATTTACTGTAACATTATAGGGTTCAAGCATCTGCAAGCTTCAAAATGTGTATAATGTTTGGTCAATGTGAATCACTCATGTTTATATTCCTTGATTAAGATAGATAAAGATGTTTCAAATATGCTTATAACTGAAAGATTACAGTGAATTAATATTTTTACTAATTTGTCATCAAAACAGTTAGTAATTAATTTACAGAAGAACTTATCAAAACATCTTCTATAACACAGTTCTAAGCTTGCTTACAAGTTATGTTTGTATTTACTGGGGAATTATTAAGTGGTGGTTAATAGTTAATTTATTGTTAAGAATAAAGTGTTACTGAATGTTTTTTACAGCTTATTTTGCTCATGTTTAGCGGGGTGCCAATATTTGTGGAGGGCATTTTATCTGCCCACAGGCTGTCTATCTTTGTTTAAAAAAAAGGGGATAAAAAGAAATATGCAAGTTAACTGAGAAGCAGGACAATTTTTTTCATCTTGTATAGATTTGCAGTGTGTGATTATACAGTTTATGTTATGATTATACTGTTAATTAGCATGTTGGGTGTCTGCACACACTCCATCACATGTTTTTCTCATGTACGCTGATGCTGTTCAGAGGATGAGGATGAGCTGTTGCTTTGGCAACAGGTGCCGTGACATCAGAGCATGAAGCTGGTTGCTTAGCAGCAGCGCTCTGCGCTCTGCTTGTTGTGTGTGGTGTTTGCTCTTCAGCCAGGTGTGTGGGTGGGTGTGTGTAAGAAGATATGAAGTCCTTTGTGCACCTGCACTGAGAACAGACACACAAAAGCTGCTGCTGACAAAAGTTTCTGATGAAAAAGAGACCAGATATGTAGAGCTGCTGACACAGATGCACAGGGTGTGGTGTGTTCAGAGTGTTGCTGAGAGGTTTTTATCCCCTGCAACTGACCCAGACTCCTATTCAACTGATCTGATCTTTTGTTTGAGCTCTAAAAAAATAAATAAATATGCAACTACATTCAGGTAGAAGTGCAGCAGTTTCAGGAAAAGAGACACACCACACTATCCTGCTCATCTAAGGCTAATGTGATGTTTTAGTTTGTATTCATACTGACTCTCGTCTAGTGAGGATGTGCTGCTTAATTAATTTAAATTCCACCGTTTTTTTCACTTTGCCCAAATGTAGTTGATCAGCCAAGACATGTTGGGAAGTTTCTTTAGCTTCTTTAGATTTGCACTGAAACTAGACAAGACTAAAAAATATACCAAAGTACAGACAAAGTTTAGGCTTCAAATTGGCTGCCACAGGTGTTTTTAGCTATGTAACGAGATAAAGAATATCTCATTAATCAAACAGGCTGGGATAGCATGCAACAATCAGTATGGAAAATGAAAAAGTCTGTACTTGCAGTACATCCAGACAGCCACACTCTTTAATTATAATTTAGCACTGTTCATATAATAATTTTGTTCATATATCAACTTTACCAAACATTGTGTTCATGTCCTTACTACGTTCATTGTGCCCTACTACCACGACAGTGTCGCTGCAGTGCTGAGAATGATCCACCACTAAAATAATACCTGCTCAATTGTGGTCCTGTGGGGGTCCTGATCATTAGGATTTTCATTCTCTTGCGCACCTGTGTAAATGTGATGTGACAATAAACGTGATTTGATTTGATTTAATGAATGGGGTAAAGAGCAGCAAATAAGGTATGCAGAGAAACAGACTACAGTCTGTAATTGTAGAACTATAAAGTGCTCCTATATAGTATGTAAACCTAATATAGTGGACGATGAGTGTAGAAACAACAAGAAGGTGTACCTACTGCAATGAGCAGTGAGTATATGTTGCCATTATTACCTGCATTAGCCTTGTAGCTTCTGAAAAGCTACAAAGAAAGAAGCAAACATCCGACACCAGAGGGGTAATGAAGAAAATGTTTGAATATGATTCTTTGCTGAACTGAGTGTTTCTTCCTGCAGATCTACATGCACCTGCGCTATTACAGCTCTCCTAATGAACAGAGACACATTGTACGGATCCTCTTCATCGTCCCTATCTATGCCTTCGACTCCTGGCTCAGTCTGCTCTTCTTCACCAATGAGGAGTACTATGTTTACTTCGACACAGTCAGAGACTGCTATGAAGGTAATAGTGTCCTGTGTGTGAGAGAGTATGTTTGTGATTGTGCATGTATGTGTGTGGGTGTTGGACTGGTGTACCAGATGGTCTCTTTGTCCCCCTGTCCTGATGATGGCAGTATCTTTGTTGCATTGTTGCTGAGGTTGTCACCTAGCAACAGTATGCAAATGAGGACAATAGGGAGAGTTCATCAAACATTCTTGTATATAAAGAAAGAACCATGTGTGTGTGTGTGTGTGTGTGTGTGTGTGTTTGTGTGCCACCAGAGGTGTAGTCTATGTTATAGCTAGGTTTAAGGTTTACACCCACTAGCAAACCCAGGATTTGCATGAACTAGCATTCAAAAGTTTGGAATAACTGTTTTCAATAATATGAACAACTTTTGTTGAAACAGTACAACAAAAGCCCACCAAACAACAGCCATTGAATACAAATGATTCATTTTTCAGTATCAGCAAAAATACAGAAAACATATATTTAATAGAATATTACACAGAAGCCCTAACAAAGTATAATATCAGCATTTTAAGTATTTAGTGTATCCACACTTTTCCTTTCTTACAGCTTCCATTCTTTCAGGAGACTTGCTTTCAGTTGTTTTATTGTTTCAGATTTCAAAGAAATCTGCAGAGATGTTTTCCCTCACCTTCAAATTTCACTCTTAAAAGTTGGTCTCAGTGGAAAGAGAAACAGAAACACCTATGGATTTTCTTTCAGATCTGAAGCAAGAGTGAGGCCTGATTTTTCTCCTCTGTGTTTCTCCACCCACCATACATCCCTTTCAGTTTACTGCGAGGAATTCTCCCAGCATGCTCACTACTGCAGACTACTGCATTTCACTCAGTGTGCACTAAATTCAGCAGATTGATGGTTAACTGTGTTTATTTGCAGTGTTCTGGAATGTGATTTTGTGTGGGAGAGACACAGAGCTCATAAATAACTGACCCCTGCTGACTGTGGTGATCTTTAGTGGAGCTCCTTTAGTGTGGCTGCAACAGCTGATGCTGTTTATGTGAGCAGTTTGGGCCAAGAGTGGAGTTAGTGTGTTTATTTCTGCTGGAAGTATTCTCTATCACAATGTTAAAAACTATTCAACATTTTCACCAGTGAGCAACTGCATTTCGTTATTCTATATATTTTATTTAAAAATATTGTTTTAAGATAGGAGCTCCCTGGGGGGAGATGTCGCTTCAGTTTTTTTCCTTCCCTGGTCAAATAGTGGGGCCAAATTTAATTTTGACACATGTACTGAATGAAGATGGCAATCTGTGTATTAATACGAAGTTGTACAATATTTCTTTTTTTTTAAATAGTGTATGATAATTCAGGGTGGGGGAGTGTTATGAAGTGACCAGTACAGTTGGTTTTAAGAGGACTTTTCTTTGAAGTGAAAATGTACACTTTTGGGGCAAGAAGTACTCCCAGACAAAGGATACGTACCCCCTCTCTTTACAGTAGTGCCCCAAAAATATGATTATATTAGATTTTCATCAGAAAGTCACAAAGTTGTGGAGTGTGGGCTCTGGGTTGACTGTTTAAGTGTTAGTGTAAACATGCTAGGTACTTTGACTGCTACTGCTTTGTTTAAACTGTTATTCCTGTACTTTTACTACTAATATTAATAGTATCGCTAATAATAACAATAATAACCATAATGAACATTATAATACTAATACATTAATGTACATTGTATAATTATGCAGGTGTTTTAATCATAATAACTATTTTAAAAATAATCTCCTTTTATAAAACATAATGTGTAACACTGCTGTTATAACGCTTTTGAAGTCCAGTTATAAAACTGTACCTTACTTTATTGATGTCAATGAATGAATAATGCTTTACTCAGCCAGTGAGCAGCCTGTTAACCAATCAGCACACTGTAAAGTTAGTGTCCTACTGTACAGAACCTGTTTGCTATGGAAAAAAGAGAGATATGTGGGTGTTTCTTGTATTTAATACACCCTTCTATTTGTGAGAAATTGAAGGATGCAGCTGGCGTATTCTGCAAGACCTTCGGCCTCCCGCAATCTTTTGTGCACAGATCAAATCAATTTAAAAAATGACAGAAACAGATGAGAGTGGTGAGATGCTGTGGCACTCGAGTTTGTAATGAAATGTATCGAAGAGTAAATTTTAATCTAACTTTTTAAATGAAAGATTTAAACTTACGTCAGTAAGCAATGACATGTCAGTACAGCTTGTTCAGACCATCTCAAATGTGCGTGAGTGAACACTGAAGAGGAGACACCGTGTGTCAGTGCTAGGTCTCTCCCACCTTGACTGCATCCTAAGCTTAGAGACATGGCTGCTGAGGACTTTTTCTGGCTCCCTCTAGAAAACAAATTTAAAAAGCATGATGCACATGCCACTTAAACACCCACTGTAATGTATTTAATTTCTATTTCTTTATTTTATTTATTATATGCAGTGACCTCCAAACATGGACATATGTGCTACACTTAATGTTTATTCTTTTTGTGAAACAAAAAGTCAAACCGAGTGGAGTTTATTTTAAACAGTCCATTCCAGCACTGTCATTTCCTTTTTTGGCAGACTATTCTTTCAAAAGTCGACGGATGTTACAGATTGTTATAGTTTGAGTAGTTTCTTTGCAGACCTCTGCAGT